TCATATGTTAGTTACCCTTATCCCTTGTTATGGGTTTGTGCACTGAAGGGTTTGACAGTTCTTTTTGTATTCATTTAAATGAACTTTGTAATGTGTCTGGGTCAAATGTGACCAAAACGTATGATTTTTTTGTTATTACTTGAAAAGTGAAAAAATAGTAGGCCTACTACCTCTTTTTGTTACATTGGAGCTCTTTAACTGTTTGTTAATGCACTTTGTGATGTGCCTGGTTAAAAAAAAATAACCTGAATATTTGACTTCTAAAGCAAACAAATGTAATGCTACAACTGTGCACTTTTTTTCTTCAGATTCTGTTAAATTAATGCTAATTTGTTGTGTTTGTATGCACTTTTTGACATACCTTAGTTAGATGAACAATGAATAAAAATGGCATGTTTTTCATCGCAGTAATATGTGTTGGTTTAAAATGTGTCATTACCCGCTTTTTACAGGCCGCTGAATGTCTGGCCCAGCTGAATTTTGTAGTTATAAAATCTGGCCCAACTGAATGTGTAATTGAATAGCCCTGCCCTAGAGGGTGTTAGGTCCACTCCCCACTTATAAAAATAGAACTTTACCACTGCACCCTCTCTAATATCAGATGCACCCTAAGTCATTTTGTTCTGGAACCGGGCCTGCTGGGATACTTAAATAAAACAATTTAAAATACAGAACATTAAAACAAAACAAATAAAACAAAACAAAAGAACATGTTAAAACACAGGCAGTGGGTTGTAAGGAGCAGAAGATTGGGTCAGTGTTGGCAGAGCTGATTCCTCACTAACCATATTTTGAGTTTTGATTTAAATAAAGTGAATGTGGTCTGGTCTCTGATTGGAGGTGGGATTGAGTTCCATTGCTGAGCAGCTTTAACAGAAAATGAATGTCTTTTGGTTACACACCATCCTTGTCAAACTTATTGAAACGAGAAATGTCCTTTATAGAGACAATCCGTTGATAACATATGTACTTTAATCATTAAGTTATTTGATAAAGAAATGACAATGTAGTCAACAATTTAAATCACCTCACTCTCACAGTCATCATGTGTAACCGGTGTGGTTAAGCGGTCTCTGCGTTGTGTTGATAATGGACGAGACCCGAGCCATTGTAAAGTTGAGAGACTATCTCTGTTTAATCACTGACAACAGATAAAGCGATCAGTTTTATATCAATTACTCACAATGACTCCTCTCACATGGAACATTTTACGAAAAGGGCACGTACCTGACAACAGATAAAACGATCAGTTTTATATCAATTCCTCACAATGACTCCTCTCACATGGAACATTTTACGAAAAGGGAAGAGGAAACGTGAGGAACACAATATATACAGTAGGGGGGAAAGTCCTCACAACAAAAAAACTCCTGAGCACAGCGACCACACTTCAGAGGTTCCGCCCACTGATCTCCGACCTTGCCAGGTATTTAACATTCAATAAAATGAAGAACACAGAATAAAATAATATAAAACACAGAATTTGTGTGATTATACAAAATTAAATTAAATAAACCCCACTGCATATTTACATCTGACTGTTACACATGCACACTATTGATTGATTCCTGAGTTGATACGCTCTGAAGATACTAGGTCTATGCATGGATGGCTTGAACTTTTTTCTCAATGTATAAAGATGACTTGAAACGAGGCATATTCCAAAACCAAAAGAAAATAAGGTATTGGCGAAAAGTGTGAAGGTTCTTTAAAAAATCAAACAAGCCCAGGGTCAAAATATGTATTTGTACCAAGAGGACATTCCCCATTGAGAAGCATGCCATTTTCAAATAAGCCCTTGAATTGTGTACTTTTGAAAACTCATCCGTATGATTTGATTTTGTTTGCTTAACCTCACCCCCAATTCTGTTTATGCTCACTGGTTGGGGTGCAGGGTCAGGCAGATAATCTGAAACAGGTAGGGGTTAAGTGTCCTTGGTATGCTTCAGCAGATATTTCTGTATGGGTGATTTAACCTGAGCCCTCCACTGTGGGGACAACTCAAACAACCTCACACACCACAAAGGGCATCAGGCTGAGAAAACAGCAGTTATAGACTCTAGTGAGAGGCAGAGATCAGACTGTACAAAACAAAATCTTTCCATGCCAGACAGGAGAACATTTTTTGAACAGCGTTAAGAATTTAAAGACAAATAAACATTTCCCCTGCAGACTTATCAGTGATTATTATGCTCTGAAGCCATAATATGAAAGTTTGGAGAACTGCGAGCAAGGGCATTGGAGCTACACTAAAGGCTTTGGCAATGTGATCGTTGCCGGAAACATCATCCCATTTTGGTCCGCATCCCAACAGTTTATATGAGTGTGTGTGTTAGAGAGAAAGATAAAGTGAGAATCCTAAGGGAATCTAGTTTATCTGGTTGTATACAACTTAAAAGAGGCTATATCGTTACACAGACGCACAAACACACACACACACACACACACACACACACACACACACACACACACACACACACACACACACACACACACACACACACACACACACTGCATTTCCTGCCTCGAGCATTCAGTTAATCTCCCTGGTGATTCCAACAATATGCTTTTAGTAACAGATAGAGCTCAGCTCACCAACATTTTTTATTTCATCTAGAATTAATAGTCGCTTCAATGATAGTGTGGCCCTTTTGGCTTTAAGCCCCCTATCCCCTTTGCCAATAGTAATAATGATGAGAGAGAGACATAAATGGAGAAAGAGAGACACAGTGACATAGTTAAGCTCACATCAACCACATTTCAAGCAATGCCATTTTGTTTTTGTACAAGTTTTGACAAAAAAAAAACTGTAAACCAGTGTGAACACAAAACTGAAGCAACCAGCTGAATAACAGAGAATTTAGCAGCTCAAGAGGCATATATAGTTATTTGGACATGGTAGGTTGTTACAAAGAAAAATCTAAATGAATGCTAGTCTCTCTGTGTGGATTAGGCAATTGTTAACCACTATTAACACTATAAGGGAGGTTAGCCATTTAATAAGGTGATATCATGTTGGGGAGTTCAGTTAACATAGATATACATGTATCACCTTTTATTATCTTATACTCTGGAAGTTGTGAGGTAGTAATATAAGATAGCATAAAAAAGTGCTTCAAAAACGTACCTAAAAAGTCCATCTCTGATGAGTTTAAAATACAGAATATACAAGCAGAAAGGGACATAAAGAAAAGTATATATGAGGAGAGATAGAAAGACAAGTAGAGCGAGTGATAGAGTGAACTGTAAATCATGAAGTACGTACACTGGCTGATGAATAAAAGGCGAGTGAACTACAGAGAGACAGACAGATTCAAGGAGAGGCAAAGATACGGGTGGAATAATATAAATTATGAGATGTTAGCTCGTCGGGTAATTCCGGTGATAACTCTCTCTGCACTTTCGCTATAGCAACACCGTGCCCACTCTGCTGTTGGCACGGTGATCAGATCGCCATTCGTTCAGGCCACGCTGATTGAGCTGTCAACGCACACACATACACACCGTCTTACACAGGCACACACTCATGCAGATGAGTATTTGTTCATGTGCAACAGAAACACACACACACACACACACACACACACACACACTTCATCTCTATGTATCTATCACTTTATAAATTGCAGTGAGCTGAACAAGAGAAGGTCACCTGAAGATGCATTGAGAGTTATAGAAACAAGCATCACCAGGGTTCAGTCAGGGGGAACTCGGCAGCGATCCAGGATACAGAGAGACAGCTTAGAGAGGTATAGGGAGTCTCTAAGGGGGTCTTGTACTTGTTCTGACACTCTTGCAGCACCACACGGACACCACCTTACATCCAAAAACATCCCAAACACACTGCAGTATGATTCTTTCACCTGCCCCCAATTCTAACCACTAAATCACAGTAGTACTTTTTCTGGTGCTTGAAACTATGCATTGTTGTATGAATGTAAATGTGGGAATTATGTTTGTATGCATGTCGTTGTAAATGTTCTTTCATTTGCCAGTGTGAAACTGCTAAATGTGTGTGCATGCAAGCCTACTGCTTTGCATTGTTGAGTGTCTCTTGTCTTCACAGTATGTGTCACTTCATGTGCTTGTTTGTAAAATGTGACCACATGAGCATTCAACCGTATGTGATTATTGTTGTGTGTGTGTCTGTTCACTGTACGGTTTCCCGTGGCCTTCCGCTGAACAAACTAATTAAGGAACAAACACTGCTTCAAACCAACCAGAAAATTACCTCCCAACTCTAACAGCACGACCCAAGGACAGACAAGCAGGTCCTCTATCACATCTAGTCAGAACACACAGCCTAATAGAGGCTTGGCTGGTGTGTCCAACAACTACCATGTGTCATTTTTTAACACCCCACTGATTGTAGCTTCAGAGTTAGTGTCTCTGAATGTGTATGAATTTATATTGACATACATATATAAGCTTCTTCCGCTCTGCGTGGCAAATCTCGCTTCATTGATCAAGTTGACGAAAGCCATTAAACATTGTCTTGTGATATCTACTGTAAGTTGAGCATTGTACAACTTCTGACCCAGCTGTAACCTGTTTACTTTCAATAGAATACGAAACTAAATTGCTGGTGAGTGTCAATACTATCTAATCCTGTGGTATTTCACAGCCAATAGCTTCCAATTAAGTACTTCTGTCCAGGGAGATGTCACTGACATCTTTCTGACCTTTTGCTCCTCTTTCTGTTCTGGTATGCACTTATCTTTTCTCTTCCCTTCTCTGTCCGTCACCACACTTTCATCATAGTATTAGCTCCACGTTTAATTGTATTTACTACACTGCTGCTTTGATCCACAAGCTTTACTATTTTTCGCTGTTGGATTTGTTCTGAGAGTGTGTGGCTAAGCCTAAACATAATGCCTTAATTATAAAGGTAATTGTCTCTCTGCTGTAGTGCTGTGAATCAACAGTACACAAATGATGTTGCTAATACCACTACAGTGGCTACTAATAACAGTGCTATTGTTTTGTTGTTCTCTTCACAGTGAAGACATGTGGCAGTAGTCTTCAAGGGCCGTCAGGAACCTTCACATCTCCTAACTTCCCAATTCAATATGAGAGCAATGCACAGTGTGTGTGGATTATTACTGCCTCAAATCCAAACAAGGTACATCTCCCTCACTCTCTCCCTCTTTGTCTCTGTGTCTACATTTTAATTGTTGAAGTTATTTAACTTTGATTGACCAACACAACCATGATGCATTTATTATGACTGGAACTTGCCTCTACAAAAAGACTTGACTCTGCTGGCAGCTTTCTTTAGAACTGCTTAAACAAACAACAAACACTCAAAACTGCACTTTCTTGGATCCAAATGTAAAACCCCTGCCATGACAAATGTGCGTCAAACATCCAGGTCGCAGCTACTAGATAGATCATTGCAATATAGTCTGCTTGGTAAGAAAAAACACATCTAAGTCTGGTTTCAGAAGACATCAGTGAAAGCTAAAATGTGTTATTTCCAAATAGGCTTCTTTGTCAAATTCAGGTAGGCTGGAGGTGAGATGAAAAGCTGGGATTGGTCGCTCTATTTCCCAAGAGAAATCTGATTGGTATTCAGGAGACACTTCCTTATTCCACTCAGGGTCACTGTGGTGACCGCTCTGTCGTCAATAGCAACACTTGCGTCAGCACCATAGGGACACACATACACATATGCATTCACACTCATATGCACAGCCACACACAGATACTTTACTATTCATATTATCTGCAACACACTCTTTTAACATCCACATACACACATAACAGCCACATACAAACACACACGTACACTTTGCTGCTTTCTTCTAACTCAACAACATTTGTCTCTCTCTCTTCTCCACACACACCCACACACACACACCCCCACACACACACACACCCACACAACTGTCCCTGTCACAGTGTCCTCTGGTTTATGGCCTGGAGCAATACATTCTCTGTTGAAGGCTACATTGCGTATGTGACTGTTGAAGGCTATGGTTCTAATACCCTTCTGCACCCTTTGGCGTGTGTGTTCATGCTTGTGTATGTGTGTGAGTGTGCATGCATGTTCGTGTGTGTGCACACAAAGATTGAAATTAATGTGTATCTTTCATGGATGATTATGGATGTTGCAAAACACATTGACCTGTATGAACACCAGATCAACTGAAGCTGTGTCAAGTCATTTTTATAGCCCCTTATCTTTAAAGGATATACAGAAAGTACCTTATCATCTCTGTAATGTTTTATTGTATTTCCTGAACATGTCATGCACCATACCGCACCGCATATGTCATACACTATACTGAATGATGCATGTCTTTTATCACACTGCATCATGTCAACTAAATGTCATGCACAATGTATGACACTACATCACATTAAAGGTCTTCACGGGTCTGTACATGTGGACAGCACCTGACCTTTAGAAAATGGACGTCCATTTCAAACAAATACCGACGTGGATTCCTAGGGGCTAAGACACACATGAACCAAACTGACCCTGTTCCAAGTCCGGCCTATCATGCCCTATTACTGAAAAGCAACTGGAAAGATGGTTACATTACATTCATCAGTTAGACTTATGCTTATAGAAATTGTATAGGACAGACAAATGGAGGCTTATTACAATACTAAACCCATTCAAAAAGTAATATGAAGTTACAAAGCATGCAAAAGGGATAAGCGTGACACAGTGACAAATCATTCAGAATAACTCCAAATCATTATCTATCTCTTTGAATTTTTCATCCGTCTTGGCAAGTTGTTTTATTCATGTGGGACACCTGTGAAGAGGCACATATGAGAGTGTTCATATTAATCATACCATAAAGAAACAGAAACATCAATATGTAAATGCAGATCTAGCTCATGGATTTACATCTCCAGTTCTGTAAGACTTGTCTTTCTGCCGTCAGATTAATGTCATTTGTTTCCCTTGGATTTTTGGCAGAATCTGTAGAAATATGTTTTAAAGTTTATGAAGCCAACAGCGTTAATCAATCAATTTGATGATATAGATTTTTTTCAAAATGTTACATTTTGACATGCATTATGATTTAAAGGATCAATCCAAGTGGTATTATTCTGAGAACAGCTGTGCTTTAACAAAGCCAATTCCAGGCAAAAGATCATTTGGAGGCTTTTAATAAATGGGAAAATAAATCACACAAATGGCTTAACCATTTATCACAATTTAGCAAAAATACTTAGCTTCTTTGGTCACCTTCTAGTTAAAACTCTGCTCGGGGTTTTTGTTATGGACATTTCAGTGTTTGTATGTTCATGATGGTTTGAGATATCACATTTTGTCATAGTCAGAGTGAGTAGATGCAAGAGGAAATTGCAGGTTGGGACACATCTTGTGGAGTCAAAGGTAATTTACTGGTACAAAAGCAGGTTTTTGCTGGGCAGGTGATGAAGGCAAACAAACAGCGGGGAATTGGCAGATAAACAACAGGTAACCAGCAGGAAAATAGTTGAGCATTGACGATCTGGCGCACTGGCAGTAAAAAGCTGTCTTCAATTAGGAGGCTGATGAGGGAGCGAGGGGCAGTTTAGTTGGCGGGTGAGTGGTCAGTTGATCTCCTGAGGGGAGAAGGCAACGAGAAACACAAACACTGAGGGGAGAGGAGGGTCAAGGAGCAAGCACAACACATTCAGAGGAGAGGATCGTCCAAACTGAGCCTCCTCTCCCACAAGCAGAAATGTGCTTTTTTTATAACTTGTTTAGTTCTCTCCCTATTTAATACTTTACCCCCTTTCCTCATTCCTCCTGTATCATACGTATTCTCTTTGTTACACTCCTTCTCCCCCCCTCATTCCCAGAGGCTGTGTCCTCAGAATTACCCAGATTCTTCATTAAAGAGCTCAGCCTGAAACCAGCAAATTACTATGGAGAAAGAGAGACTAGAGACAGGGAGGAGGGGAGCACTCGTATCACTTTCTCCATTGCAGCCATTTCCACACATAGTCTACATTTCTCACTTTCTCCTTACTCCTTACTCGTTCACTGGTAAAGAGACATAGAGTTTCTATTTTGTCTCAGTCAGCCACATTCCCTCTCCGTCTGCCCACCTCTTTGCTCCTTCTCTCTCAGGTTAAATGTTAATAGGGTTCTATAGCTCTGATGTTATTGCTTCATTTAGTTTTGGCATAATGATCCTTTAGAGCCAATCCATTCTCTCCTGTTCTCATTTAACCTTGGGGACGGTATGACGAGAGGGCCATTACTATACCTACTATCTCCTTCTTTCCTATTCTCTTTTTCAACTTCTCTCAGAAATAAGATCTTACTGTACTATTATCTTTTTCTTCATTTTCCACATCATTAAGTTTATCCGTTTGCACTTCCCATGTTCCCATCTTCCATGATATAAACAAGTCAAAGCACTTTACATTTGTTGAAACTTCATGTCTACTGTACGTGTCGGCTATTTTAGAGCTCACTTATAGAGCAGAAAGAAACTAAAGTAGCGAACATGCTTATGCTAGATCTGCTTTATAAATCGACAGCCTTCCAGTAAGTATAAACTGGCTTTGAGCCACTTCACACACATTGGCATGCACAGTGTCACTCACAGGCTGTGGACATAAGAAGACTGCTGCAGTGCTGCCATGCTGCATATTTAGTTATCACTATGCCCAAGGAAATGTAATGCAAGGACATTCAGGAAGGAGGAGGAGATACACTTTTGGCTAGGCTTCCTTTTGACTAATTTACAGGCATTGAATTCATTTATGCCCTGTAGGTCTACAGAAATCCAACATACACAGAGAAGCCATGAGGCCGAAATAATAAGATCATAAAAAAACACGGCATAATCTCCTTTAACTTTCTGTTAGTGATTAAAATGGCGTGCTCCTGCATCTTCTTGAAAAGACGAACAGTGTAGCACCTTTGTAGGGCTCTGGTTAAAACTTAATAGCAATGTGATTTAAATGCATTTTCAGTACAGTTGTTGCATAGCAACAGTACAAGCTGTACTTTGTGTTTTCTCTCAGCTTTTTGTTTAGAGTTGGCATCTTCAAAGGAGCCACTGGTGGAGTCAGCTCAATGAAACAGAAGTATTGGGGGAAGTTGCAACAGGCTCTATCCATCAGTTTTCATCAGCTGAAGCCAGGTCTTCACACAATGGTGCAATTTATACCGTCCAAACAGAAGCATGATTAAAAGAAGGGGGGGCAGAGGGTTTACTGTATACTGTCGGACAATTCAGTATCCCCCGCCCTGTCCCACTCGCCAGGTGTTTATAGTACCTGCTTCTTCAAACTATCCCTAGATCTTAAATGGGTATATGGGTAGGGAGGAGCCTGCCCTACCTCATTGTCTCCACGACAACCAGAGGAAGTGCTTTATCAAGCAGAAATTCAATTATGTCGCCTCATTGGCTAGAAGCCATAGATGGATGGACAAAGGGGAATGCAGCAGCCAATTAGAACGAGAGAGAGAGAGAGAGAGAGAGAGAGAGATAGCAAGAGAAAGAGAGAGAGAGACAACCTATTATGGTAGATGTGAAATATATAGAGTGTTCAGTTTCATCTATCACACATACACACACACACACACACACACACACACACACACACACACACACACACACACACACACACACACACACACACACGAGACACAAAAGGCACACATGAACAGTAACCAACCAGCCTCAGTAATGAGTTCAAGTATAAGTTGACTTCAGTTCAGCTGACACATTCTTAGATACACACACATATATGGGCACAGTATAATTTATTTATATTCCAGCTGTGTTTAATGCTGTGTGAACAGTGCTGATGTGGCATTCGGGTGTAAAGGACGTGTACAAGGAGGTTGGACCAGCCCTTCTCTGTCACTACTCTCTGCAGGTCCGCTCCATTTCTTACTGCAGATCAAAAAAAGCAAAGAATATGTATTTCTTAATAAAATAAATAGGCCACCATTGGTAGCAGTTCTCATTATATACTTCTCAGTAACTGCTCCGCTTAAATTAAATGTATTCTGTATATTTGGGGGATTTATTAATGCATGTATTGCGATCACCATGCTTTTTCAAGACTCTTTTAAATTCTATCATTTTATAGGCCAAGTTTCACTTTTCTGAAAATAACAAAGCAGTGTTGAGGAAATATTCCCAACTGCATCTTCAAAAGTAATCCAAATAGCTACATCAGCATCTAGCAAATGAAAAGCTTTCTTTGTAGACACACAGATCAGCTGTAGTGGCACAGTGGCAAATCCCTGCTGTGACTATTTGGAAGTTTTAGGAATATTTCCCCGTCAATTAGCACAAGTCTAAAGTTCTTCACCAGCACAAGTATGAGGCCATGAGACACGTGCAAGTCCAGAGGGATTTGTTTTATGACATGACATATAGTGTCTTGTATGCCGGCATGAAATCCAACCAGTACATCACTTTTCATGTAAATATAAAGCCAGCTGCTTATTGAAACAAGAGTGTGCAACATTAAAAAGTATACAACATGATATTTTAATTCTTATAATCATAATGATTAACCCTTTAAATGCAGGATCTGGTCTTGCCTTTAGATAAAGTAAAATTATCAATATATGCTGGTGTACCTCATGAGGTATTGTCAGAATTGCAGTTGTATTGAAAACCTGCTATGTGCTAATAGGAGAACTGTGATACGTGGGAAAATGGTGATAATGTAATCACAGAAAAAGACGCATTCATCTCCACAAAGCTGTTCATGTCGGTATAAATTAGGGTTTTTTCGTGTGCATTTGTGTGTGCTTAAAAATATGTGTGCTTGACTGCCTTAGTGTGTGTGTGTGCGTGTGTGTGTGTGTGTGTGTGTGTGTGTGTGTGTGTGTGTGTGTGTGTGTGTGTGTGTGTGTGGTGTGTGTGTGTGTGTGGTGTGTGTGTGTGTGTGTGTGTGTGTGTGTGTGTGTGTGTGTGTGTGTGTGTGCTTGCTTGCTAGAGAGAGTTTAGCAGGTTAGTAGGCGATGCTTAATCCAATCTGCCTTACATGCCGATAAGGCTGAGTCAGCATTGTTGGTGCTGCTACATCTCAGTAGGCCTCCCCCTCTCATTTAACCCATTTATGGTCATGTCAGGTTAAAGTGGTATTGGCGCTTTCCAGCTCGCGTGATTTCATCTTGGTAATTATCTACAACACGAAAAACCTGATTATGTTGCCACAAGAAAAATTGTGTTAGATGAGCTTCTTGTTAGTAGGAAATAATAAATTAACCCCATGCAAAGGAGCAAATAAGGCTATATGCTAACAGATAAGCAGTTATAGGTGAGTTGAAAGGCATGGCTACATTTTTCATTTGTTACTTTTATTTTCATAGATTAGTGGTCATAGTGAGGAAAAATAGTTTATATGTGATGTCCCCATGTGTCCAGGTTGCAGATAGTAAAGGGGGAAAATAACTATATTTATTTATACTTTATGAGTCAAAAAGAATGTTTGAATACAAACTACAAAAACAGATGCTCATAAATAAGAACATATTGATATGCACGTACATATGCTTAGTGTTAACTCGCCAGACTCAGACATGTGTGATGTTTTTGAAGTTCTCCAGCGGAATATTGAATATGGAAATCTGTAAAGTCCTCACAAGGAAATGGGAAGTGGAGGCAGAGAGGTTTCAGTCTCCCCCGAGGGTCAAGCAGGAATTCTAGTTTGAGATATTGCACATTGCTAGCATCAAAGGTGTGCTCATTATTACCCATTAATTATCTTTGTTGCCACCTCCTCTCTCCTTGTTCAATCTTCTCCCTTCTCTCAATTTCCTCTCATCCTTTATTTTTGTGTCTCTTCTGCTTCCCTCGTCTTCTTTTCTCTCTTCTGCTCTGCCAAATGTGTTTCTCTCTGGTCTTAGATGAAACAGAAAGTGTTGGTTTAATAATTTGTCATACCAAGTTTTGAGCTATGTGCTGATTCGCCCAGCTTCAAGTGCGGCTCAGGAGGAGTTCCTCATCTCTTTCTAGTTCTTCTTGTAATCCTGAATGAACTCTGTTGAAGATATCATGACACAGTTCTACAGGTACATCATTTGAACTGATGTTCTCAGAGGTTGCTAATGTTTGTCGTTTTTTAAGGATATGTTTCTTCTTTTCCTTCTTCCTATGAATTAAGCAAACTTACCTATATTCAAATACAGTAGCAGTCGATTGACTTTAACTGAGTTGAGCGTGAAGTTGCTTGAAACTGACATGCTGCTTTTTTTGTTTGTGAACTTTAGGTTATCCAGATCAACTTCGAAGAGTTTGACCTGGAGATAGCCTATGATACTCTGACCATAGGGGATGGAGGGGAGGTGGGGGATCCTACAGCTATTCTGCAGGTGTAAGTAAAACAACATCCTTTCATACAATCCCATATATATGTATAAGCCTATATTCATGCTACTGCAGTATTTTAGACTTTTTTAAGAACATTTTAATTATCCAACATATTTTATATTGTTTATATTTGATGTACTATTTTTCATTTTCATTTTAATTATTATTTCTCTATTCCACTTTTTAATTATTTGTATATTTAATATGTGAACAAACTGCTGCTTCTGTAACAAAATAATTTCCCAAATTGTGATCAATAAAATAAATATCTATCATCTATCTGTCTATATGCCATGTGAAATTATAAAAACATGCTTTGTTATATCATTATTTTCTGAATCGGAGAATCATGTCAAAGACAACCTGAAAAAAGTGAACTGCCTGCTTGTAAAAAAAACCCAGTGAGAAAAATATTCCGGATATGCCTATATTTAACTTATAATTCAAAAAAACCTCACACAACCTTCAAACAAGGAAGTTAAGAAAACCAGAACCAAAGCTTCTGTATTTTCTTGAAATCCTGCATTTTAAGTCAGTTGACTTCTTAAAGCTATAATGATGGGATACATACAGAGCAGGCCCTGCTGCCGTACCAGACAGATTATGTCTACAAAACAGCTTTACCAAAGTAATGTGGTGAGATAAACTCCTTAAAGGTGAATGTAATAACTTGCATAAAATGTGCTGCCTTAACTGCGATTTTGCATTTGAGTAATTTTATGAAGCAGGTGTGCAACACACAGAGTATTTCCTTAATGGCCAGCTGCCATCATGAGCAGCAGCGTTATCGTCAGACTATCAAACGCCTCACAGTTAGAGTTAAAACTTTTCTTTTTATACTCTGTCCATTTTCATTCTGGCTCTTGATTTAAGTCATCACCTGATAGCAAGCTTGAAATCCTCCATCTTTTTTGGCACACTTAGTCAGATCGTAAAAAAGCAGTTTGCATCATGTGTAATGTAAAAAGGATGGACTGTTTCTGGATTTTGGGAATGATATTCCGTGCCCAAAAGGATAACAGATGTAAAGCCTTTGCACAGTTGATGATTTGAATTCAGTGTGGAGTCAATCACTGATAACTTTCATGCCTAAAAGGCGTTGGCAACCAGAAAAATGGCTAGATAGTATGAATGTACTGAGAATCAGTCTGCTGTTCTGAGGCAGCATTCTGCTTCACCAAAACAACCCAAATCAAAGCATTCATCCACTGCCAGTTTGTTCACATTGAGAGCAGCACTTGAACATTTCCCTATGGCCTTGATTGGAGTGATTAAAATAGTGATTATCATGGCGATGATTTAATATGAATGTATTTTGTGCTCCAGACTATCAGGAAGCTTTGTTCCTGACCTGATAGTCAGCCTGACCCACCAGATGTGGCTTCACCTTCAGTCAGATGAGAGTGTCGGATCCATAGGATTCAAGATCAACTACAAAGGTAAGAAATTAGCATTTGAGAGAGATGTAGAGAAGTAAATGAATATAATGTTTGTGAGGGGGTTGAAGAAACATTTCTAACCTTAAAAAAAGGTGTAGACTTTTTCAGCTGCCTTTCCAGTGGCTGTGTATGGTACCAAAGCATTTTGGGCCAGTGTATGTAACATGATGAACGCGGAAGTTGCCTCAAAGCCCAGCTCCACGTCTATATTATTATATTTACAATATTATAAAACGAGCCTAAATGAAGAAAATAAGAAATATCAAATGTGTGGAGTGTGGCATCTGAAGGTATTTTTTTCCTATGGGAAATATTTGTTTAGATTTTTCAAGCTATAGATCAGTGATCCCAAAATGTTGGTACGCCTTCCTCTGTTTATAAGCGAGCTGAGCTTGAACACAAGAGCCTTGCTGAGAAACCTATCAACTGATTTCCAACCGTCCCAAGTATTACACTTGGTTAAATATTATTATAGAGAGCTAATATACACATACAGTACACATCACAATATAATGATGTAACAAGTAGTCGTTAATTATTTAAATATTACAAATAATAGAATTGTTGTGAACAACGTGAAAGTCTGACATACAGTAGCATGAACCAGTGAAGCTAGAGTTAGCTAAACTTGGTAGTGGATTTAAACAGATCAAGTTCAACTTTGAGATGGCTTCAATGTCCACCAAAAGCCCAAATAGTTTAAAGTCAGATAAGCCCTTTAATGCTCAGAGTCACAGTTTGCAGTGAAATAAATAAAAACAACATGATACTAGGTTGGTTATATCAAGCTGGAATTTACCATCAAAGAGAAGCTTCTAAGGCTTCTAGTCTCGGTGTCTCTTTCATTGTTTTAGTTTCGTTGTCTGCAGTGGGATGGTGTTCTTGAGAAATCTTGGTTTAGTACATATTGGTACGTGGTCTTGGAAGTTTGGCAATTTTGCTTTAGTGCATATTTTAAGGCTACAGTATATACGATCTTTTTTTTCTGGGTTTATATTTCATGTTCAGATTAGACTTGTATCTCACAACCCCTGCCTTGTATCTTATTATAAAACAGTTTGTATCTCTTCTGTTGATTTGGCTCTTGTGAGACCTTTCCAAAGTTCCCTGCTTGATAGATGTAGTGCGACTCTGATTACAGTCCATGAAACACAGAGATTGAGCTTTGCAGTACAAATGAACTTTGTGTTCCTCATTTGGGTGTCATCACCGGTGGATTTATTGTCACAATGAGGTCACAGTGCTGACTCTGCTCATGCAGTGAGTTCCTAAAGTGGCAGGACAATGGCACATTGTTTTGATATATCTGTGCCCTTTATTCCCCTTGAGTTTCAATGTGAAGTTCAAATAATACAGTACAGTGTGGAAATTGCGATTAAAAGAACTCAGTCAAATTGAATACATTTCAAAATAAAGTAACAATTTTTCTTTAATCCTGAGGTCTCCCATGAAAACATTTGAATGAAATTGTAGTACAGAAATGCTTAAGATATAGGATACATTTGACATTTTTATACATGGCATCCAGAGTGACAAAAACACTGGAAATATGTTACCTGGATGTATATTATCCTTAAGTTTGACTTGTTCACTCAAATCCAAATACCATGAAGAATTACATTCACACTCCGACAAGATACATGTGTTTTTCTCGGATGGGCTGGCTCCATCACCCACAAGATTTACTATAAAGGAGGACGCCTGTAGTATTAGTAGGTGGCTTTGAGATATCTGTGTGTTTTTCAGAAAGAAAAGGGTGTGTGTGTGTGTGTGTGTGTGTGTGTGTGTGTGTGTGTGTGTGTGTGGTGTGTGTGTGTGTGTGTGTGTGTGTGTGTGTGTGTGTGTGTGTGTGTGTGTGTTCCTAGAGCCACATCCCGTAGACCTTGGCTATGAAATATAAATATTAGCAGTAACTTTAACCTTGCTGCAAATTCACCGATGCACTACACATTGTGTGTGTGTGTGTGTGTGTGTGTGTGTGTGTGTGTGTGTGTGTGTGTGTGTGTGTGTGTGTGTGTGTGTCAGGCAGGTCCTCCATCAGTGAGCCAACAAAGCCCTACCAACAAGTCACTCACCTCTCACTCCTCACCTCCTCTCCCTTCCCTTCTCTCTATGTGCATGTCTCTCTCTCTGTGTCATTTTTCCTCATTAGCCATCACTCCCTTCCCCTTCTCTCTTTTTCTTTCTAAAAGCACAACATGTTCTCTGACAGTTGCTCACTAATGCGCTGTTGCCTCTGCTTCTCTCTTTACTCTCCCTTTTATCAGACACCTCTTTTCTCTTGCGTTATCTTTCAGATGGCCAGCACTAAGTCTTACTTTCTCTTTCTCACTCTTCATCTCTGTGTCTGCTTTTCTGTGTCTCACAGTCACTCTGTCTCTTTCCCTCTCTGTGTCTTGCCACCATCCATCTATTATTAAACCCAAGGTCAGCAACCTACCAACTCTTTGACTCCACTGCCTGTTACAAAGCATACACATCACACATCACACATCACACACACACACACACACACACACACACACACACACACACACACACACACACACACGCACACACACACACACACACACACACTAACACACACACACACACACACACACACACACACACACACACACACACACACACACACACACACACACACACACACACACACACACACACACACACACACAGTCAAGACTGCCTGTACAGCAATCTGAGTGTCTACCTTTAATCGTGACTTGTCTTGACACAGCTATAGATTTAAGGCAGCACTGCAACATTACTGACATCATTTACATTGCAGTTTCAGTGTGTTTCTGTCTACTCTGGGAATACTTATGTTGATCTTAAGCTTATATATATGTTTGCACGCTCCATAAAGAGGTGTCATTGAGGTTTTAGAGCATACTATATCCGTGTGTGTGTTTGTTTGTGTGTGACTGTGGAGTTATAAAACACCTATGTACTCGCACTTACAAAGCCTGAGATTTGCTTTACCCCTTAAGTTCAACAACATCCAAACAGACTTTCAATGATTCATTTTCCCTTTTGTATGAAATGAAAAAGATATGGTGTGTAACGGCATTGATGCAGGTCAGGGTTTCTCCGTATATGTTCACAGAATGATATCTGACTTACAATTGATTTGTGTTGGTTAAAAGACACTCTGGGAATACTTATGTTGATCTTAAGCTTATATATATGTTTGCACGCTCCATAAAGAGGTGTCATTGAGGTTTTAGAGCATACTATATCCGTGTGTGTGTTTGTTTGTGTGTGACTGTGGAGTTATAAAACACCTATGTACTCGCACTTACAAAGCCTGAGATTTGCTTTACCCCTTAAGTTCAACAACATCCAAACAGACTTTCAATGATTCATTTTCCCTTTTGTATGAATTGAAAAAGATATGGTGTGTAACGGCATTGATGCAGGTCAGGGTTTCTCCGTATATGTTCACAGAATGATATCTGACTTACAATTGATTTGTGTTGGTTAAAAAGACACAGGGTTACAGCAAATCACTCAGTTTCAGTATTCAGTATTTATAATGTATCTCTTTATTCTAATTTGCCTACTTAAGTTTTAAATATTATATCTCAGATAAGAATGACGGTCATATATACTTCATGTATTGTATAAGTTAGTCTTGAATATGTTACCTTATGAAACAAGGCACATTGATCATGTAATGTCATTTTGAATGTCTTCTGAATAAATAATACATATCCAATATGTGACTATGTGTTAATATTCAAACTGAAAGGCAAACTTCATAAAACAAAGTGCAGGCAGTAGAACATGTAAGTCCATCACATAAAGTCATATATGATTTACTTAACTTCTTATATTCTAAGACAGAAAGTAGGTTTGGTGTTTAGCTAGCAGCGAGTAATATTCCGAATGCACCTGCTTCAGCTCGTCTTCTCCTGTTTTTCTTTGTAATCAGTGATTGTTTGCAAAGTGGAATTGTTGATATATCTCTGAGGGGCTCCAGCAGTATTCCATCACCGACTCATCTCACTTTTGAGATTTTAAGGGGCGCCATGGGAGAGAGAGAGAGAGACCCGCCATCGCCGTGTGTAATTTAAATGCAGCAGCTGCCAATTGGATTGATGCAGGATTCAACACTTCACACAGAGTAAACCTTCTGTTCCACTTAGGAGCAGCAGCTGATTCGTGCCACTTGAAACAGGCACAGGTGCTCATTTGCCCTCATTCACCTGCTGCTCACGAAAAGCCACATTGTGTGACCATGGATGTGGCAAGTAACAACACCTGTCACCACATCTGATTGATTGAAATGTCTGATGGACAGTGGTGTGTGCTGTGTCTTTTCTGAGGCCATATTTGAGCTTTTCACAAGACCTCAGGGCTATCAGAACATGATGTATACCATTCCTATGTTATATATTATTTTTTGTTAGAACAAATGGCAAGTCAAATCTAAAACAGGAAACAAATTATATAGGAATACAATTTAAATCCACTTTTCCGATATGGTGGCCATTATAGATGCAGAACAGAATAATAAGTGCAAATATGTGCCTCACCTGTCATCCATTTTCACTGAAATACATTTTGAGAATTTGTTTCCCGCAGTGAGTCATTCCCTCGAGCTCCGGCTTTTTTTAGTGCATCATTCTCGCATTATCTCATCGTCCTGTGTTATATAACTCTGTGTTGTGGAGACTACAAAGTGCAAACTCAAATGCAAAGGACCTGCCTCACGGGCACTTCTAAAAGAGGGCTAGATTGTACACGTGTCGATCTCGTGACAAATGTTTTTTATCTCTTGCTTCACATCATAGATTTTAGTGGTTTTATCTCATAGCATGCTTTTTACTGACCTGGAATTACTGTGCAGCAAAAGCTCAAATGTCAAACACATGATACTGCAGTCTCTGTAAGGGACAACATCTCACCCCTGAATTTCACTTTTTCTGTATCATCGCTGTTTCCGCTGCCAATTTTTCTCCCCTACTCTTCTTTTCAGCAGAATCCCATCACCTAGTCATAATGTCAGCTCTTACTTTTAAGATTTTATTTTAGATTTTTCATCTGCTTTTTTATAGTTTCTAATACGAGATTCATTTTATAGGAGGAAGAGATGTCAAGGTGGATTTTTAGTGCATAGTTGACCTCCTGCTGGATGGGTCCTCAGTATGTGTGTGTGTGGGTGTGTATTATTAATGTCCACCTACATTTGTGCACCCATGTGTTTCTGTGTTTGATGGCGAGTGTGTCTGGTGTGGGATGTCACTGTAGGCATTGTAGAAATGTAACAAGATGTATAAATTCCACTACATGCCTGGTCACAATTCAGAGATTAAGTGAGGAAGAGAGATGAGGCAAGAAGCATTTGAGGCAGCTTAACTGCAGCTGAACTTTGTGTGGTACCGCATTTGTAAAAATGTAAATTACTGAAGGAGAACACATTTAGAAGCATGGTCAGGCTCAAACACAACAGCGTCTCGTTTTTTCATGTACTGTATGAGACTCCATTCATGTTGACCGAGTATGTACTGCAGCTGTATGATTTGTGTTTGGTCGTACAAAAGCTCAATCCTGTAGAAGCAATGTAGTCCAGGTACTGAGCAGGACCATCTCAATCACACAGAACTAAACAGCATTTCATTCAGAGTGACTGAAACACCATGAAATATGATTTCATGAAATATTCATTCACAACATGAACCACCAATGTGGTTACATTTTCCACCCAATAACTTTAGGATTGGGGTAGTGAGCCAAAGCCGACCGCTTTCTCGGTTATGTGTGTTTATATTTGCACGTGCGTGTGTTAATAAATATTTATATATATACATGTGTGTTTCACCTGTGAAGAGCAGGGCCTACTTAATCACCGTAAACGGAAAAACAGCAATTCATTTTGTTGTCATTAATTATTGACACATGTAATGTTCAGGCCTCTCGTAGCGACCAGTCCTACTGAAATTAAATGACTATATATACACAAAATGTATTTCTCTCATTAGAACTGAATAATATATTCTATACATTTCAAACCATCTTTGAAATATTTGTCCTGATTCCTATTTTGACTGATTCTCATTTTACATTTCTCTTACAATAAATGGCCATGAATTGAATGGCCAAAAAGCAGATCCAGGTGGCTCAGAGCTCATTAGACTCTTTGTTTTTAGTAGAAGCAGAAAATATGTATAACTCTTAACCTCTTAGTTGAAGTTTATAGGTTACGGTCCCTTCTTTCATGTAACAGATTGTACTAAAGTACTTTTGTGCTCAATTATGTTACATACATGTAGGATTCTTGTTCAGATGAGGAGAGGGAATGATAGAAACATAACATCAAAATTACAAAAATGCCTATGAGCTGAGTGTGTCCTGTTCTGTGAGCAGAACATTATGCTCCTAGATTGTAAAGATCTGGACGGACACATTGTGAAACTCACTGATGATAGAAGCCTTTTACAGGGTCATGAGACAGAGCCAGGCGTGTAGTAGAGGAGTTTTTAAACCCCTCTGGAGTGATGTATCTTTGCTCCAAGATGTGTCAAGATCAAAGAAAAGCAACCCAATTATTATGTGCGATACAGAAATCCAATTTAAAGAGAGTTACATGTATATGGGAGTTTCACTATCAAGTGTAAAGACAAAATATGTTGCGGACTTTATATAACAAAACCCGACAGGGATGGAGAAGAGGAAATATCTCTCTCACACACATCTATCAAATTAATGCTCAAAAGCTCCGCAGTGGCCTTGTTTGGAACCTGAGAGAGGCTGGAAACTATGTCATCATTGTGGGCGTAATTTATTAGATTTTTTTTATCAACCAGACTGTCCTCACTGATGTCTACAATTGACACAAATCAATTTGAGCCACTCCCTTTGCAACTTCCACGCAATCCCTTTTCATTTCTGGCCATTACTGCTACCTTTGATTATTATTTGATGTGGTTTAATGTCTTTACTGCTTCCTTCTGTTGTGGAGACACTGGTAAGGGATACACATATTGGCAATAAAAACATAGCAACAACCAGAACTTTCAAGAGGCATTTGATAGCATATGGCAAACATTACACTATGCAGGCTGCTATGCGTTACTATTAGCAATCTAGCCGTGAAATCAATTTCACAATGGTCACAAAACAGAAACCGCCAATAAGCTTTTATTTTCCTTCCAATCTCATTACCCCCCCCAACATCCATTACCTTACCCTCCCAGATCTTTACAGGTAGTGCATATATGTACTTCTGTTATGTGTGTGTGGTTTTTCTGTGTTTGTGTGCATTGATGCGTATTCCCATGGATGATTTGATATGAGCAAGATGGAATATTATATAACCGATTGGAATGGGGCTCGATGTGAAATCACATAGTTTTGAGGTACACACACATTCACTCACTTGAAGGAGCCTAATCCCCTTTGTGAATCTGTCAGCTTTGTTGTTACAAACACAAAAGGATTATTTGGGTGTGTATGTGTGTGAGAGAGTGAAATGTGTGTATGCCTGTGCGTGATACTAAGGCAGAGACTAGCTGTCATTGTGTGGCTCTCTTTACGTATGTGATGCATGTATGTGTTTGAGAGAAGTAGCTTAGGTATGTTCCGACAGTGTGCCCGCTTTTTCTCTGAAGCGATTTGTTTTCTATTATATTCCATAGGGTGCATGTGCTCATACACAAGCATGTGTGTTAGGCAGGTTGTGATTGGTAGAGTCTGTGGTTCTCATAAAGACGATGTCATGATGGAAATTAATGCAATACATCATAAACGTGCACTCAGGGACACACACACACAAACAAACAGTAAAAGACAGCTTTGCTTCCTACTAAGGGCCACTCCTGTAAATAATACGGAAAATAGGAGTGGAAAGCAGGGGAATAAAGCAGAGGCAGGCTGGGGAAATAGAGGGGATATTTTCTGAAATATGGTGCTGAAAATGTAAAGAGAATTATGGTGACACAGTGGCACCCTCATATAGAACCAGAGAAGGATTCATGTAACCTCATGGTTCGACTTTTTATGGTGTTATGAACACTTGCAAACTCAGGGAAGGAGGCAGGCAGAAATAGATGGATGCAAATTCGCTCTAGGCTACGTGACCTAAGACGCAAAACCATTAAAGACATTCACCGAACGCAGCAAACCAAGAGCCAATCATTTCCCAGCAGGACTATTGGGTTTGCAGTATATCTCTGTTCAAAATGGATGATGAGCTCAATGCTGCATGACATGGTGTTTCACAGCAGGGGAAGATGGCCATTGGGTGTTTCGGGATGCACAACACTGCATGGTGACCACACATGGTGTTGTTAAAGCTAGACTCCATACTCTGGATAAAATAGCTGAAAAATATATGTACTGACAATACTCAAGTTGATGAAATAAATCTCAGTACATGTTTAAACAGCATCGTTTGTGATCGTTCTCTTTTGCAAAAATGAAAAAGATGACATACAAAACAAGTATAATCATACAGTAGCTATCAATTTGTTTATCCATGTGATTTTTATCCACAGTTTATAGAAAAACATTAATAAAGACTTTGAACAAAAGTTCTTTAGAAACTCTGCACTTTATATTGTCTCTCCTGTTTGATTTGCTTTGCTTTCTTATTAAGTTTGGTAGGGATTGATGTCACCATATTTGGCCAGCAATGCCCCAAATTATTTGTAATGCTGAAAAGACCAACAACCAGCAATCTGTTAGTCATTCTCTTGCAAGCCAATGCTGAAGAAGTGAAGCTATATTAGTCTTAAACATATTGATTAAACAGCTGGGCACATTAATTGTTTGCAAATGTTACCCAAATAAGAGTTAATACTACATTAGTTGGTGCTTATTTTCTGCTGCAGCTTAAACAGATTTGTTGTTCTTGTGAGTATTTCCAGCAGCAGGATATTGTATATGCGGTACTGCCTCAAAATAAATGTTGATCATGTTATGAACAAATGTGTCAGCCCGTCTGTTGATCTGGCTTATTGATGCATGATTTTTATGTTTTCTGCACAACAATGTAGGTCTATCACTCAGAGGAATAACACTCACATGTGAATGCCTCTTTTTGAAACAGAAATAGACAAAGAGAGCTGTGGCGACCCTGGGACTCCTCTCTATGGAGTAAGAGAAGGGGACAGCTTCCTGAATGGAGGAATCCTGAGGTTTGAGTGCCAGTTTGGCTTCGAGCTGATTGGAGAGAAAACCATCTCCTGCCAAGACAACAACCAGTGGTCAGCGAACATCCCCATTTGCATATGTAAGTACTAAAATCATGGGGTTGGTTATTTTCGGGGGTTGCAGAGAGGGAATAACATGGCCTGTGCTCTGCTGTGCTGTTGATAACATTCAGTCTAACCTGTCACCATGGTGACAGTTTATTATGGCCTTGAGCGGATGATGACCGATGATGCTGTGACGATGAATATTTAACAGGAAATGTCTCTCTGCATCTTTTCCCCCCCATTTTATTTTTCCTTTCCAAATGTCCCCTCATCTCTCTGTCTCCCCATTTCCATATGTCCGTCTGTCCGTCTGTCTGTCTGTCCACATTTGTGTTTGTTCCTGTGCTCCTCTTCCTCCCACAGTCCCCTGCATGTCAAATTTCACAGCTCCCTTGGGAACCGTCCTCTCCCCAGATTACCCAGAAGGCTATGGGAACAACATGAACTGTGTCTGGCTCATTCAATCAGAACCAGGCTCCAGAATCCACTTGGCATTTAATGACTTTGACCTTGAAGCACCCTACGATTCCTTAACTGTGAAAGATGGCGAGACAAACGATGCGGGCGTCATCGGGAGGTTCTCTGGAGCTGAGAATCCATCCCACCTGACGTCCAACACCAACACAGTGAGGCTGGAGTTTCAGGCCGATCACTCCATGTCAGGAAGAGGATTTAATATCACATACAGTAGTATGTCATTTTTCTATTTCTACCACTTTCCTTATTTTAATACAGGAACATTACCTATTTGACTTACTGTGCTGTCAGACAAGGTCTAATGTATGGAGAGTATATTGATAATATACTTTCTTTCCAACGACCTGAGGTGTGAAACTTGGTTATGGCGAGATTAAGAAGGGTCACATTTATTTTATTATGCAGCAGAATATCGCAGAAGCTTCAAAAGTCTGTGATATTGTTTCGTTTTGAAACGGATCTGCTCATATACTGTAACTATATGAATTATACGCATTACTTTGAACCTGGACCTGAATGACAATGAGGGGTTTAACAGTTGGAAAGAGTAGGTGTGATTTCTTTCCTCAAATATTTGATGTTTGACTTTGAATAGAAGCTGTTCTAATTCACTTAACAAGCATGAGGCCTTGACAACACCCACCTTTATTTCTGTAAAAAACAAAAGACACACTTTAATGAGGTGTCATGTGGTCAATGTAGCAGCTACAAATAGAGGTATAGGTTGCAAAACAAAGACTTAATAAAGAAAAAATAGAGGAGGAAAGGCTTTTGACTTGTTTGTTGTCAAACTCAGTCAGATGAAAAGTCATATTTCCATAATTTGTCTCTCTGTGCGTCCAGCACAAAGAAAGGGCCAGGATGTGTTAAGCCTTGCTAAGCAAATCGTCTTGTTCTGTAAGGAGTGAAACTGCAAACCATTCAAAAACTCCCAAATTGCTTTTTTTAACATCATAACTTTAGTAGTTCACCCATGTCAAAGTAAAGCCAGGATATAAATGTTTCAGGAGAAGTTGGATCTCAGCAGTTCTGACTTTATTGTAAAGTTGTCAGCTGTGCAGACCTTTATAACTGATCAAAACCCAGGTGACTCTCAGATGTATTGATCACTAGCTGTCTCGACAACAGGATACAAGATGTACAGTAAATAAGATCTTTTTGGATTTGTTGGAAGGCATATGTGTTCATATTTGATGGTGACAAACTGTTTTCCCCTGCTTGCAGTGTTTGAGCTATATCAGGCTAAACACGTCTCCATACCAAACAAACAGAAATGGAAATTGATATTGATCTCATCCCCTCACTGCGGGTTTGACAGCAAACAGACAAAATGTTCAAGTTTTCTGTACAATTGCTTTGTTGTATGGTCTTCTTATCTGAGCCAGACCATATACTGAAGCAAACATGCTCCTATGCATTTTAAGAAAAAAGTACATTGTTTAGATCAAACCCAAGCACAGTGCAAATATGCTGTAGCTGGAGAAAATAACTTTTTAGCAGAGATATAGATCATTAAAGCAGTAATAAAGAACAGATAGATTAAAGGAGACATTTTCCTGGCCATGAGTGAACACTTAAAGACGCCACATTGCAGTTATAGATCTACAGTAATATGACAAGTTCTCAGAAATGTCATCATAATCTAGTATGAAAGTGTCATATTCTTAACTGTTCTCATCTTTGTCTCTCTCTGTTGACGTTTGGATTCCAATTTCGTCCTCATGATATCTGTTTCCACTTGTGACTTTTCACTCCAGCCTTCGGGCATAATGAGTGCCCGGACCCTGGCATTCCCATTAACGCTCGCCGCTTCGGAGACAGCTTTCAGCTCGGCAGCTCCGTCTCGGTGGTCTGCGAGGACGGGTTCATCAAAACCCAAGGATCCGAGACCATCACCTGTCAGTTAGAGAAAGGGAAAGTCATGTGGAGTGGGCCCATCCCTAAATGTGAAGGTAAATACCCACTTGATGGCTGATTCAACTATTAACTCGGGAACAATATGTCATCCAAGATAACATCATTACTGCAGCTTAAAGACTCAGGAGGTGGAAATGATCTGCTGTCAGCTCGACAGAGGGAACAAGATATGGAGGTGTCCAGTTAACCTGAATATCCAGGGAAAGATCTATTGTTATGCTGCCGCCACAGGTGCTGCGACTGTTTTAAGAAATACCTAGCTTACTGTACTAGCATTTAAGAATATCAAACCATTTACTGTTCGATATATGTAGGAATACAATTTTTACAGATGACATTTAACCAAAATGTATAGAAGTTAATGACAAATATTTGAATGTGTAATTATCACCCTGGTGTGGTATAAATGTCAAGAGAAACAGTCCTTCAAAAACACTGCTTATTAGTCATAACACCAATCCAATTTGAGTGCAGCCTTACCATACATAATTATTATATTGGTTTTCAAAAATAACACTGTCATTAATCATCCACAACATAGTCATACATCGCCATTTAAACCATTAATAATATGTTACGGTTGGCATTAAGGCAAAGTTTGATCAGCTGCTTTGTTAAAGTACAAAGTAGAAATGTGCATATGACCTGTTAATGTCAGATGGAGCAAAAACACGACCAGTGTAAATACTTTGACTGCAACTCCAGCAGCAGATATAATTACATTAGAACTGTCGACGGTACGAAGAAAAAGCATGTTAATTATGCTCCAAGTCATTTAATGTCCCCAGATCCTTTGTAGCTAATGTCTGTCTATACGACTCGGATGCAAATTCACTTACTTGTTTTCAGGAGGTACGGACCAAAACAAATTGACTTCAGACACCAAGTTGAACTCTAAACAAGATCAAGTTTTAAAGAAGACTGGAACAAAGTGGCATCTGGCTAATGTACCCTTGTGTCAACATTGTGTTAAAAAAATCTCATTTATAATTCATGTTCTCTGAATGTCTATAATGAATATGCTATTTGAATTGATTGCCATCTTTTGTGGTGGTAGAAGCTCGAGGGACTTGGCTTTGGAACCAGAGGGGCGCCGGTTCAAGTCTTCAATCAGACCAAGAAGAGTGGTACATTGAGAATGGCCAGTTTACTCCCTTGACCGGCCTATAATGCCCTTGAGCAAGGCATCAGACCCTCACTCTGTTCTCTGGGCGCTGTATAGTAACTGCCCACTGCTTCTTTTATTAGGATGGGATAAATGTAGATTCTAAATTTCACTCTGGTTGATATGTACATATATTTGACAATTAAAAAGAGGACTTGAGTTTGAATCCTCCATTTACTGTACTTACTTAAATTATACAAGTACAATTGGGGCATTTAATGGCAAGCTGTTGAACATAACTTACTAAATCCTGCCAGATCTTTCTAGTATTAGGCCTCACTCGCCACAAATCAACATGTAATGAAGTTAAGAGTAGACTCAGACCAATCTGGGGGCAACTACAGTATCATTTGAAGTCAATGCCCACACAAACAACTAGTGCTAAGACCTGCATGTCATTTGTCTGATGTCCAGTGTTCTCTGTCTGCCCCCTCTCCTCCTCCAGCCCCCTGCGGAGGCCACTATTCAGCCCCCACTGGAGTGATCTTGTCTCCCGGGTGGCCAGGTTACTATAAAGATTCCCTCAGCTGTGAGTGGGTGATTGAATCAGAGCCTGGACGCTCCATAAAAGCTACATTCGACAGGTAGGTTTTATCATCCTTTGATTCTGTAAATGAAGACTCAAGTCTCTGAACAGGCAAGATGTGAAGTGTCATCAGGGAATCAGATAAGATAACAATCTCCTAAATATCATAGGTTGTATTGTAAATATTGAGTGTATCGATCAGGAAGGCTGGGTCATATGTTGTTTTGTATAATGTGATCGCTGAACTGTAAACTGTTGATAGAAATAAGACTAAATGGGATCCTATGATATCATTTTTCATTGGTTTGATGTTCTGTACAATTTCATTGTAAAGTGCATTTAACAATACTGGCTCAGCAGCCTGCAGGGTGCTTTAACATTGACCTCTTGCTATTTTCTTCCCCTGCAGTATGTCTACTCAGTTACACAGGAAAATACACATGTACCAACACTATGACTTTAATGGTTATGATTATCTTTAAATCAATAACATTTTTTTTTAAAAATCAGTATGGGATCAATATAGAGCAGAGGTGCCCAGTACGTCGACCGCGGGCGACCGGTCGACCGCGAGGGCAATGCTGGTAGATCGCGAGTCATTCATTAAAAAAAAATCCAGCTCCGTTAAAATAGACAAAACAGGTTTTGATCCCTCCTCCCTTTGCCCCCCTGCCACTTAATTCAGGAGTTTACTTGATTGACAGAAAAAGCGACCTATCGCTTTCCAGTCTGTTAACCCAGAATGCAAAGCGATACAAAATCAGTCAAGTGCCGGGAAAACTCAAATTAAGTTAAAGAGACAAACAAGAGACAAACAACAAAATGAGTGCGGGACCGAGCAAGAAGCTAAAGACAAACCACTTCCACCCAGAATGGGAGGAAGAATATTTGTTTGTGATGTCACATTCAAAGGTTATTTGCCTTATTTGTAAAGCAAGCGTCGCTCTGCCAAAGAAAGGTAACGTGGAGAGGCATTATCGGAGTGTTCACAAGGCATATGACAGCGACTTCCCTCCGAGTAGCGAGTTGAGAAAGGTCATGTATTATTGCTACACAAACATGATCTCGCAATCTTAGTGTCGCCAACTGGTTTCTAATATGCAAAAAGACAAACAAATGCGTCTATGGTCGTTGTATTTTGGATCTTTCCAATCGAGACGAGATCTCTCTCTCTCCCGTCTGTGCGCGAGGGGGCGGGGCAGTTTACACACACGCAGCTGCTACAAGCAGCAACACACGGAGGAGATGGCGGAGAGAAGCGCTCCAAGGTGTGGTTACATGTTACCCGTCTTGAGGTGGACAATGCTCCTTGCCAAGAGAGTTCAGCATGTGAGGGCGGTAACACGAGCAATGTGTCTAAACATTTATCAAAAGTGCTCCACATCCAGACGGAGGAATGCACCGGGCTCGACTGTCTTTCTAGCAGCTCTGTAGCCCCGTCCACGAGTAACGTTTCCACGTCAGGTGTTATGTATGCTAGCAGCAACACACAGAGTTAACTCAATGATACAAACATGGGGTAATGATTAGAGGTAACTGAGTTACTCTTTATTTTGTTAAAGTTTCAGCTATTCTGTTTACAGTTCTGTCATCAGATTATTTAATAGGATTTGTTAAAACATTGTTGTTTCTTTTGATGTGAAATATTATTTATTTTATTTAAATAAAAAGCAATGTTAATTTTGTAAACAATTTGTTAATTTAATAATATATGTATTTTTGAATCAAGTATTAATCTTTATTGTCTTCATTGTTAGTTTCCACATGCCTAAAACAACCTCAAGCTAAATCTAAAAGTTGATGGCTAAACAAGAGGGTTTGAGAAATTGTGCAAGCCATACAGTAATAGTCTGAATAGTCGATTAGTCGTTTTAATCGATTATCAAATTAGTCGTTTGTTGCAGCCCTATTATCCCATGTATAAATAAAACGTGTTATTCAGCAACCCTTGCAATTTGGGATTTTATTTTTGGTTGGTAGACCTCGGTGAGCTGGTCATTTCAAAAGTAGCTCACCAGCCCAAAAAGTGTGGGCACCCCTGATATAGAGGGTCTGAAGGACCAATTGACAATCATAGTGATTCAGCCCTTACAGTGAACCTTCAATTCAAGCTGGTCAGAGAAATATACTTCAACAACAGTATAATCTTCATGTTTCCTTCACACGCCCTCACGTTAATGTTTGAATGAATGCTAAAAACAGATCCAGCATTATGTGCAGAATGAAAGCCTTACTTTTTTCTGTTGTCCAGCTGTTTTCAAATTGAATGTCAAAGCTTGTAAGTTATTTTAAAAGTGTGATATTCTCATATTGTTGCCTCACAGGTTCCAGACGGAGCTGGGTTATGATTTCCTGGAGATCCATGATGGGCCAAACCTCCTGTCTCCTCTGGTTGGCTCCTTTAATGGTACCCAGGTGCCCCAGTTCCTGTTCAGCAGCAACAACTTTCTTTATCTGCTGTTCACCACCGACAACAGCCGATCAAATGCTGGTTTCAAGATAGTGTATGAAAGTAAGTCAGAAATAAAGATATCTATACATATAAACATGAGATACAAAGCTCACTTTAAAAATATTGTGTATGCCTATTATGGATTACAATGACACATGTGATAAATATATAACGGCACAAACAGAACAGGAGGTGTGCATGGTGTCAGGACACAACATTACACTGGTAGCCCAGCAGACACAGATTCACAAGCTGGCCAAACATGCAGGTCATTACCTGCAAAATGCAAGTCACAGCATGGTGCTTTATGAGGAGGTGCAAACCATCTGTGAGTTTTAGAATATGCAGATCAGCAAAACTGCAGATAGCCGTTTAGTCTTTTTGGACACACCAACCATTTCGACATCTATGCCTTGTTTTTCTCAGGTGTTACAGTCGACAGCTACTCATGCCTGGACCCTGGGATCCCTGTCAACGGTATTCGGTACGGGCAGGATTTTGCCATTGGGTCCACGGTGTCATTCGGTTGTGATTCTGGCTACAGACTTAGCCATGAGGAGCCGCTAGTATGTGAGAAGAACCACTGGTGGAGCCACCCTTTACCTACATGTGACGGTAAATAAATAATAGGAACCTCATGATACCACAGATTAAAATGGTTTGTTAAAACAAAAACTGATTTTACGGGAAAGACTCCAATATCAAACCTATATACTGTAAACATGAAATGACAGGTTTAATGAGGTAATAAAATGTTAAGATAGTATTGAGAAATAATATTACAAAACAAGTATTATACATGGACTTTAATAAGATTTCACTTTCAGAAAATGTGTGTTGTATGTTTAAAAAACTAAAAACAGAGAGATGGCAGTTAACTAACCAACATTACAGTATTAGTCTTAGTTTCTTTTTTTTACATTTATATCAGTATCTTTCAATAGGACAAACCATCTCAACACATGCAGTTGAAGGTTTCGGTCCCGCTAATGATATATACTGTATGTATAACTATACATTGATAATAGTAGTACAGAATTGCCTTCCCTCCTAACCAATAATGTGTCGTTTCTAAAGATTTTGAAGATAAAAGGTGTGACATTTCTTTAAGAACTTGACCCAAAACATTGTTTGAATAAAAATAGATTATCGAGTTATAAGTCATTATAAAAAAGACTAGAACAAGCTGATGCATGTACAACAAAGATCAGCAGTGGAGCCTGCCATCCCTATACGGGGAGCTGAATCACACAGGACATGTTGTTCTGCGACAAAACCACTGGTTGCATCAAACACACACACACACACACACACACACACACACACACACACACACACACACACACACACACACACCCACACACTATGGTGCACACAGGGCAATTTGCAGTGAAGGCTGCTGTTGCTGATAGGGGATGATTTGAGGCGAAGATTAGATATATACTGTATGGGCATGTACTGTGTATGTGTGTGTGTGTGTGTCAGCGTCAGCACATATGTGTGTTTGTGCTATGTGCCTCCTGTCACCCCCTCTCCTGTGTGAACTGTTAACATAGGAGGGTTTGAGGTTAGATTGACGAGAGGCTGTGTTGGCTGTCACCTCCTCTCTTCTCTCTCAAATGAAAGAGTGAGGGGGCACAAGAGTAGGGGATCTATCGCTCTCCCTTTCTCGCCTACTCTCTCAATTCAATCATGGTGGATCTGGAGAGGAGGGAGGACAGAGAGATGTGGCGCTGCTGCATCAGTTTTGAGGCTTGCTTGGTTGGGCTTGTTGGCTTGTTAACCACATGCATTGCACCGTTTCTGGGACTGGCAGTGGTTTCCTCCAAGGAGGCAGTTTGAGCGTATAAACATCAAATATTCTGCCTGGAATTTGCAGTCTGTATGCCATTAGACTCTGTTTACACAGTACAGCCCACACAAATATAGGAACTATTTGCTGCTGTGGTCGAAGAGATTTGGTCTTGCATGGTGATTGACAACGAGGAAACCAGTCAAGGCAGCAGTAAAAGCTTCTGACTCAGCCATGGAACATGTTTCAGACATCAAATGTTGTTCATAATGTATATAAGAAAACAAGCTACATTTATTCATTTGATATAGCCTGTTAAGTTAAAGCCACAACAACACAAATATCACTTCAGCACGGAGCATTTGAAAGAGGTCTAGCTTTTGAACTAAACTAGCTTCTGTAACATCTACATTGAAAGAAAAATAGTTTTTTCTCCTATAAGCTTTTTTCCATAAGCTATATGTGGATTTAAATGAATTAAAGTATGATTACCATTACTTTTTAACCTTTTTTTTGTTATGTTTATACACCCATAGTGCAGTTAGTCGACCAAACATCATTCATAAGAAAGACAGAATGGCTACTAAGATCTACTAACATATAAAGGTGGAGAAGAAAGTGAGAACATAAAGAAAGATGGGCAGAAAAGATCAATTATGAGCCAGAGAGAAATAAACTTGCAGAGATAGATATGATGGAGTGTTTCACCTTTATCACATAACTCAGCATTCAACATTATGCGCTTCCTGGCAGAAAAGTATTAATAATTGATGGAGGTGTTAGTGTGTGTGCGCGCCTTCTTGCGTCTTTGTGTGTTTGTTTAGTTTAAATATTCTCACTTCTCACCCTTGTTTTGAGGGATGCTGATGTCATAAAAATGACGGTGGCTGAGAGTAAAGATCCTAACTCTCGCGTTTGATCCGTGTCTGACTCACCTGTTTTATGCTTTGTAGCCGATTGTAACGTGAACTGCAGTTCTTATCAGCTCTCATTGAGCTGCTTCATTGTCCTGCTTAAGGAAACTTCATCAGAACTTTGAGGTTTGACTTTCTCCGTTGCACTTTTGAAGTAATGTTATGGCGTTTTATAGGTTTATTGTAAGAGGAAATGACAGGCCGGTCCGCCAACTGTAACATGGACCAACTGGAGCGAGCAGAAATGTAGTACCTTCAACACATGCAAGCATTAGTATGCATAGAGTCTCTCGCTGCATAACAATGTAAAGCAACCGGGTCATCCTGAAGCCGCTCTGTGAGGTTGGGAATGTTTTAGGTAGTCTCTAAGAAACATTTGCGATGCTTCACTGCTTTGAATATCACTGCTTCAATTCAAACTGTATTAACAGGAAAAATATTTCAGAAACTAAATACATTTAACGGTTCTTGCACACGCTATTGCACAGCATTAATGTTGTGGAAAACTATCTTAAATGATAATCAACCATTGTTTTTCAATGTCTCAGCTTTCTTCCTCAAAACAATTTGGAACTCAAAGACTACACATCCGCAAGCAAGATAATCTTGCAAAGACGCTTTAATTCTCTTACAGTACACTTCTCAGTAAAATCAAGTTTTTACCAGATGGTTGTTTTTGTTGTAAAAAATCTCTAGTTTTTTTCTCACATTCTTTGGTTCAAAACATATCCACTGCAATTTGTTTTGATTGAGAATCAATGCACATTTGTATGCATTTATTTAAAGATTCTAGAAACTGAATATGTATTAACAAAGTGGCACTTAAAACTGGGTTCTCCAGATTGATTATACTCAGTAAAGCAGTCATCACGACACATTGGAAGTCGTGATAAGTCACTTTGATGTGGACAATACTTAATTAACAGCATGGATGTTGAATCTTGAAGCATTAATTATGACTACTGAGAGCAGTTTTACCATTTTTTTCCACTGAAAACACGTGTATCATTTAGTAAATACAGCTCTTTATAAACCACATTTTAGTGTGTACATACAGTATATGTGGATATGCATAGTCTATATAGAGAGCCTCTGAACCCCGCCTACTTAGAGTGCTACCCTAATTATGCAAGCTGTGAGCATTTCACACTTTAGACATGCACAGTCGTGCAAAGTATTATTCCTTCGTGCCATTTATTATGATCTACAGTAGATGTGTTGAAAAGCCTCTTAAATAGTTCTTAATAACACGTCCAAACAGCAAACTTAAAACAAGTTTGCTTTATTCAATTCCACACAATATAAACTGGTACTGTTTCTTTAAAGAACCGAAAGTCCCTCAGGATAATTATGCACTGCCATCATATATGAGGAATGACTGGAATCTCAGATGCAGTTCATCAATGTCAGGGGTTGGTTGCTTTCAGGGACATAAGACTATATAAACAGCAAATAATCCATTATTTATCATTCCAGTGCGTGGTGGAGTTTACATTATTTATGTCATTATTTTGTGTGCAACAGTCGGAGGAATACATCAGAAAAAAATTCACTTCAAATTTTAAGTACAGCTAAAAGAAACTGAAACGTTTTCCAAGACACACATTTTGTACCTTCTACAGTACAGAGAATCTCCATCACTCTGTATATCTGTCTACCCCCCCTAACTTGTAGCATTTGTGTGTGTGTGCATGCGTGTATCCTGAAGAAGTGGTATTTAAGGTCCACTGGGAAACATTATCTGTTTTAGCTATCAACACAGTCTCATGCTAACCTTCTCTCTCCCTACCCCTTTCTCTGCTCATCTATCTCTCTCTCCTTCTTTCTTCCACTATGTCTCTTTCGATCTATCCAGCTCTGTGTGGCGGGGATGTTAGGGGTCCCTGGGGAACCATCCTTAGTCCCGGCTATCCAGACAGCTACCCTTCATCTCTCAACTGTACCTGGACCGTTGAAGTCAGCCACGGGAAAGGCAAGAGACACGCATAGACTCACACTCCCTAATAGAGAGAGACAGAGTGAGAGTAGCACTCACGGTAGTGCAGCTACTGATACACTAAAACTTTGATTCCTTAGAGGTTCTTATATAATATGTATATGTGTGGCAATAGCCTGTGTCTGAACAGAAGTTGGTTGAAACAAATGATATAGTTTATGTATTATGTAACGAGATGATGTTATCAATGCAGACCCGTTTTTGTTGAATAATTAATTATTTATACTGATTTTATAATGTGTGTGTGTGTGTGTGTGTGTGTGTGTGTGTGTGTGTGTGTGTGTGTGTGTGTGTGTGTGTGTGTGTGTGTGTGTGTGTGTGTGTGTGTGTGTGTGTGTGTGTGTGTGTGTGTGTGTGTGTGTGTGTGTGTGTGTGTGTGTGTGTGTGTGTGTGTGTGTGTGTGTGTGTGTGTGTGTGTGTGTGTGTGTGTGTGTGTGTGTGTGTGTGTGTGTGTGTGTAACAGGAGTCCAGTTTCAGTTCAGCTCTTTCCACCTGGAGGACCAACATGACTACCTCTTGGTTACGGAGAACGGAAGTTTTCTGCAACCACTGGCTCGCCTGACCGGCAACGAGTTGCCTAGCAACATCAATGCTGGTCTCTATGGCAACTTCAAAGCTCAGCTACGATTCGTCTCTGACTTTTCGATTTCATATGAGGGCTTCAACATAACTTTCTCTGGTAATCTATTTAAAACTCATTAGGTTGTTATACACAACCAAGGTCTAGATTCAGATTGAACTTGAACTAAGTCATTAGATAAAGGGTCAGTTTGAGTCTTACTTCTTATACTGTACATTTTAGAAAGTTGCTGAAAAAACAGTGAAGTAATTACTTCTAGTACCAACAATAAACAGTTAATAGGAACTTTACAAAAAGCACCCAAGAAACCCATGGAGGGGGATTCAATAGTACAATAATAGCTTCAGTGTACTACAAAGAATAAAGCCGAGAAACATCTCTACCACAATAAAGATAATACCGTTTATTTAATGTATTGTGGTAAATTATCAGACTAAGCTTTATTTCAAGTAGTAAAGTTACTTAATAAATGTTCTTAAGTTTGTTTAAATACCACCTTATCACAGGGTGCTCCAGGATAAAAACTAACAGCGTGTGAGAAGCTCAACTATGGAGCATTTAAAGAGGGGAATCTTCAGAATCCCAATCTTATTGGCAAACGACTTGTGTTTAAGAAAAAGGAAGTCAACCTTTTAGTTGTATGTCTCTCAAAGCACTTCCACAGATATAGACTTAAAAGCTAAAAACAAAGAATTGCACTTTGACAACAAGGCTGGTCAAGATAAATATCAACATGGATTATGTAGAGATTTGCATACTACATATCTAAGTATCTGTATAACAACATATTCCTCCAAGTTGCAGGACCATTGACAGACTGTCGCTGCGTAGCATAGAGCACATTTTACACTCCTTGAACAATGTCAATTTGTGCGAATATGTGTCTATTCACATATTGCATTGACTTGCACTTACAGTAGTCCACCTGAATTAGGTTTAGGCAGTTTTTATAAACCGTCCACCATTGGAGTGGAAATAAGAGAAGCTATGACTGAAAATTGTCAAGAATGCAATGAACATCAAAGCCTAATGGTCAACACTTGACAAAACTGAAGCTTTAAATGGCACTTTAGAAATAGGCATTTCATTTGTGGTATCAAGACTGCTCTTCAAGAAACAGTTTTACATATTCACTACAAAGCACAACCCCCCAACCCAAAGATGTTGCTGTGTGAAGTGAATGTCACATACTCACTTACTTACCAATGGCCTTGAGGTCTACCCATAAACCTTGAGAATTGCTATTGGAAAAAAACCGCCTAACATACTGTAGTAAAGAGGTTACACAACATTAAACTGAGTGTAATCCACCGTTAAACAAAACAATAGGACACAGAGAGATGGATTCCTGAAAGGCGAGAATGTGCACAAACCATGCTTCCCTGCCCATATTTGTGCTACTACAACGCTCATTCACTTTTAGGGGAAAGGGTTGAGTGGCAGAATGTAGAGGGACATGTTATCGCCTCCCAGATGGCATAAGCCGATTCTCAGAATGTAACACATGGGAGGTATCACCAGAGATGTGACTTGCCAATCACAACAACATGCTGAACATGCTGTCTCCTCCTGCATCACTTCTTCAGTCTCTGCCCTCTGAAAATAAATCCTCTGCTCTACCATGCCGAACAATAAAATCAGCAAGAGCATTTCAGGACACAGTCAGCTCAGTCTCACAACTTTTGGACGAATTGTTCACGGTTCTAATGCGGACATTACATTTTAATGAACTGCATTTTCAAGAGTTTTTTATCTCAAAAGTTATTTAATTATTGAAAATGGTTTCTTCACACACACACACACATACAGAGAATTGCCATCAGGGTGTTCTTTCGTTTCCGTTTCATCTAATGGCTACGTTGTGATATATTATATTTTGGGGTGGATTTTCCTGGACTTTGAGTGTGGTGGGTATTGATTTGTTGATTTAACACCATTAGTAGAGGACACTCTAATTTACACTCTAATCTCATTACATCTCACTTACTCTTATGGCACCCAAGCAACACTCAGCTAAATTGAGAGTTGCTCAAAATATCACATAAAGTACATTATCTGTTGTATATTTTAAGTCACTGACATAGTCCATCATCACTTATAAAAGTAGATCTCTGCTATTCTACGAAGAAAAACAGATCATTCTTGATCAGGGGTTTTCAAAGTGTGGGAAGGTGAGCCTCCCCTCAGAGGACATAAGAACAGCCGCGCCCCCCCTCCCAATTATTCTTGCTGTTATTATTATTATTATTGTTGTTGTTGTTGCTATAATGCAGGGGTATTATTATCCAGTGGAATGCCCTTACCTACTGGCCTTGTTAAATCAAAGTGGTTACTTTTTTTTGGCTGGGCAGTGTTTTACACACCGTCTTATTTTACTTTCTCAACGTTTTTTCCCAAAGTCATAGAAGATATATCACACAATAGTGTTCATCCATTTTAAAGTGTGCTTCATGTTAATGCATGCACAATTGATGTCTTCAAAGTTGATGTTTTTTCTGCAGAATACACTCTGGAGCCGTGTGAGGATCCCGGGATGCCTCGGTTTGGCCAAAGAAACGGTTTCACTTTCGGAATCGGAGACACGTTGTCTTTTTCCTGTAATATGGGATACCGCCTAGAGGGGTTGCCAGAGGTGATCTGTCTGGGAGGAGGGCGGAGAATGTGGAGCTCGGCTCTACCAAGATGTGTCGGTATGTCCTAGCGTTACTGCTCATTTTAATGGGTGTAATTTGTTATGTAACCCCATGGTCCCTTATGTGGTAGAATAATACATTTGTCGATTTTTCTTGTAAACCAAAACAAGTTTCTAAAGACACGAAGACATTTCATATTTATAATTAAAATGTAGATTTTAGGTCGCCAAAAGCACGGCACATTTCAGATAGTTCACATTTGGTATTTACCATTTGTGAAATGCACCTTTTGAAAGTAATAACAAGCCATTTTATGTCAACATGTCAAACTTTGAATTACTGATGAGAAAATAGTGTTTAGTTTACTTGTAATTGCCATCCTCACAGTGAAAACACAGTATAGTTGTTTTACAGTTGTCTCCAGTTTCACAAACATCAATTATATTTAAAATATGTAACAGAGGGTTATCCTGTAGTGACCTGAAAACCACTGGGCTGCTGATAGCTTGAGGTTTTTTGCGAACACAGAACATTGTGACCTGTGAACAGATGAGGAAAAAACATTCGGAATGCTTATCATTGTAAGACACACAAGGCCAATTCTGTTTGCTTTGAAAAGATAGTGAAGGACATGCCATAGCACTAAGAGAGGAAAGCGTTTAGAATAATGTGAATCAGAAAGGAAGCAATTTGGATATTTCCACTTTTACGGTGGAATTCAATTCTAAGCCTAATGTACCCTGTCCTTCATTTTCAGTTTGAAAAATTGGTTCCAAAAGGAAATACAGTGGGCCAATCTGACACTAAAACAGTAGTTTTTGTCAAAGCAACCTTTCAGTTACTGGATGAACAATAAATGTCAGAGATATTTATTTAATGTTGAGTCATCAGTGGGCAGAGAATGTTGCAAACACAATCCTTTATCAACTTTTAGAATGATTAGTTTTACATTTATGGACCTTATCAATAATTTCACAGATTGTTTGATTTATAACTAGAGTATTTTATGAATCGTCATTTTATTGTATGCGTTTCGAACTTGTTGAATGAACTAATGTGATAATGACGGATGAGGCAGAACATAATAGGGCTTATGTTCTGCTCCAGAGTACAATCGGCTGTAGGTTAATGCGCCAAATTAAACTCTCACAGTTAAGAAACTCATCAGTCTGTCATCTACAGTGGAGTTTTACAAGCAGAAAACAAACACATGTGTGTGGAGGCAACATGAGGTTAATTGTAAATGCATGCATACAATTAGCTGAATGAAGAACCTTTCTATGAACTATACGCTTAAGGAAACACAAATTGCAGTAAAAACAACCATCATTAATAATTGAAAAAGGTTTTTCCTTGGGTGGAAATAAGTGAACGTCCTGAGTGATATCACTAATAATGTACAAAGACAAAAGAAAACAGAAAAAAAGCGCCTTAAGGTCAAATAAGCATAATTATTGAGTTATTTTCTCCCTAGCTGTTTAAAGCATGTAATGGAAATCCTTTAAATATTGACTTTACACACAAACTCCACACATTAGTCAGCTAACGTACTGTATGTAATTGTTAGATTGAGGACGCAATACATTAAAAGACACTGCCAAAGAAACCATTTTTTTCAAATATGTGCTAATGAACCAGGATAAAAGTAACCACAATGCAAAAATACTTTTCTACTGTCTTTCAATAACCAAATGAATTATAATGTAGATGATGAGTTTACCCACAGGGATCAACACAGGGTACTCATAACTTCAAGGTGTTTCGAGCAAGAAATGTGTAAAATGTGATTTTATTTGAGTGCAAATGCAGAATCAATAGAAGGCAATATAGAGAAAGACAACTGGACTCCTTCACAGGATTGTTTTCAGCAACACCATTACTACAAAGCTCTAGTAAAACAGCAGACACCATATTTAACTTTTTCATTTTAGATGGCTGGTGAGGATATTTAAAACAGCAGCTTTCCGTGTTGTTTGCAGTGCCAGTGTTTACGTCTTTGCCTCTTTGTCGTCATCGTGCAGAGCCTGATAATGCAGAGAGGTGGGAGGTGTTGCGGGCCGAGGTTCTGAGCTTCAGTGCCGTTTGCTATATTTAGTGCCTGCTGTGTTGTTTTGCATTGCTGCGTGATGCGGCGCACATCACAAAGGAGGAGTGAACACTAGAGGAAAAAGACGTGATGTGCCATTTTCTAATAACTTAGATCTGCAAACCTTTGCATTGTGCTTTGTGTTTGCCTAGTTTGTATTAACTAAGGGATGTGCTTCTCAGGTTTAAAGTATTGCTTCAGAGGCCTTTGTTAGTGGGTTTCACATGAGGCTTTCTTCACCTCCCCAGTGAGTCAAACATATTGTTTTCATAAAGCACTGTCCAGAAGGGAGTTGGAGAGGTACCAAGGAGGTGTCATTGGTTTTTCAGAAAGTCACAAGTGCTTTTGGCTTATTATCTGCTACTCAACATGGAACAGTAGAGAATAGGAAACTTATGAGAAGCGGAAGAGTAAAGCAGATTGAAGCAGAAGAGGGTTAAGGAGGCACTATTCATAGAGAGGGAACAGAGAGAAAGAGCAAGAGGGAGGGAGTTGAAGAGGAAGAGGGTGGAGAGGTAATTTTCTAAATGGAAACTGTAGCAGTGTGATTTATTGACGATATGACAGCTGTAATATGACTATTACACCAGTAGAGACACAGAGAGGGGGAGAGAGGGAGGGAAAGAGGAGAGGGACATGGGTACTGCAGATGGAGGCCACATGTGAGAAGTGCTGCAGGCGGATATCCTTAGGTAAATTAGTTTCTCAATTTAACCACCTGCCTATTCTCCTCAACTGAAGTAGATGGCTGACAATACATCGGTTTGAAAGGGTTGTAAAATGACTCACAAGCACACACTAACGTATCTGTCCATCCATTGGAAAAAAAGGAATAATCATCTTCTATATTATGACATTATATTTTATACTAGGCACTATATTCCTATACTCTCTATAACTGCTTGTACAGTAGACTGAATCTGGTGTACTATGAGCCTGAACCATTTTCTAGAATGGATTTTTTAATGTGTGGCATTTTCTGTTGCATAATAAATGTCAATGTCTTCCCACATGTTCTCACCACGTCATTATCACACTCTTAATAATCAAACCATCCATTTTCGTCTTTTTGAATGCTCTTCTTTCTTCTTTCAAGCCGAGTGTGGTTCTTCAGTTATAAACAACGAAGGGATCATTCTCTCTCCAAACTATCCAATGAACTACGACAACAACCACGAGTGCATCTACAGCATCCAGGTACCTCATCTGTACATCCTAACTGAGGGTAATAGAAACCCTGGCACAAGTGTAAAAACCATTATGATAATTAGGGAGGCTTAATGACTATCTGCATATATTTGTGAGCGCTTTAATGGCGTACAAATCTAATTTGTATATCATGTTTACTTTAGGTGCAAGCTGGGAAAGGCATCAACATTTCTGCTAGAACCTTTCATCTCGCCCAGGCAGATATGCTAAAGGTAAACACACTCACAAACACACATTCAATCGCTTGAAACTGCTCTGTGATGATAAAAAGACACAATTCATGCCATCAAAAACTACACTTTAACCTCCATGGGTTGTTTAATGTTACATTTGCATCTCAAATGGATTGTTCTGTGATTATTTTTACAGATTTATGATGGTAAAGACAGCACAGCCCAGGTTCTGGGAGCGTTCACGGGATCATCCATGTTGGGCCTGACGCTGATCTCCACATCAAACCACCTCTGGCTGGAATTTTACAGCGATTCAGAAAGTAATGGGGAAGGATTCAAACTGGTCTACTCCAGTAAGTGCACAGATCAGGAAATACTGTTTACATGCACACAGCCTAAACTAGTCAAAACCGGAAGCTGAGGTTAATTCTGACCAACAGTATACACAAATGGTTGTATAAGAAACAATTGGAACCTCTTCCATTAATCAAACCCGTGTGTGTAAACATCACTACATAACCTCCCTGTCCCACAGCATGGCCATTTTGCACAAAAGTAACGTAAACTGCATCACAACCATGCTGGGATTGGTTAATTGTTCTGGTAGTTTGTTAATTGCTCCCTATGAAGAGACAATGACAAGTCCTTCGTAACGATTTTGGGAGATTCCAAGGCATTACATCTCAGCTAGCTTTTAGTTATGTTATATTAAATAAGGTAAAACTGCCGTAGACAATGACACCACCTGTGAAAACATGCTACTCAGTGTGGGAGTCACATTACATGAGCAATTACATTTACTAATTTCTCACAAATGAAGCATGCTCTCAGAATCAATTTCACTCCAAATGGTTCTCATTTGTGAAACCAACACACAACTAATTGTGAATTCCACAGCTGACATTATCACAAGAAACGTATCCTGTTTGATTACCAAATATTTCAGAGCGCTCTGATTTCAGCGTAGGATGGGATGTTAAAGGTGCTCTCTGATGTTCACTAAAGTCCACCCACGTTTGCATGTGTCCTCTAAGAAGCATAGTTGGAAATAAAACATATAATTGTTTAAATGAAGAGTGGAGCATTGTTTACTCTGCACTTTAACTTTCTTATACTGATGCGGATAGAAGTTAGTTAGCTATGCAAACAAGAGGCATTATCTTATAAAACACTGCAGCACTATGGTTTGTTTTATAGTTATGATACAATTCTAAATGCCTCACCCTGTGTAAAGTCATACAAAACTACAATACAAGTCAACTCAAAGATGTGATTCAAAGAATTATGCATAATAAGTTGATTTCATAAACATGTTTAAAACGATTTTAAATGTGCAACTATTCACACTACCTGTCAGGATGATTGCAGCTGTGTTCAGATTGGAAAACGTTAAAAGAACATCTATGCGAACGGTCGTTTTTTAGGATTTAGACATGCACCTACTGCAGTGTTCCAGGAGATAACTCAAATCCTGATGCACCCTGTCTTCCAGGTAATATATGGTTACGGTCTCATAAGGATACGCTATTTATATATCCCTTCCTATCCCGCTCTCCAAAATCAAGCACATGAATAAACTGAATATTCTGCATATTACCATGGAAACGGATCTTAGACAGAGTGTGAAAACAACATTAAATTGGATAAGGTGTATATGCTCCAGTATCACTCATAATATTGGGATGTCTCATGTATCCTTTCCTGTTTGTTTTTTATTAAATCTGGAAAACAGGATCTGTGATATAAATAAACATAATATTTGAGTCTGCCAGATATTAAGGGGATATTGGGCATCTAAACAAAACTAATTGTGCTTTCTCTCGTGGCTCTCAGATGTCCCTGAGAGAGTTTCTTTTAAAGTATGCGCTGTAATGATCCTTACCTGTCTTTTTCTCTTTCTAGGTTTTGAGTTGTCCCACTGTGAGGACCCTGGCGTGCCTCAGTTCGGCTTCAAGGTCAACGACCAAGGTCATTTCACCGGGAGCAGCATCACATACAGATGTGAGCCCGGATACACTCTGCATGGTGCCACCACCCTGAAGTGCATGACAGGCGAGAGGAGAGCCTGGGATAACCCCCTGCCTTCCTGCATCGGTACGTCCCTTTCCTTTTACATTTTTGAAAAGAAGTGCATTGAAAAGACTCAAGCTGATGTATACAGACACACAAAGGCAAGCACACACTCAATTACAGGATGAACCTTGAATAGCACTCTGTAATAAGCTTGAGAGGGAGAGGTGAGGAGGGTTCATTGTTGCTTTGGCTTTCACTGATATTACGGCATTTTTTGATGTATGATAGGTGGTCCATAGTGCTGCCATCTGCAGACATGATTCCATGTATTCGTTAAATTGCCACACAGCAACCCAAGGCCTCATACAGGCATTGGTTTCAATTGAAAACAGATATTTTGTAACATTTGTTATAGCCCAAAAATTAAGAGATGATGACATCCAGCTGTTCTCAGTGTAAAAATCACATTTAAACAAGAACTAAAAAAAGCATATTTTAAGTAGCAGTAAGCAATATTGTACTGACTCCACAGTATTGCTCTACACTGCAGTGACGCTCAGCTTTATGCAAAGTGTCTGCTCACTGGACGTTCATTCAATAATCTGGAAAAAAGCAGATGGAGGCCAATTTCCTGTGGAATCCCCGTCTTGATTTTCTCATGAGATCACACAGTGCTCCAGGTTTAAAGTCTGGTTGATAAGCCCATTTATTCAGGAGAGTTTACCACCTGGACTCCCTCTGGCCAATTGACCAAATGCACTTCCTGCAGTGTCTCCTGTAAGGCAAGGCAATGTTATTTATATAGCACTGTAGACCGCCATCTTCGCCCCTAGATGCTCTGCAACATGCAAACACACACACACACACACACACACACACACACACACACACACACACACACACACACACACACACACACACACACACACACACACACACACACACACACACACACACACACACACACACACACACACACACACACACACACACACACACACACACACACAGCACACCTATTTATATTCCTGGCTTGTCCTTAACCCTTATGTATGTAATTCCTCCTCTATAAAGAGCTAAGTGACAAACCTATTTGTAAGAATTGTTTCATAAACACAATTTAATTGATTTGGTTTGCTCCTGAGAACTGTTTCAATTTGCAGGCCATTTTATGTGAGCCATAAAACGCACCAGGAAGCAACTACTCTCTGAGTATTGACATCATTCTAAATATTTCATTATAATCTCATGGCCTTTTAATTCATTTTTCATGACTTCAAACTGATGGGAAACTACAAACCACAGCTCTGAATATTGATGTCAACAAGTCACTATTAATGCATTATTATGCATCATCAGGACTGCAGAACTCAAACAGGCACAATGGCCGCTGCAGCTGTGCCCCAGATGGGAGCTTTAAGGATAACATCAGCTCAATGTTTTAGGGACCTTTCTTTCCTCATCGCTGCCTGTGAACTTTCTGATTTTGGATTCAGCTAAATAAGTCTCTCTCCTTCTCACTATCAATAATGAAAGACTCATAAAACCACTGTCTGATATTCTCTGACTTTATATTTAAGCAGTGACACACAATGACCTCAGCTAACCTCCAGTCTTAATATTATATTGCTTCTTATTATTACTCATAGTGTTTCCCCCTTGGTTCTCTGAGGTTTTTGTTTTTTTTCCATCTCCTTCTCTCTTTTCTCCTCCATCCCAACCCCTAATATTGCTCCTATTACTCGTGTTAATATATTCCAGTGAGGGGAGGAGGAACATAGGGAGGGAAGGGGAAAAGAGAGGGGATGAAGATTGTGGAAATATATAACCGAGAGAGACAAAGAGAGAAAGGGGAATTATTTTCTGTTATATAATGTGTGGTGGTTTCTTCAGGGATGGTCAGCACTTTGTCTCGTCTTCTGTGCTCTCTCTGTGCGTGAGAAAGACAGAGAGTCGCGGAGAAAGAGAGTTGGCTTCTTTCTAAATCCATTTGTCTCCGTGGTGACCGTTAAATCACTGCTCAGCAGCTGCTGAGGTGCAATTTGTGGATCTGATTGCCTTGATCAACAATTGCCACAGACAGATAACTGGTTGACTTGTCATACATCAAATACACAGTTAAATACACACACTCATCAATTACCCATTGGTTTTAATTGATTTTGGTAAGGTTGTCAGTGTGCTTATCAGACATTAAGATGTATAATACAGGCTCATTTGTTTATTACTTCATATTAACAGTGTCCATTGTGTGTGTGGTTCTTGTAGCCGAGTGTGGGGGCCGTTTTAAGGGGGAGTCTGCAGGGCGGATTCTTTCCCCTGGGTACCCTTTTCCTTACGACAATAATCTGCGCTGCACTTGGACCATCGAGGTGGACTCAGGAAACATTGTGAGGTAAAGTAGACCATTTTAAACCGTCCCACTGGTAAAGTAAAATAAGAATGTCTTTAATTTTAGTGCCCACTCCAGTACTTTTGAAAAAAACATTACATTGAAAAGTAATTTCCTCTGAGTTAGTGTTTTTTTCCCTAATATAATTATTGAAAGGAAATGATCTCACTTAAAATGAAATCACCAACCACACATTGTTTTGATCTGAAATGATTTCCATAATAGTCTCTCTGTGAGTTGTTGGTTTTAAAAAAGGAGGGCAGTTGTATAAGTTTGGAATGGACTTTAAGAACATTTATTTATGAATTATTGAAGATATAATATTTATATTTTTGTTCACCTTTTTTTCTTTATACAAATTACAGTCTCCAGTTCTTGGCGTTTGACACAGAAGCCAGCCACGACATGCTGAAGGTTTGGGATGGACCACCTGAGAACGAGATGTCTTTGTCAGAGCTGAGTGGGTCTCTGCTCCCTGAGGGACTGCACTCCACACTGAACACTGTCACTATTCAGTTTGAGACAGACTTTTACATCAGCAAGTCAGGATTCGCTATGCAGTTCTCTAGTGAGTATTGTCCAAACTAATGTCCTTACCATCCTTTAAATTAGAAGTGTTTCTGAGACTCTGAAATTATTTATTTCTGTATCCCTATTTGACTCAGAATATCTGTATTTCCCTTATTTGACAAATTCAAATGTCCAATACTTAATGGAAGAAATGCTTCTTGTAACTTAATTTGACCAGCCAGAAATGATCTTATTTAATAACACAGGAGCACACAGCTACTGTATTCAGCAGACACCATTAGCTCCAAGCTAATGCATTAGCTAAATAAGCTATAGATAGCCTGTGTGATACATATTTTTAATCACCCTCACCTCTTTCTCCTCCCTGCTCTTCTTTTTCCTGTGGCCTCTCTCCCCCTGTGTCTCTTTGTCCAGGCTCTGTGGCTACAGCCTGCAGGGACCCGGGTGTACCAATGAACGGCAGTCGTAGTGGAGATGGCCGTGAGCCGGGGGATTCAGTGTCCGTTCAGTGTGACCCAGGATATGAGCTCCAGGGGGATGAAAAAATCACCTGCATACAAGTGGATAACAGATACTACTGGCAGCCCAGCCCGCCTGTCTGCATAGGTGAGGAGCCCAGCTTCCATATATCCATAGGGACATTCGATATATGTGCTGCATACCAGCTGCAGTTGTTAAGGGCTGATTACCTTGCTCAAGGACACGTCTGTGAGTGACTGTGGGGCTGTGTAAAGAAGATAATGTCTCCTGAACTTGCTTCTCATACAGTGTGATAATATTACATGTGCTGCCCACATTTCTCCATGCTGCTGCCTGTTATTGAAAATCTCATAACTACGACTAGCAATAAAAATACTTTAATGAATGTAAAGGTTAGGGTACTTTTAGACTTTATTGACCTTTGCTTGTGTTTCCGTCACAGCTCCATGTGGAGGAAACCTAACTGGCTCCAATGGATTTATACTGTCTCCTAACTACCCTCATCCCTACCCTCACTCCAAGGACTGTGACTGGCTCATTGCTGTCAACTCTGACTACGTCCTGTCGTTGGCGTTCATCGGGTAGCTTTCTTGTAAAATCAAAGTTCACAGATTTAAAAATTGTTTTAAAACATTTATTTCCCTGAGTGGCAGAGTGAAATTGATGAGAAATACAGTCTTCATTGGTTTCATCATTTTACTTTTTGGTGCTAGAATAAATGTTAAGAAATCACCAAAATCATTAGGATTCATCATATAGCAACACAAAATGTCTATCTGGTACATATTAAAACATTTGTGTTACTACCAGTCCTAATTATTATTATTTTTTTTTAAATTGTCAGCAGCAGCAGCTTTTGTGTTTTACTGTATGAGCCCTCAGAACCATTTGGAGCATGACATGTTTTTTTGGAAAAGTGGGTGTTTAACCTAACTATTACTTAAAGGGGACCTATCATGCAAAATTCACTTTGTGATGTCTTTTATACATAAATATGTGTCCCCGGTGCGTCAGGGAACTCACACAGCGTCAGAAAATAAAGCCCTCTCTCTTTTCCATCCGAACTGACGTCAAATCGGCAGCGGACGCACAGAAAGTTGCTATCAGAAACAATGCCTGACGTGTTTTGGACGTCTTTGTTTACATTAGCAAGCCTCGCTAACACTCAGAGCTAACCTGTACTGAAGAGCACATGTGTTTAAAAAGCAGGAAATAAAAAAAGAACTCACCTTGTGATAAACCTACAAGACAAAAAGCACTCCATACTATTTCAGAAATAATCCTTGACGTGGTTTAAACAGGATGGCGTTTTATCACAACCGAATTTAACTTTATCTCCGGTAGAATTCTAATCAGGCATTAGCTCCGCCTCCTCTTCTTTCTTTTTTTTCAAGCTAAGGACCCAAGATCCGCGTTTCTCTAACAGGGCTTCAAAAGAGGGGTTTGAGCAGTATGAGGCATGGCTACAATGGGTGATCTGTTTGGTATTTTGAAAAAAAAACTTCACAGACATGTTTTGTATAGGTATGGCCCTACAATATATTTTTCAAATATAGCATGATAGGTCCACGTTAAGGCTGCTCTCAGACCAAATATTCGCATGCTTTCTATTGTAAAAAAAAACAACAATACAAAAAAAAAAGTTATTCTAATGAATACTCAATGCTTAAGTGTTATTGTTAACTCTTCCTGTGCCTATTTTTTCCCATCTGCTTCCCCCTACCTCCTATCTTTGTTGTTATCTTAATCTCTAGTTTCAACATTGAGCCAAACTACGACTTCCTGTATATATACGATGGTCCGGACAGCAACAGTCCTCTGATTGGTAGCTTCCAGGACAGCAAACTCCCAGAGCGGATAGAGAGCAGTTCGAATACAATGCACTTAGCATTCCGCAGTGATGGGTCTGTTTCTTACGGCGGTTTTCACCTGGAATACAAAGGTAAAATATTATCCGAATAGTACCACCATCTCTTATGTACTATCGTGTTTAGCGCTGGAATAGTTTTAAAAGATGTAAGAGGCCAACAGCACAGAACACAGATTTTTTATTCTCTGGGAGATTCAGGTCTTTTCAGCAGAGGATTCTTAACAGCAAAGACACATTTCACTCCACTGTTATTGGTACACATCTACACTATAGTCACAATCACGTAAGCAAAGCAGCACCCAGTAATTTACTAAGCAGCCAGTAATGAATGATTAATATATTTGACTAGATGTCCCGAGGAAATAGACTCAAAGCACATGTCTTTTGATTAGCCTATGATGACATGCGATACAAAAACGAAATAAATAGAAAGACACACAGCCCAACTATCGCCACTTTACAAAACATATTTCTAATGTACTATGCTTGATGTAATTGCCTCAGGGGCTGTTGTTTGTCTTTGTCTGTTGTTTATAAGCGAGGTAAAATGTTTTAGATGTCTCTGTAATGTATTTAGACATATTTCATTTTCATATTGAACAAAGAAGACTCCCGCATTACCCCTTACCGCTCAATACAAAAGTACATTTGCAGTTAATCCCCCCACACTGACGACAGTGTGCGTCATGCTGATTTTAAGATAAAAAGGAATGATTGCTCTCTCAGTCCCTGTTGAATTAGTGTTTGTTGAAATAGTCATATTTCATAGTGGTGAGTTTGATTCACCCAAAATAATCAACATGGGCAGCATGTGGATTCAGGAATTAAGTCTTGTGTTGATGCAGGGTGGCCGCTAATCTTGTAGGAGGGGAGGGCTGTAGCCATAATTTACAAGGTTCATGTAGCATACAAAAGCCGGGGGATGAAGTTATCGTTCTCGCTCCATCTTTGGCGAAGAAGGCTAAGTCAAACAGACTATTTCAAAGGCCAACGAAATGCCTGCCTCATTTGATTATGGCTAGGGATATAGTAATTATTAATTTGACTTATTATTTATGTGTGCCTGTCGGTTTTTATATACCTCATCTTCTCTCCCACATACACACTTGTTCTCTCTTTCCAGCCAAGCTGAGGGAATCATGTTTCGACCCAGGTGTGGTTCTGAATGGGACCAGGCTGGGATCTGACTATAAGCTTGGATCTACTGTCACCTTCTATTGTGAGGCCGGATATGTTTTGCAGGTAAGAAAGAAAAAAAAAGGTGGCTTGTTGGATAAATTAATGGGTGTGAGTTGCGGTTGGTTGATATGTTGGTTGTTTTTTTCATTGGTTAGTTAGTTGGTTGGTTGGTTGGTTGGTTGGTTGGTTGGTTGGTTGGTTGGTTGGTTGGTTGGTTGGTTGGTTGACTTATTTTTGTGGAAGTATAATTGTATTTAATTTTTTCTTCAGGGCTATTCTACCCTCACCTGCAGTATGGGAGATGATGGCAGACCTGGGTGGAACCGAGCATTGCCGAGTTGTCAAGGTAACACACAATTATACAGAATAGATTAAAGCATACACACACAACCTAATTTTATGTTGGATCAAAAGTGTGTGCCTCTTTTCCTGTCCTCATGTGTTTGCACATGTTTATGTTCTTTCTCCAGCTCCCTGCGGAAGTCGTTCTACAGGAACAGACGGGACTGTTTTATCCCCAAACTTTCCCAGAAACTATACCTCTGGACAGAACTGTGTGTACTCCATTTCTGTTCCTAGAGAGTTTGGTAAGTTCCTCCTAAATAGAAATATTGTGGTTTTACATTTATGTTTATGTTAATCTCTACAAAATGGTATAACGCTCTAATATGACAGTGAAGGTGAAGGGATAACTAGGGATGGGTACCGAGCCCCGGTATTAAACGGGCCCCGGGGCTGAATTATTAAAGACCGTGGTACCGTTAAGCTCCGACGTTAACGATCTTTTTATCGGTAGGCCTACTGGAGACATGTAACAAATATATGTATATGTATTATTGCTACACAAACATTATATTGCAGTTTTAGTGTTGCCAACTCCGTTTATAATATGCAAAAAGCGTGCAAAATGCGTCTTTTTAGTATTTTCGATCTTTCCAATCCAGGCGAGAGATCTCTCTCCCCCGCCTTCTTGTGAGGGGGCGGGGCAGTTTACACACACGCAGCTGCTACATGCAGCAACACACACACACGGCGGAGATGGCGGAGAGAACGCGCTCCGAGGTGTGGTTAAACTTTACCCGTCTCGATCCGTTACCAAAAGTGCTTTAAGAGTTTAGCATGTAAGGGCGGACGAGCAATTTGTCTAAACATTTAGCAAAAGTGCTCCACATTCAGACGGAGGAATGCACCGGGTTCGACTGTCTTTCTAGTAGCGCTGTAGCCCCATCCACGAGTAACGTTTCCACGTCAGGTGTTATGTATGCTGGCAGCAACACACAGAGTTAACTACATTATACAAACATGGGTTAATGATTAGAGGAAACTGAGTTATTTAGTTTGTTAAAGTTTCAGCTATTCTGTTTACAATTCTGTCATCATATTATTTAATATGATTTGTTAAAACATTGTTGTTTCTTTTGATGCGAAATATTATGTATTTAATTTAAATAAAAAGCAATGTTAGTTTTGTTCACAATTTGTTTAGTTAGTTTACCTTCTTTTTTTCTCCAAAAGAACCGATAAGAATACCATTAAAAGACCGGACCGATAAGCGGTATCGATAAAAGTAGTAGTACCGTTAAAACCTTAACGATACCCATCCGGATAACAGTAGAGAACCCGACATGTGAATGAAAAACAAGAAATGGCACATGATCAAAGAATACTTGCTAGCCATTTATTTGATTCCAGGTCAGGGTTTCATCATTGAAGTGACATTTAAATGTGAGGCTGTTTTTTATCTCGCCACGTTTGATTGGAGGTCCATAAGCCACAAATGAGTCATCACAAAGATATGAATATTGTAGAGGATTGTTCACATTAAATACGGTTATTACGGTCTATGAGAGCTTTAGAGGAAATGAGCGTCTCATCTGGTGCTGTCAGGAAATAATTCCTAAAAAATCACTGATTATAGTCATTCTGTCGGGATATTTAATCTCAATTACATATTCCATGTTATGTTCATAATAAATGTCTTTCAAAAAATGTAGAATAGAGGGCTATATTAACAATTTATTCAAATAATTTGCTCAGTTGTTACGGAGAGGGATTGGTTAACATTTGATAGTACTTGTGAAAAAGTGTATATAGAAATAGTGAGGCTTTGTTTTCTTCAGCAGATATTGAGAGCTAACAAAAGGACTAGTGAGTGCACATACAGTAAGTTGGGGTTGTGGTCAAGTACATACAGTATGTGTTTCATTTAATGTTCGCAAATTTACATTTGTGTCTCCAATATCAGTATAATGTATTGACATCTACATTACTGGCTGACTGATTATTAGAACGACTGAGTCATTGGGTCTGACTTGAGCTTTTACAAACAATCAGTAGTCATTGCATATGATGTCCAATTATGCCCTGTGGTGTTATGAATAAATAGCAGCTTTCCCTGAGGCTGTTGATGGTCGCTGTCTCATTATATTAGCGAAGCAGCGTTTGGAGTGTCAGCTCCATGAAGACATTTTGAAGGAGAGGAGCTAACATTTCTTTGGCCTACATATTGTTTAAGACATGGCAGTCTCCACATGAACATCCTAGACAGAGCAGCTGTCATTGTTCAAAAAAACATGTTGAATAATACAGACTCAAGGTAGCAGGATTGTCAGTTTGATGATGATATGAGAAAAGTTGTATTTAAACCACCTGGTTGGCCTTTAAATGGTTAATAATGGTTCACCACTCATCCAAATGGATCCTTAGGATTCAACACCAGGTGGGGCCGACTCTTGGCATTCGTTCCCGTGGAGATGCCGTACCTCCTGTCGTATGAGGACGTGCCTCAGGACACCCACTCATCAGGAGGCATGGCAGCTCCACAGGGATGGATGCCCAGCTTTTCTCCATCTGATGTTAAAAGCTGAAGCAGCATCCTTTTGAAAGTAAACATTGCAATCATTCGATAACAAGTCCAATGGAATGTTTTAAACTGTATGAGACATTACTGATGACACAACAGATGTATCAGGTTTATGTAGTTTTGAAGCCATGTGGGCATTGTGGGGAAACACTGCTGTGATCCCTTATCACTGGGTGTCTTTCTCTTATTGAATGTATTCATGTAATTTCTCATGTTATCTAAGTAGGAGTAAAATCCACGATGATATTTTAGCTGCATTTCCTGTGTGTTATAATGCTTTAAGTGCTCTTGTGTGAACGTTGATTCATGTGTGTCCTCCTGCCTGACATCTGTGCCGTTTTGAAACGGTTTCGGCTGTGAACTCCTCCACCTGCTCTGCGGTCTGTCGATAATACAGCAGGGCATGATGGAAACCTTAATCACTCTAGTTTCCTTAAAATCCATATGCGGTGGGAGCTTTTAAGTATTTCTGCTGACAAGCAGAATTGTGTCATTTTTTATGACCACTCCATGCATCCTCATGTACAAGCATGGCATGGCTATTAGATACAAGTATAAGAAGATAGATTTATCTGCATTAAAGAGCTCTTTCTTGACAATTGTGTCGTCTCAACAGCATTTCAATATTCACTGTTTTGTTTCTGAGCTGCGTTGTTTTTTATAATTATTTACCTTCGTCAAATAGTTTGTTTTAGGTTTATTTTGTTGGTTTATTTACGTGTTATCAGCAGGATAACGGAAAAGGTATTGGTCCAATTGTCATAAAACTTGGTGGAAGGTTGTAACACGAGCAAAAGAAGGCAAGGCAAGTTTATTTATATAGCACTTTTCAACACAAGGCAATTTCAAAGTGCTTTACAAAAAATGAAAGACATTAAGAAAATGGCATTTAAAATAAGTCATTAAAAAGAAAAGCTAATAAAATAAACATTAAAAGAAAAAATACATGGATAAAAGTTACAGTGGAGTCTAAGATATGAATAGTTCAATTCAACATTAAGAATCCATTATATTTGGAGTGGATCTGTTTCAAGGGGACATGCATTATTTTTCACTTACTTAAACGGCCTTGGTGGAGGTCTGCGCTCTCTCAGTGCCCTTCATGTTTTAACATGAAACAGAGTTTTACATGGAAGCAGACAGGGTATCTTTGTGAGTCAGATCAATGTTTTAGCAAAATGCGGATCATGCTTTAAAATAACTCTACAGAGGGAAAAAGCCTTGTACAAAATGACTAGTGACCTTCTTATAGTGCAATGTTCAAATGTAATCCTTTATACGTCAGCCGTTGGGGCCAAATATAGAGTGAGAGAGAGATGGAGAGGCGATATAGTGTGTGTGTGTGTGTGTGTGTGTGTGTGTGTGTGTGTGTGTGTGTGTGTGTGTGTGTGTGTGTGTGTGTGTGTGTGTGTGTGTGTGTGTGTGTGTGTGTGTGTGTGTGTGTGTGTGGTGTGTGTGTGTGTGTGTGTGTGTGTGTGTGTGTGTGTGTGTGTGTGTGTGTGTGTGTGTGTGTGTGTGTGTGTGTGTGTGTGTGTGTGTGTGTGTGTGTGTGTGTGTGTGTGTGTGTGTGTGTGTGTGTGTGTGTGTGTGTGTGTGTGTGTGTGTGTGTGTGTGTGTGTGTGTGTGTTGCTTAGGAAGCCTGTTTCATTGAGGCTGAAATACATGTCAGTTATCCTTATGAAGGATTGTCCATGTGCAGCAAACAAACACATTTTATTTATACAATTACACCTACATATTTGCAGCTTAAGGCTACTTGTAATTATTTTAAAGAATCAGTGATCAACCAAGACAGAGTATCAGTTTGAGCAAATACTGTACCTAGGGCCTCTAGGGGGCCACATGATGCTTCCTGCCACTGCAGCTGCACTCTCAAATCCTTGCTTTAGTCATGGTTCATGGCCACTGCAGCAATCTTCTTTCCTTCCATCATGCTGCAACAGAGTAAAACATGGGTGTTAGGACAGGAGTTTGACAGGTTACCACTTGCTTCATATCCTATTATTTCACATTGCCTGCTTGAGATAATGTAGAGAAGACAGACATAAAAAGATCTTGCCATACTGACATATACTGTAGTGTTTGCCAACACTAGCATTTCACACTAGCTGACAACATTGATACACTCAAACCGAGGGGGCTGAGGAGGATTGGTGCATGATGATGATAAGGTTATGTTTAGACTATTAAGTGTCCTGATATGCAATTTTGTGCCAATAGTTGACTTCAAATAGAGGTTGACACTGCAGCTTAATACAATTTAAATGAGGTATTACAGGTTAATTTTATCATCAGAAGGTCAGGCACAGACAGCGGCTTGGAATAATAATGTGCCACCATGCAAGTGTGGTTAACTCATCACTCTATCCGTATTTCTTCCCTTTTTGTCTCCAGTCCTCTTTGGACAGTTTGTGATGTTCCAGACTTCTCTCAACGATGTGGTGGAAATTTACGATGGACCAACTCAACAAAACACGCTATTGTCTTCTCTCTCTGGGTCCCACTCTGGTAAGGATAAATGGATAGATGGACAGAATGAATCATAACCATATCTTTCTTTCTGATTTTGTCTTCTATTGTATAACTCTGTCTCCCTCTCCCTAGGTGAGTCTCTCCCTCTGAGCTCGGGAAACCAGGTCACGGTAAAGTTTAGCACGGTCGGACCAGAAACTGCTAAGGGATTTCACTTTGTCTACCAAGGTCAGCCAATTACAAGTAGCTTAATTTGTTATTCAAAGTATCATTATTATTACTTGCATTAGGCCTAATAGGGTTTCCACGTGTCCTTTAAAAGTCCTGAATTCTATTGTTTGAAATGACCAAGACAGGCAGCAATAACTGCACATTTGCACTTTTTGATTTTAACATCTTATTGTGTCTAATTTATTTCTGCAGCTGTACCGAGGACCAGCTCCACACAGTGCAGTTCGGTCCCTGAGCCGCGGTTTGGGAAACGCCTCGGCAATGACTTTGCAGTTGGCTCGATGGTGCAGTTTGAGTGTAACCCTGGTTACGTCCTGCAAGGCTCCACTGTCATACGGTGTGAGAGTGTCCTTGACAACATGGCACAATGGAATGACACCCTGCCAACATGTATAGGTACATATGAATAAAGAAGCTAGGCAGGAGTTTGACACATTGCTATTGAGAAGGCTGTAACAATATAACATTTATTATAAGCTGTACACTGAATGCTCCACTTTGATAATAATTACAAGCAATACCTACAGTTAAAATGCATATGCCATTTCAATGCTAAGCCTTACTATGCCTAAGCTGTCAGGTCTGACCCTTTTTGCTCCTCTGCTCTGCAGGAGAGGAGATGGTACAACAGGCTCTCTCTTTTCCTGTTATTTCCAGACAACATCTTGTTTTAACCTCTGCTTTTTGCTCCTTTCCGCACTCTCAGTTCCCTGTGGGGGTGCGTTGACCGCCCGTCGTGGGACCATCCTATCGCCTGGATATCCAGAGCCCTATGACAACAATCAGAACTGTGTGTGGAAGGTCTCTGTTCCAGAAGGAGCTGGAATACAGGTACTGTATCACCTATTACACATTGCTTCCTGGCTGACCTATGTATCATTGGCTTAAAAGCTGAGCAGGCAGGATGTCATTGAAGATAAGATATTATTAGAACGATGAATGGATGGATGGTTTGTGTGAGAGGGGCCATCCAGAGATAACCAGATAGGATCTAATCGTGAGAGATAATGCCTGATTGTGTGTAAGCTAAACTGCTCTCACGGACAAATACAAAGGCAAAGATGCTTCTGACACAAAATGGAGTCTGTTCAAATATTTGACAGACACCTCACAGCAGCACAAGTACAGGTGTGTTCGGTATAATTAGACTTTTTTGGTAAACAACAGTTTCTGTTGATGTTGTTTGACAGTTTTGTTTTAACAATAATAACAAATTTGAGTTTCTATCTGAATGTGTTTCTCTCCTATTATTACATTGCAGACCATTGAACCAGATGCGATGAAATGAAAATGTAGTTGCTTTTTAAAGACAAAGGTCAACGCTAACAATAACTTATTTTGTCTTTATCTTCCTCTCCATCCGTCCCTCCAGATACAAGTTGTGAGTTTTGCCACAGAGCATAACTGGGACTCTTTGGATTTTTATGATGGTGCCGACAACCACGCACCAAGACTGGGCAGCTACTCTGGTAAACAGTTTTTAGTGTTTTACAAATGTCATGGCCAAAACTAGTGTCAGAGATAATGTGTTATACAAAGATTAGCAAGTAGAACATTATTATATTGTATAGTTATGTTATGTTCAATTACAAATTGTATAAATCAATCAATAGTTATTTTGGAGTTAAAGATAAGACAATTCTGAACTACAATCAAAACTATTTTTAAATCAAGAGTATTATAAAACAAATTTCAGAGATAAAGTGTTATTATTTTAATCAAGAGTATCCTATAACAGATATGACTATAAAAGTAGTTTTAATGCAACAACTTCTTTAAGAGCATTCATACTCTCCATAACCACATATATTTAGGGACGGGTGGCGCAGTGGTCTGTGCGTTTGATCATCAGATCAAGGGGGGCGTTGGGGAACTCCAGTTCGAAACCCGCTCCCGCCCCACTGCGTCAGGCCGTTGTGTCCTTGGGCAAGACACTTCACCCGAATTTGCTCCTGTGGGTATTGTCCACAGTAGATGACCATGATCTGTATGTGTAAAGTGCTTTGAGAGTCTTTGATAAAGCGCTATAATAAATATAAGGATTATTATTATATAGAGAAGACGTAGAATAACTTAATTGCCTGTTGCCTATAAACATAGCTTGATGGTTAAATACACAATGAAAACATGCAAATAAGAACATTACATGTTGTCTCGCTGATTGAAGCATACAAGATGCTGGCCACGCGGCCCCCTGCTAAGTGTGCAATAAGAGATACACTGGTCTCGCAGCAGGTGGCGGGAACACACCCACTGACACCTGCTTGTTGTCTGTGATTCCTTTAAAGACATATGAGAAATGTTGTGGCATAGCAAATGTATCCTAAATTACTCTAATCCCCACTAGGAATAGATACTCCCTGAGCAACCTATGACATGATGTGTCAAACATAGAAATGTAAACAACAATACAATGATTCACATTTATAAAAGCTCTCAAAATGTATTTCAGAACGTTGTTAGCTTAATCAATGTAATTGGAAACCAATGGTTATCAAGGCATGTTTGATATTTACAACTAAATACAGGCAATGAAACATCTAGAAGAAAATATTTCTTTACTGATCTTATATTAAAAAACGAAATGTGTCTCTTACAAATATTGGCGCTTAGTACAATGGGAGTCCCTCTGCTCCAGTGCTCCAGAAACTCATGTTTAATGAAAACATATTGGCAAAGCATTCCTCTAAATTCAGTAACTCTTGTAGTTCAAGCAGCCGTCCAAAGTTGGAGTCAGCATCTTCTGGGGGTATTAGTACTGCTTTTAGGAGAGCAAAGTCATGATAATCTGCGGCTTCTGTTAAATAATCTATGGCAGGGCCTGATATCCCACGGCAAACTGGATAAGAGATGATAGTGTTGGCAAGGAAACGACAGAGTTCTTCCTTATATCTCTTCAATATATAAATGATGACAATGCACTTTTTTTTGTGTTTTAAGTGTTATCTAATATTGTCATGAGTCCACAAATGATCTGTGTAATGCTTCAATCTGCGCAGCTAATTATTCATCATCATTCATCATTTATTACCGTTTGTTTTAATTTCCTGATGATGAACAAGAGTTTTTCTGGAATATGACCAGATGGCTACGATCTAAAAGTGCCTCCTTGCAACAGGCAACCAATAACATCCATTGGCCTGAATTACTTCTAATTCAGAGTTCTATCTTCTTGACTTTGATATGTTTTTGCTGATTCACCTGCCACAGAACAAAAAACATAACAGTGAAAACTGGGCTCTGAGAAATGTTCCACTAGTGGCTACTTTCGGAATTACTTTTACTACTTTATAGTCTTCAGGCTAGCCAAGAAATTACATTTCCAAGGACTTTTGTGAAGGTTAATATTCCTTTACAATAGAGTGCAGCATCTACTGTCTCATTGTGATAGTAGACACTACTAGACAGCAAGATCCCTTGCCGTGCTATGTAGGTCAAGCAACAATTTGAAAAGTAGTTTCGAATAAAACAGATGTCTCATATAAAAGTAATTCCCTTTTCTCTCCTTCGAGAACACTACACACACAACAAAATATGAAAATGTAGATTTGGGAGGCCTTTGTTGTTTCCTTTGCTGTCAGATAACTAAGATAATTTGTTTTCAAGGCTCAGTTGAAAAATGTAAAAATGTGATCATGTTCTTCGTTCCAGGCACGACTATTCCCCCTCTCCTGAATAGCACATCTAACAACCTCCATCTAAGCTTCAACTCGGATATAAGTGTCTCAGCTGCTGGTTTTCACTTGGAATATACAGGTAGCATACTTGTTTTGTATACAGATGCATCTGCAGCATATGCTGTATTAACATACAAAGGAGTGAATGTTTTACAACCGTGTTTATTACACATTTCTTATCAGCTATTGGTCTGGAGTCATGTTCCGAGCCACAGACGCCAAACTATGGAATAAGGCAAGGAGACCGATTTATGGTGGGAGACGTCGTACAGTTTGTATGTGAACAAGGATACTCTCTTCAGGTAAACAAATCAACTTATATGCGTGTATTCTGTTAGTTTTATGCACAGATTCCCACTAGCTACTGAGGAACTGAAGGATAGTCATTATAGATACATAGAACACACACATGCACTACAGATTACTGTTGTTTAATGCATAACACACTGCCATGTTTGTGAAATTCATTAAAGGCTGCTCAGATTTGTTCTGATGTGCCGCTATTCACTCTTTTTATCTCACGGCTGCACAAACCGAGCACTATTTCAATCGTAAATCGTAAGAAAACCCCACTCTCGGATGGTTTACTCTACTTCCTACTAAACATACAACTCTGTGCGGTCTGCACAACTCTTTAATAATGTATGCTTCTGGTGCGGTCTGCCCAATTTCTTTGGAGGACTGTATACGACTCAAATGGAGCTTTACCTTTATCCCGCTATCTCCCAGCACTACTGTACTCATACTCATTATGGCTCTGTAGATAAACAGCACTTAATTTCTGTTTACCATTAATTGATTGTGTTTGTTTTCACATTTCTAGGGCAATGCTCATATCACATGCATGCCTGGACCTGTGAGAAGATGGAACTACCCTGTGCCGCTATGTCTCGGTAGGTGTTTACACAATACATATATGCACACACACACACACACACACACACACACACACACACACACACACACACACACACACACACACACACACACACACACACACACACACACACACACACACACACACACACACACACACACACACACACACACACACACATGCAGCCTGGATATTCTGAGATACATGCAGAACTTCCGTGCTGCAGTAATGATGCAAGCTGTCTCCGTTGTCTACCCTGACTCTTTGTAAAATAGGACGTTTGATCAATTTGCTGTTCTGTGATGAGCTGATTATTTAGTATTCCGTGCAGAATACGATTAAGCTTTTAAACTGCTGCAAAGCTGAGGCAGAGTCTGCCATAAACATGCAGTGTGCCAAAGCATCAGCATGCACTGAGGCAAACTGGGGAAAACAAGCCATGGACACATTTCTACTTGCACAATGGTAATTTATCCAAGAAGGGTATTTATTGAAGACTCAGAATATGAATGTGGTATTCAAAATGATGCAAACTGTCAGGTTGAAGAATCTCATGTGTCCAGTCAGCAGCAGCATCCTAAAAAAGGGAGAGGCAGTCTGTATGAGCTGGTCTGAGGTCAGCCTCCAGCCTTTGATGTGTTGCTTTCAACACTGAACCTCTGTTTCCCTTTCTCTCTCTGTGTGTGTGTGTGTGTGTGTGTGTGTGTGTGTGTGTGTGTGTGTGTGTGTGTGTGTGTGTGTGTGTGTGTGTGTGTGTGTGTGTGTGTGTGTGTGTGTGTGTGTGTGTGTGTGTGTGTGTGTGTGTGTGTGTGTGTGTGTGTGTGTGTGTGTGTGTGTGTGTGTGTGTGTGTGTGTGTGTGTGTGTGTGTGTGTGTGTGTGTGTGTGTGTGTGTGTGTGTGTGTGTGTGTGTGTGTGTGTGTGTGTGTGTGTGTGTGTGTGTGGTGTGTGTGTGTGTGTGTGTGTGTGTGTGTGTGTGTGTGTGTGTGTGTGTGTGTGTGTGTGTGTGTGTGTGTGTGTGTGTGCCCCCAGCTCAGTGTGGTGGGTCTAGGAATGAAGTAAGTGGAGTAATTTTAAGTCCTGGTTTCCCCGGCAACTACCCCAGTGGATTAGACTGCACATGGACAGTCAACTTACCTGTGGGCTTTGGTAAGAAACACTCTCAACTTTGAAGTTGAGGAAAAAGTGTGTGTTGTTCTCTCTCAGTTATATATGTATCACCCTTCATGTAACAATAGTATTTATTGTTAATTGTATTTAATTACTCACTCAATAAGTCATTATCGGTGGCCTTTATTCACGTCGTTGGCTGCTGCTGAAGCATCTACAAATGTTTGTATTGCCGGTTCCTCTGCCAGTCAGGCTTTGCTAATCGCTTCAAATGTCAACATTTCTCTCAGGAATCCATCTCGCGTTTTTAAACTTCTCCACCGAAGCGATCCACGATTACTTGGAGATCCGCAGTGGAACCCTGGAGATGGGCTCGGTGATCGACCGGTTCAGCGGCCCGGTCATCCCCAAGTCTCTGTTCAGCACCACCCACCAGACCAGCTTCTTCTTCCACAGCGACTACTCACAAAACAAACCAGGGTTCCACATCACATATCAAGGTAAAGGTTGTCTCTACACGCTCCTGTCAGACATCTTGTGTGCACTCATCGAGAAAACAAGAGCGACTGTCTGATGGCTGCGCTTTGTTGAAAACAGCGATTGTTCCTAAAGTGGAAACTGTTGACTTATTTATTTACTTGATTTCCAAGGAAGTGTCTGACAATAAAATGATTTCCTTTTTGCAGACAACAATAAACATTTTCTTGACTTCTAAAGCACTTGCCAAAAAAAGGCAGGGTGTAGAAAACTCATTTTGAATGAATGTTTTGGTGATGAGATGAGTTTTCTATTTAATCTATCTGACACTAAAAAGGTTTTTCAGGAGGCTTGTATTTTTATTATGACATATATCCTAGATAGCCTCAATGTGTTACGGCTAATTCCATTTATGTGCAAATTCCCAGTGACTCATGAATAATACCTTTTATCTCGTGACAGGCAAACTGCCAAGGTGTTTTAAAACAGGAAAAATAATCTGAATACTATTATTTCTTCTAACGTGTATCTTTCTCAGTCACTTGTCTTTCTTCAGTCATGCAAACACTTGACTCATTTTACTTTGTCTGTCAACATTCACTGGGACGAACAGTTATATGGCAGACTGTCAGATTTAAATTGGGAGAATGTTGACAACATCAAAAGAACAAGTATGACCTTGTTTGGTGCATGACACCCTTTTCAAAAAGTTAGTAATCTTAATTTGTGTCTAGAGATCTGCAGCTGTTATTTTCTGTGTCTCCTGCATGTCAGTGTTCATTGAGATATCTGCAGCTGGAAGAACAGGCGGAGGAATTATGAGTTAGTCTTTTCTTGAAATGAATATTAGTTGTTCAGTGCTAGAACTGATGTCTTTATTATTACTTTCCCTGAACAAACTTGACCTTGTTTTTTTTAGTTGTACTAGTTTTCGGCATAATCTCGGTTATTGTGTCTCCAGCCTACCAGCTTCAGAGTTGTCCAGACCCTCGGCCTTTTCGAAATGGCATCGTGATTGGCACAGATTTCAGCGTTGGGATGACGGTGTCATTTGAATGTCTGCCCGGATACTCTCTGATCGGCGAGGCGTCGCTCACATGTTTACACGGAATCAGCAGGAACTGGAATCACCCACTGCCACGATGTGAAGGTAACACAGAACTAACTGTGTCAGAATGAATGTGTTTCGTTTGTTGACAGCGAGATGTAACATTGTGTTGTTGTGAAGGGAAAACAAATAGTGTTAGTTATTTTCTATCTGTTAGTTTTGCCCTTATTGAATATATCAATTACTCAGACAAACACATATAGTTCATGTTTGCTGGTTTACTATTCTTTCAGTACAGAAGAGTTATTGAGGGACAATGAATTCCCTAACTTGTCAATTATTTTAATTACTCCAAGCTGTAACTGTTAAACCTATACATGTTTTTTTTATATTCATAACGGCAAACACTGTTTTCTTAACAATAGTATTTTAAACAGTATTTCCCTCTGTACTTATACTCCAGTATAAACAGTTAATGTTAAAATGTATGCTGAGAGAACATTGTAAAAAACACATTAAACATATGCAACGTGTAACTCAACACAAAATGTAATTTATCCCTACTAAAAATTGATGAATAGCAAAAAAGCTAAATTACAAGGGACTGTAGAATAAATCTTGAGGGTATAGGAGAGGCATCTGGCACATTGTTTGTATATATTGCCACAGTGAAATAGTAATACATTAAATGATATTATGCTAGTGTTATGAAAAGTAACTGCACACTAATACATTTTTACATGTTTTACTTTAAGCCTATACTTACTGTTTCGAGCAATAGCACTTAATCAACTCTTCTTAAATGAGAGCAGTGTATTAACTTTACTCTGCCTTTTAGCTCTCATCAGTGTTAAAATCACACCCCTGCTGGAAAGGATACCTGAGCATCCGATATTGAAATAAAACCGTAATGAGAATTTATTAAAGCCATTTAGGTGTTATCCAGTGGTCATTATATGACTGATAGAGATGTGTCCTCTCTCAGTCATCCAGATCATCACTGACGCCTCTCAAAGGTAAAACTAATTTGCTGGTAATTCATTATGGGTAATTCTGTTAATATTCTGGCTCGCAGCTCTCTGTGGTGGAAACATCACGTCGTTAAATGGAACCATTTACTCTCCTGGTCACCCTGAGGAGTATCCCAACTTCCAGGACTGTGTGTGGAGCGTCCGAGTTCCTCCTGGACACGGGATCTACATCAACTTCACTGTCCTGAGCACCGAGCCCATATATGACTACATCACTGTCTGGTAGGTGTTATTTACGAATCAAATTCACTCTTTTTCTACGTCTTTACCTCTAAACGGACACTATTCATCCTCATGATCTACACATTTGTTTCGACATATGCCGAGAACTTCTCCTACACACACCACTTCTCTCATACAGGAAGTCATGCTCTTTAACATCCTTTCAGAGACGGCCACTAATTGGCTAAACTGCTGCAAGGGTTACTATGACTACAGACGTCTCCCCTTGAATATAAAGCTAGTCTGACATAATTTCCTTCTTGTCATGTTTTATCCACCATAAGTAATATACATTACGTCTTTCTCTCCCTACCTGCCCAGCTTTGACTTCTCACTTCATTATTCTTCCTAAGGACAGCAGACATTGGCAACAGCCGACATCTTGTCAATGCAAAATGTGTAAACACTGCTTAGATACCATGTTACACGGTTATCTGCCTGTACAAGGTGGCAGCAGCACCATAAATAGGCTGTATAATCTATTTTCCTTTGGTTGCCATGCAGCTGCCCCTTCTCTATAGCTATAGCCTGTTTCCTATAAATAGACAGCAGGGTGCAGTTTAGAAACGTCACCTGGCATACAGACACGGAGATGCAGGGCGAGGAAGGAACAACAAACAAAAAAAAAGGAGTGTGAGAAATAATTTTCTGGAAATACATTCCCATTTATTTTTAACCTACACAGAAGGACCAAACGTCTGTCTGGTACTTTTGTATGCCTCTCATATATAAGTACTTTCAACCTTCCAGATTTAAGGGTTGTGTTGTTTTCCCTGTTCCTCAGTTATCCAACTAAACACTTGAAAACCAATGTACCTTCTCCAACAAATCCCTAGATCATCTAACATAAGAGTATACGTATAGACACTGACTTTTATCTCGAGAGAAGAGCTGACACACCAATAAATAGTCAAAAACAGTGCATTTATTGTCTTACAGAATAAATGATTGAAGGGACATCAGTTACAATGATATGTACCGCTGTTTCTTCGGTCTCCAGTTAAATCTAGCTCACATTTGGGAAAACTTTACTTAAAGAGGTCCTATTTGAGAAACAACCAACACACGGTTCCCGGCGTAATGCACCAAATGATGTCTCAGGACATGTATCACCATCTGAATGTGCAGGTATGACTGTTTCCTGTGGAAGCACTTTTATGCCATCTTTTCACATTTAAGGTGAAACAACACAATCAATCAACCAACAGGCAATAAGATATGCTTTTAAAACATGTATGTAGTTTCATCAAATTGCTTATTACCAGCAATCTAAAAGATTGCTTGATTATAATTGTAAACGATTCAGTTAGCGGCTGCGTATTGTATAACACAATTATATGAACAAAATGCAAGAACGTGATCTAAACACACTTGACATTGGAGAACTGCCTCTCACAGATTTGTAGTCGCTGCAAATACAAGCATGTGCAACAGCTTGTTTCCAGTGAGTTGAGGCTTTTTTAGTGTATAGAGGTCTTTAATGTTTGGTAGTTCATAACTGAAAAATAATATAAAGCATGCCTCTCCCACATCTCCACTCTGTTGAGCCATGTGCTGTCCACCCACAGCCGATTCTGTGAAGTCCATGAATCGGTTGCACAGCGTGCTCCTGACCCAGCTGTCATTTGGAAAAGTGGAAAAACTGGGGAACTAGCAGAAAGCAAGAACAGCAACGAGCATTGAAACGCACAAAAGAAAACCTCACAAACTAAGTCTCAAAGCTGGCTTCCCGCAGAGAGCGCAGTGTCTGTAGTAAAGGTGTGATTTTCACAGCGGTCTCCTCAGTCCAGAGCCAGCCAACCTGACAGTCAGTTAGTCTGCTAATTGGTCTCAAACTGAGAGGCTTACTACATGATGCCATTGTAAGTATTACCATATGTCACATACTTCACCTTTGGCTACTTTATACACTAAACCCTACTCTTTACTCTGTATGTTGCTATTGTGTGCTTATAAATGTAAGTGGGTGTTAGCATCAGCAATGTGAATCATAGCGGGGACCATTCCTTACATAACCTCACAGGTATAATTGGCCACATCAAAAAACACTTAACAGCAGAAAATAATTATTCCATTTAACTTCATGATGATACTTTTTCATCACTGATAATGAGCCAGCTATTGGTTAGTTCCAGTCTGACAGCTGCTGGGTCGGTCATTAAAGGTGAAATATGTTCACGACGCTGCACACAGAGCATGACCTGCCAGTTGACAGATGTCTCCCTGTCTGCATTCGCTGGTAATTGTGTAACTTTTCATGAATGCCAGGCTGATATCAGTGGCAACACTAAAGCCAAGTCTACAACAGGACTCGCATTTGTTATTCTTATGATCTGACGACAGTTCAATCAATATTTATGAACTTGAGCGTCCCAAAGCAAGAATAAGAGAGCCGGGGCTTTGAACTGTGTTGTTATCCGGAGACAAAGAGGAGCTGCTCCTTTGTAAGTTGAGTGGAATCTGAGTTTGTGAAAGTTGTATGTCTAAATGAGCTTGCTGACATTGTAGTTTGGATTGTTTTTGCGAGAGGGAAGATGAGCCCATAACCATGCACAATCACAATCACTCCGGCACTTTGTCAGACAATGTCTGACTCCATTCGCAGTCAATGGAGCAGCTCCAGGTTTTGCCTCATGAATATCGTCAAGTCTCCTCTATCTTTGTTTGTTGCCTCGGATAAAACATTTCCTGATCACAAATAGCATTTTAACTGTCAGAAATGGCCGCCATAACTTATTCAAATTATGTTTTGGGCTGACTTTTCCTCTCATATTGTTCCATAAAGAAAGATCACATCTGTTTCTTTATGGATCTTTAGTCTCTGATCACCCACTTTGTAACACAAGATGTGTATGTGTGTGTGTGTGTGTGTGTGTGTGTGTGTGTGTGTGTGTGTGTGTGGTGTGGTCGTGTTGTGTGTGTGTGTTGTGTGTGGTTGTGTGTGTGTGTGTGTTGTGTGTGTGTGTGTGTGTGTGTGTGTGTGTGTGTGTTGTGTGTGTGTGGTTGTGTGTGTGTGTGTGTGTGTGTGGTGTGTGTGTGTGTGTGTGTGTGTGTGTGTGTGTGTGTGTGTGTGTGTGTGTGTGTGTGTGTGTGTGTGTGTGTGTGTGTGTGGTGTGTGTGTGTGTGTGTGTGTGTGTGGTGTGTGTGTGTGTGGTGTGTGGTGTGTGTGTGTGTGTGTGTGTGTGTGTGTGTGTGTGTGTGTGTGTGTGTGTGTGTGTGTTTTCCTCTGTTTCTTCCCTTTTGTAGGGATGGTCCAGACCAATCATCTCCTCAAATTGGCCAGTTTAGCGGGAACACAGCTCTGGAGTCTGTCTACTCGACTTCCAACATCATCCTCATCAAATTCCACTCAGACTTCTCTGGAGCCGGCTTCTTTGTCTTGAGCTACCATGGTGAGACAGTAACAACATTATCCTTCTTTTTTCACAGAGCTAGTAATGGAAGCATTGGATTGAATTTGTTTGGGTACAATACCTTTCTCATTAACTTGCTCTGCTGTTGGCTGTATCGTACTGAGGTATAGTGGTAAAACTATAATGCTATCATTAGTTCCTGCAGCAGTGATGGCATCGATCTGTTTGTTGTTAGACTCTCTGCAACTCCATCCTCATCAACTCAGACCTGCTTCCTTTGACTCATTCGTACTCATGATTTTTCGTTCTTTTCAACTTTCTACCTTCTGATTGAATCCGGAGTCTTTGTCGCTGCCTACCAGTACAGTAAGGGTATATTAGTCACAGCGGTGCTATTAATGGTTCTCATACCGTTGCTGCTACAGGCAGGTCTTCTTTAGTAAACACTTTAACATGTGTTAAACATTTCAAAGCTCTCATATTTGAGTGTACTTAAGCAACCATGCTAAATGTTTATCCTTGATTTATTACATGATTAAAGAAGGAATGACACATCACAAATTAGTCATACAACACTTAGTCATGAGACACTCACTTTTGTGTGGTATTTAATCACTTTTTCAAGGTCTCTCTTGCTTGGTTATAGAACACATAGTTTAACCTTTCTTTGGTCAAACTAATTCTGCATCAGAATCAGAAACAGGTTTATTACCAGGTAGGTTTACACATACGAGGAATTTGACTTGGCGTCATGGTGCGTACATAAAAATAAAACATGAATTAAAACACAGGTAGGGAACTAGAAACATATACAAAAACATAATAAAAATATAGTAAAATATGACAGTATTTACATTGCAATGGAATGAAAAAAGGAATAAAATATGAATAAAAATCGGCAGTAATAAAAAAGACTAGAAAAAGACAAGAAAACAAATATATTGTACAATGTGTGTGCATACAATGATTTAGACCAAAGATCAGTGTAAGGTAAGGTACATATGATATCATTGCTGAATTCAATATCTAAATGACGCTATTGTTGGAAGGAAAAGTTTATTTATCTGTCAAATGTCTGATTGACTAAAAGCTAAGAGACACTGAAAAGCTGAATTGTTTATTTATCTGTTCTCTAGATACACAATGGGCGAGCAGATGTTTTGATTATTTTTCATTCTGACTTCCTTGCATGTTCCATATTTGTTGGTACTTTCCAGTAGCTTTGATGTTCTTGAATGGAAAACGGCAAAACGTTGGTTTGTTGAATAGAGAAAGACAAATGTAACTTCTACTTAAAGGTGGGGTATGACATTTATTTCAGAAAAACTTTTTGTTATATTCAATGGAATGCTCTTAACATCCCGATAGCAATGAATATATGAAATGCTTTGACAATAAATACGTTAAAAAAATGTAATCTGTGGAAGCCATAGTACTGTAAAAAGCACGACCAATCATTTTAGCCGGCCCGGCTAAAGTAACTGGATGGCCTACCTGCCTGTCAGCCTTCTATCTGTGCACAAATTTATCTCGTGCCCTCATTGGTCATGTGCGCGTTCGTGTGTGTTGGAGGAGGGGCTCTGTAAGGAAGTGGCAGATTTTTTCCAGCTGTGTATTTTCAAATTCTAGCGCACTCGAGCTGGTTTCTCCAAAATTACCTACCCCACCTTTAACCTCAGTGTGTTCATAAATCTTTTCTTTCAACATTGTTTATATTACCTCCTGTTCCACTTGTCTCTGTTCACGAGACTTTCTGGCAGCTTCATTTGAAAAGATTAAATAGCTTTAGCTTTCACCCATACAAGAAGAACATGACACAATCTAAAGTGAAACACACTTTTAGATTGTATGATTAAAGTAGTTAAAACAATTAAGCTGTGTTGTCAAGCAGCTAATTTGTCATTCTGAATTAAACGTTAAGCCTGAAGTTGGTCAACAAAAACAATTAGACTTGGATAACATTTTCTTGGTACAACGCCCTCAGAAATTTGTATCAGTAAGTTTTACAATAGCCTGAGTTTTTTATGTCATCATGCCTCCACATATTTTTTGAAGATTGTTTTTTTGCTAGTTTTGATCTGCTCTTTATCCGTGTCAAAACTGTCTGCATTCCAGTTTTTCATTTCAATATTTTCCTTGTGGTCCTTCAGTGCACTTAGCCTTCCCTTTGTTTTCAACTGCGGTTTAAGATGAAAACCCTCCGCAGCTGTCTTTATTCTCAGTTCACCTGTTTGCTGCAAACATCAATCCTCAGGCACTCTGGCTTCTGTCCATGTTTTCTGTACGAATCTACTGATTTGAGAAAACAAATGTAATGCTGACCACATAGACTCAATCAGTTTAAGTGATAACGTCCTTTGTTTTGAAACAAGCACTAAACCTGCATACATGTAGGAAACCACTGTCATATTAAAATGCAGTATTGTACATCCTCTGTTTGAATTGATGAGATTAAACTATAGTGTCCCTTTTACAATCTTTAGATTGTATAGCAAAGTGAACATGTTAGGATGTTTATCCTATGTTTCAACTTTGACTAAAAGATAAGAAAGAAATTACTTTAAAATGAATTGCATAACATTTAAAGAGAATGAATGAACTATATTCTGGTATTTCAAGGTTTTAAGACAAAAAAGAAACTGCTTATATTTCTTATTGACTGTTGTCAGAAAGTTCTGAGAGGGTGCATTTCAGGATGAAGATTACATTTGACATAATGGCTTCTAATGAGTATAGCTTTCTTTTTTCTTTTTAGCCTTCACAACACATCCAGTCATATGTGTGCATATCTTCCATCGTCCCTCTCATGGAGCTTATTCTCACTTCTTCAAAAGTCTTCTGTTCAATGCTCTATAGTGAAAACACGTCAAGTGGTTTTATCTAGAAGAATTCCCCTTTTCAGACAGATGTCAGGTTGTTAATGAATTTCTGTTGGCCGGTTTGAACTGTCAGCTGTCACTCACACAGGAACTGTACCATTCATTTTCATTCAATATCTGCTTTATTGGAGGATGTACAGCAGAAGCAGAGAGTGACAGGTGATGATGGATAAGAGGGGACGGGGATGACATGTATGGCAGGGGTTGTTAGCATCATTTTCTCAATTCTGTTTTATTAGACGATATAACAAGAAAACAAGAATGACGTACGGCAGGTAAACACAATGAGAGCGAGATTGCTCTTAGTCCAGATCAATTATTTGTTTATATATATCCAGGAGGAATTGTCACCTTCTCTGATGGAATTTCATCAGCAGAAGGTTGTCACAATTAGACACAAAGTTCCAACATTTAATCAGTGACGCAGCTGAAATCCAGGATGTCAACGTTTGCTTCGGAGACAGCAGTGAAAGTGCAGTTGTTTTGGTTGGAAATGCCAAATGAACCCCTAAGGAAGCATCAATCCATGGTTTAGGGATGTTTATCTTTTGTCATTGTCCTTCTATTTATTTATCTCTGGGTCCAGGTTCTGAATGCCAGTGCTTCCATGCAGAGATGAGGACCATTACAGTTTTGGATAATGTTGTCATGGACGTGAGACTGAAAGAGCCAATGTGACATGAATGTTGAAGCAGCCATAAAAAATGGCCGTGGAGCTTACAGAGATCACTGACTGCTCACAGTGATCCTCTCCTCTCACACACAGACACATAGACATCGCTACACTCCCCCACACCCACTCAGACATGGACATGTACTGGCTCACACACACAGACCACAGGGCTTTGATATGCATGAGAGCAGCAGATACTATTGGCAGGTCTCATTTTCATAGTCAATTTCATCCAGACTTATAGCCCTCAGCCCTTTCTCCCTCTCTCTCCCTCTCTTTCTCTCTGTTAGTGAGTGATATATGGTCATGCAGTAGTATTGATTACAGCCCTCAGCTCAGTGGCTGTGCATTCAGTTCCTTCTTAAAGATTCAAGGCTGTGCTGTATCTGTGAAGCCGCTCTGTCTTTGATTCCATACTTTGTTAGACCTGATCACCTTAACTTAAAAAATAAACTTAATCTCAAACAAGCAGAATTGAATACATTGACAGAAAAGAGGTTGAGTAAGCATTTGGTTTCCTTAAAGGTCCCATGACATGGCAATTTCTACTGATCATAATTCCATTGTTGAGGTCTACTAGAATAGATTTACATTGTTCAATTTTCCAAACTCACATGTGTTTCTCATACAGTATCTCTGTATAGTATGTGTGTATTCACTCTCTGTCCTAAACGCCTTGTTGGAGCTCTTGCCCCCCCCCCCTCCCTGTGAGCCCTCTGTGCTCTGATTGGTCAGCTCGCCCACTCTGTTCTGATGAGTCCACCACCGTTACAGCGGAACATCAGTGATTATGTGTTACAATGGCGTTAGCAACCAGAAAATGACACCAGCAATGATAAACAAATGAGAATGCTGCGTGGGGTCTGGGTGCCGTGTTGGCTGTGAGTTTGTGTGTGTACTCACGCTGAGTTCAGGCTGAGAAATTTCGCAGAGCCGCAGCTGAGAAAAGAAAAGGCTGAGTGGGTGTGTGTGTGTGAGGAGCTACACGGATTGGTCCATTTGGACCTGGGCATGTTACGTCACTATACTCAGGAAGAAAAAAATGGAAAAAGAAAAATCTCCAAAGAGGCGTTCTGGGGCAGTTTTACTCCCTACAGGGTGTACTTTGAGGGTTTGTGACTCTGCAGACCGTTTACATGCAGAAAAAGCTACATAACACACAAGGGGACGGGTAATAACCGGAAAAGCATGACATGGGACCTTTAAAGTTTCCTCAGTTTACAGCCTACAACCGCAACCTTACATATTGTGCTGGTAAAAGTAATTGTATAAAAGTTACTTCTTGCTAGTTTCCAAACAATACCCCTTTTTTACCGGGTTACAGACCACATTTCCTATCACAATCTTATATAATGTCCCTCTCTTTGTCATCTCTCCCCTCCTCTGCTGTGTCTGTTCTCCTAGCGTACCAATTAAGGGTTTGCCAGCCTCCTCCAGAGGTGCCCAACGCTGACATGCTGATGGAAGACGGGGAGTTGGAGATAGGTGAGTGTTTCTGTCTTCCTGCGAAGCCTCTAGACATGTCAATTTGATGGAGGAAGCAAAGTTAAGACTTATAACTTTCCAGCCCCAATATCATCTTTTCATAAAGGGTATCCAACCTTACATCTGATACTCATTAACTGAACACAGTGAATACATCATGCAACACTTAATGTATATCTACTTCAAAATTGAGTTTTGAAACCACATGACACATAATGATACACTTTGAAGTCTTTGAATCCTTTTCTTGAATAAATATAGCAATAGCTCTGCAATAGAAATATTCCAGTGCAAGTAAAAGTCATACATACATTTACTCTTATAAAAGTACATAAGCATTATGGCTAAATGTACTCAAAGTATCACAACTAATAACGCGAGAATTTTTTTTTTTTTATCAATATGTTTATTGATTTTCAGCTTACAAAAAATCACATACATAGGATGAAGACATAGAGCCAAAAACAATACATATATACACAGGACAACTACTTTACTTTACATTAAAGAAAAGTAGCAACACTAAATTAAATTGGTACATACCACAAGGGCACTCTAATACATCGGCAACCATCCAGTTTTCCAGCAATAGGACCGTATTTCTACAGAGGATATCACAGTCATTTACATTTTACCATATTATAGCATATTATAGAATTATCGCATTATCCTGCCCCAGTTTCGTTCAGAAATTGAGATAGGTCGTTGTTAAATATATTTCTAATAATATATTATAAATATATATAATAATAATTTCCTCTCATATTCTATCGGAGTAGAGGTATTTGCTCTCTTATAACTTATCATTTATATCCATTTTGCGCGTTCAGGTGACATCATCAGGTACAGATGCCAGCCTGGATTCTCATTGGTCGGCAGTGAGATTCTAACTTGTCGCCTTGGAGAAAGACTACAGATGGATGCAGCTCCTCCAACATGCCAAGGTGTGTGTGTGTGTGTGTGTGTGTGTGTGTGTGTGTGTGTGTGTGTGTGTGTGTGGTGTGTGTGTGTGTGTGTGTGTGTGTGTGTGTGTGTGGTGTGTGTGTGTGTGTGTGTGTGTGTGTGTGGTGTGTGGTGTGTGTGTGTGTGTGTGTGGTGTGTGTGTGTGTGTGTGTGTGTGTGTGTGTGTGTGTGGTGTGTGTGTGTGTGTGTGTGTGTGTGTGTGTGTGTGTGTGTGTGTGTGTGTGTGTGTGTGTGTGTGTGTGTGTGTGTGTGTGTGTGTGTGTGTGTGTGTGTGTACAAATGTTCAGTACGTTGAAACTAACAAGAATAGTGCATTCTTATCTAACCATTGTTCTCCATTTATGTTCCGTCTACAGTCCAATGCCCTGCTCATGATGTCCGGTACGACTCGTCGGGGGTCATCCTGAGTCCTGGTTGGCCAGAAAGCTATCCTAACCTCCAGATGTGTTCATGGAGCATCACAGTAGAAAAAGGATACAATGTCACCATCACCTTTGAAGGTTTCCACACTGAGAAAGAGTTTGACGTGTTGGAGATCTTTGATGGTAAACAAATACAAAACAAACTGACATAAAGTATAATAGTGTTAATGTGATCACCATTAGAACAAAACACTGTTGTATTTTACTATTTCATTTGTTTCTCCTTATTTCTCTCACTCCTCTTCTTCCTCTCTTTCTCTCTTCTTCTCGCTCAGGTCTAACGGCCAACAGTCCCACTCTGGCGACACTGAGCGGCGACCTTCCTACGCCCTTCAACCTCACGACCTCCGGCCACCAGTTCCTGGTCCGCTGGTCTTCAGACCACGGCACAAACAAGAAAGGCTTCAAAATTCGCTATGTTGGTGAGTACCAAAGTATGTATCCCAACTTTATTTTACTACTACTTTATATCATGATAGTGCATGGAAATAAAGATAGAGACAGACAGAGAGACATTCTGAGTAATGGAGCACTTGGAGGAGTTTGTAAACCCTCTAAGTTGTGTCATTATTATAAGTTAATCATAAATGGGACTGTTTCTCAATTTTTCATTTTAGAACAAAGATTGTACAAGAAAGTGGATTAACCTTTTTTTTCACGAAACTGAGTCTCAGGGCTTCTTACTATTTAACAACCTATTAATGTGTCATACCCACTTAACGGGAAGAAACTCAGCTAACTGACGATATTAACAATTCTTTGTTAAACAAAACACAGCTCTAACGCAAAGCCTCTGAATTAGCACTAAGCGAAAAAATGCTAACACACTTAGCACAGAACTCACGGTAGAAATACTTTATTACTTATCGGATCTGCTCAAACAATATATCAGCTAGCAAGCTGAGATTCCACAGATTCTAGGGGTATATGTATCATCACTGAGCGATCAAAACTCGTGGCTGGGGAAGCAAACCCAGACATCCCACAACGTAGCTTTATGGGACCAAAATGGAAAATAAGTCATACCGTTGCTGTTTTCTGATCAAAAGTTGTGTTCAATGGCATTAAAATGCATAACACGCTGCTGAAGGTTAATCCAATGTCTCTGTGTCACTTTGAAATGATTACTGATAATCCATCATTACATTTTTGTTAAAAACTGAGATTTCATTGAGCTACAGCCAAGCTTCCGGTTTTGGGCATTCTGGCTACGCATCACCCATTCACCAATGGGTAATGTTTAGATGGATTTTAGGAACTTCCCCTTGATTCTATTGGCTCTAACGGTTCAAAAGAGGTGTCAATCATCAAAATCGACGAGGGGGGCCAGAGATATGGAAAACCCACCCAAATGGCCCCAGAAGTGTTTTTTTTCTTCTAAATCTCTCTAAAAAGGTCAAATGTCACTTGTTTTGCATCAATCTTGATACAGGGTACTTATTGTATGTTATAGTTTGGACTCCTAAAGCTTTTAGTCTACTATCCCATCATTCAAGGGTGTTTTTCACTATAAGTAATGTTTTTTTTTTTTTGGACGGACACTATCATTTACATTTTTTTACCATGTTTAATCTGAATTTACTTTAAAATAAAAAAATTCTATATTGATTGGGCCTGCTAATTGTAGACTGTTGGCTATTAAGCCCCTTCACGTGGGTAATGAGGCTTGAGTGCTTTATTCAAGGGGCATATTTTGGCATTTAAGGAGAGGCGTATTACCTGTTCAGTTAGCTTATTCAGTAGGCTGCTTCCTTAACCTTTAAAACACCACTGTTCTGTATGATGAATTATATGCTGAATAATAACAGAAAAGCCTCCTCTGTAACCTTCTGTGGTGGCTGTGATTAATGTGAGCATCTGCAAGGATTGTTAAACACATGTTGTAGGTTTTCTAATATAGTTTTTTTTGTCTTACACAATCAAACCAGTATTTGAAACTCTCCCATTATATTGACCATTTTGTCAAATTAAGACATGTCCCCATTTGTTTTCATGCTGTCTTCTGATTTAAGAAGAAACGTCATCTTTGTAACAAGATAAGCTGGTATTGCATTAGAAAAGAGTCCTTGTGAGATTGAAGCAGCAGTTTAATGCCATCAATCTTAAAATACAGTAAAAGGAAAGAGCCTGGACTGAATCTAATCAGCGGCAGTCAGCTCATCTTGTTGCTTTTCCTGCAGTACATGCTGGCACACCAACTTTTAATGCTGTTTAGAAATATGTTCTGTCAGACAGCTTTAATTAGAAATCACTGACACACTGTAAAAACCATGGGCTAGCATAATCATTTTCATTTTGTATCTTCAATGCAAGGAAAACACAGTAAAAGCAACAAAACTCCCACTAACTCACAAGTTGTCCTTGACCATTTTGATAAGAAAACACCGCACTGATGAGGCTGGGCCAGTGACGGAGCAGAGGGACATAAAACAGGTTTATCACTAATAAATAAGGTCAGTTAAGAACTTGTGTTTGGGCCTGTGTCCAATTTGAAGAGTTACAGACCAGGCTATTTGCCAAAGTCAACATCTAACTGGACTCAGGCCCGGATCATCTTATGGTTTCACTGAGGAGCATAGTGCCCTAAGGGTCTGCTCATCAGAGCTGGCTGATGTGCTTGCTGACATTTTTAACCTGTCACTAGCACAAGCTTTTGTGCCCACCTGCTTCAAGACAACCACCATAGTTTCCCCTCCGAAAGAAAAGCACTGTGACCTGCCTGAATGACTATCGTCCTGTTGCACTCACCCCAATAGTGATGAAGTGTTTTGAGAAGATAGTCATGACCCACATCAGGAAGAACATTCCAGACACCTTGGACCCTCTGCAGTTTGCGTACCGTCAGAACCGGTCTACTGACGACGCAATCAACACCGTCATCCACACCACCCTCACACACTTAGAGGGCAAGGATACATATGCAAGGCAAGTATATGCAAGACTCCTCTTCATTGACTACAGCTCAGCCTTTAACCCGGTCATTCCCAACACAAAACTCTCTGCTAAGCGCCCTCACTCTCGGACTGACACCTGCTCTCTGTAACTGGGTTGCTGAACTTTCTGTCAGACAGGCCCCAGTCAGTCAGAGTTGGCAACCGCACGTCAGGCATTTAAAACTGTAAGCACAGGGACCCCCCAGAGCTGCGTGCTGAGTCCCCTGCTGTACACCTCTTCACACACGACTGTGTGGCCTCCCAGAGCAACACCTGTATCGTCAAGTTTGCAGATGATACGACTGTCATTGGAATGCAGACAAGACCAAGGAGATGATTATTGATCCACGGAGGAAGAGGGTGCAGCACACACCACTCTACATAGGTGAGACGGAGGTGGAGAGGGTGAAAACCTTTAAATTCCTCGGAACCCACATCAGCGAGGATCCTACCAGGTCTCACAATGCACAACAGAACATTCAAAAATCCCAGCAGAGACTGTACTTCCTAAGGAGGCTGAGAAAAGTTGGCATGCCATCCAAAATACTCAGCAACTTCTACAGATGTACAGTTGAGAGCGTCCTTACCAGCTCCATTACAGTCTGATATGGAAACTGCACTGCTCAGGACAGGAAGGCACAGTACATCTCAGGAGCAGCCTTCCCCTCACTTCAGGACATTTACACCACCAGGGTCACCAGGAGAGCACACAACATCATCAGGGACAATACACACCCCCAGCACAGACTCTTTACTCTCCTGCCATTAGGCAGGCGCTACAGGAGTCTGAAATCCAGGACCACGAGCCTGACAAACAGTTTCTACCCACAGGCCATCAGGCTGATGAACATGCTACCCCCCCTCAAACACACACACACTGATTGAACTGTGAGTGCTACACAGACACACTGACACTCACCGTTTGCACTACCTACTTTAACAATGCATAGTGCACTTGTTGTCTGCCGTGCAATATTTATACACTGTGAATCATGTGCAATACAACTATTTATATACTATTTAAATATCTTTTAAACTGCTGCTACTTATGTGCCCTTTCATGCTGCTGTTGCTGTGTGCCAAATGTATTTAATTTTATATTCCTGTATTTTACTTGCGTAGGGTTGACTCGCAAAGTAAGATTTTCATTGTATGGTGTAACTGTCTGTTTACTGTGCATATGACAATAGATATCTTGAATCTTGAATAATGAACCTGCTTGTAACTTTGTTTATGAAATACTGACATTGCGTATAAGGAGACAGAGACAGACAGAGAGGGATCATCTATGAACAAAAGACAAAATATCTGCTTAACTTGTTGCCAAGTGTTTTGCCCGCAGCTACCAATATTGTCTGGGGTAAAGTGAAAATGTTTCTTGGTGGAGGAATATTGCATTTATAGCCATTGATTTGTGGACAGTGTGTTCGGCAAAGTCTCTGACATCTACTGTAATTCTACTCATTGATTGTTTGATGGAAAAACTCTGCCGGGAGAGACTTATTATTTTTCTTATTTAGCATTCATACAGCTTGTCGGATCCTAATTAGCTGAAACACTTGGGTTGTAAGACGTGCTGGAAAGGTATAATTAACGTTATAAATGGGCTTGTTAATAATTCTGTTCACAGAACTTTTAGTTTAGCCCAACACTTGTTTTGAGATAAATTACTTGGAGTGATGACATCCTACTTCATCTAATGTCTGTAAATGCAACGTTTTAAATGCACAATGCCCAATTCAAGCCATAATTGTGATTATAATTTAACAATTTACTCACAAACAAGATACATTTGCTATCAGTCCATTATCGCTTGGCCTTCTGTCATGTAGTAAATGAAGTAGTGAGCCATGTTAATAAAATAAAACCATTGCTGATTGTAAGGTCAGCAACATTTAAACCTTTAAAATAAGACTTTGATTACAGAGTTGGTAATTGTTATATTAATGCAAACCTGCATTTAGACATTCATGCTGTGTGAATCAGATCATTGATCTGATGATGCACACATTTGTTTTCATAGTCTGTTAGATTAACAACAAGATTGTTATATGTTAACAGCATAGCACTGTAGTTTTGCCATGGTTGTAGAATAGCACTGTATAATAGTAGTAAAAAGTATTTTTTTCTTGGTTTCTAACATTCTACTTCCTGTTTTGGTCTGCAGTGAACCATATGTGAGGTCATTTTGAGGTCTAAGTGTTTTTTTTTGTTTCCTCCTCTCCAGCGCTGTACTGCTCCACCCCAGACTCTCCGCTCCACGGCTCTATCTCCTCTCAGAGCGGCGGCCATATTAACAGCGTGGTGCGCTGGGCTTGTGACCGTGGTTACCGTCTCATAGGCAACGCTACAGCAACCTGCCGCCGCACGGCACTCGGCTACCACGCATGGGACTCTCCTGTACCTGCGTGTCAAGGTTTGTTTATACTTCAAGCTAAGTATTTTGTATAAGTGATGTTATATGTAAGGTAATGTGATGTAATTATTTCAAACCATTATAAATATGAGCTTGAAAAGGTGCGAGTAACCTGGAGAAAATATATACAAATGTTTTTTAAATGAAGGATTGATGGCAGTCACATTGTCGCCCAATCATTCTGTCATGTTGCCAACCATTTAAGTGGAATGTTAATTGAGCTAATAAAATAATTTGACAGTCAGATCAGATTTCTAATTGACTTGTTAATAAAGTAGTTGTTTGAATTGCCAATACAAATGTGTGTTATCTGAGAAAATACAACTAAGTTTATCCATGCTATAAAACCATGAAAACTTATTTTCTTCCTTTAAGCAGCTTGTATCCTTTTTGCTCCAAAATTAAAGTACTGCACATTCATATGAGTAGCACATTCAGTGGGTGTGGAAATGCCACATGAAGATGCTTGTGAATGCCGAATATAATTCATGTTATTTAGTCATTTAAAAACAGCAAAACAAAAACACACCCTGTATTTTAATGAATACTGTTTCGTAACCTTTTATTTTCTTCCTATTTCAAAGGGTATTTTCAGAATATACTAGATGATGTATTTTGAAGACTATTAAAGGAGTTGCACGCTATTTTCTTACACCACACTTCAAATAGTCATAGAAAGGCACAGCTTGTAGTTGGTATTGATAGAAAGTCGAATGAAGGATGAATAGCAGATTGTCGACAATGTAATTACACGCTGTGGTGCCCCACCAACCAGTCTATTTAATACCAGTATGGACTGTGGAGCAGCATTTTCTGTAAGATGGATGTGTCTTATTAGTTGGAACTGAAGATAAAGCATCTCTTGATTGTATTTCTTTAGTTTGATGTAGGGTTGCACATCGTTGACTTTTTACGATACCAATACCGATACCACTGAACGATACCGATACATATCGTGATACTGAAAAATAATGTAATCATCCCGCAATTACTCCCATGAAGCGCTTTATGATATAGTTAACATGTCAAATGAATATCAAATTCAATTGTGGGACTTGGACCTTTTAGTACTGAACAAACAATGAAAAACATGTTATCTATGAAGAAAACAGACTCTGCAATATCATTTATAACAACCATCAGGTGTGAATAGTACATCTTGTCAATGGAAAAATAAAATAGCACCAGTATAATCAATATTTAACCTGAGATTCAACTGACCAGAGAACACACAAAGTGTCATGAGATCTCGGCATTGCACATAAAACAAATAGCATTTTTAAAATCAACATTTGCCTGATGAAAGAAAACAAATCTCATCACAGTTCAGTTTTGTGCATTCATCTTCAAGAAGATGAGCATATCTGCTCTCTGGATCCAAATGGGCCCTTTCACAGCGTAGAATATCACCTGCTGAACTGAACACTCTCTCGCTTGGCACGCTGCCTCCCTGAACACAAAGGTACTTGGTTGCCATACGAGACATCATTGTTGGAGGTTGGATGTGTTGCCACCTTTCCCAGAAATAAACTTCTTGCAGTGGTTACAGACCCCACCATTCAAAATGGCAGTCATATGCAGCCACACTTTAGATTTCTAAAGTGACTCGTTTGCGGAGTTTCCACGGCGAAATTGACATCGTAATTCCGACGGTTTGGGCGCGAGTTTAAGGATATTACGCCTCACTTTTATAATTTTTTTTAAAAAGTATCGAAAAACCGGATCTAATTTCGGTACGGTATACCGTAGCCGCCAGTAACCGGTATTTCGGTAATACCGGGAACCAGTATGCACCCCTAGTTTGATGGCTTCATTACAGAAAAAACTTGCGGTTGTTTAAACATGTATTATTGACTTTGAATCCCCACAAACAATTTGGACAAGTAGGCTACAAACCTGCTTCATGACAGACATAAGTGTGTGTTTGTGTGTGTCCCTTCTCATGTTGTGTATTTGTCCTCCCCTAGCTGTTTCATGTGGGGCGCCCAAGGCTCCTCCAAATGGAGGCGTTTTAACAGCCGACTACTCCGTGGGAACAAGAGTTTCCTATTTCTGTAACGACGGGTACAGACTCTCCAGTAAAGAGCTGACGTCAGCCATCTGTCAGCCTGACGGGACGTGGAGCAACCACAACAAGATACCACGGTGTTCTGGTGGGTAACACTTAGATGTCAGCGGAATATTAACACAAATAACAAGTCCTCTAGTGTCATAAATGTTTAAATAGCAATAGCATGAATACAAATGTAAATATGAAACTGCTGTGAGATTAATTGCATCAGTTACAAAGAACTTATTTAATATTGCATACAACATAGTTCAATCAAAGGTAATTAAATTATCGTGCACTAAGTGAGATACTAGATTGTAAGCAACATATAATTAGCATACGCTCTGAGTGGCAGCTATTTTTGGCTAGAACATTGTTATTTAAATGGTTCATTGTTATGCATCTGTTTGATTTTTTACAATGGCTTGGCCCCACTCTCAGCCGGCTTTTTAATATCTGACACAATTTCAAAATGGTAATTGATGGCTGTTGTTTAAATGAGTGTAATTTTCATGTTATTTCTCGCACTGTGTCTGTCTCTGTAGTGGTGGTGTGTCCCAGCATTGGCTCGTTTTCTTTGGAGCACGGCCGCTGGAGGATAGTCAACGGCTCACACTACGAATACAGAACTCGCATCGTGTTCACCTGCGACCCGGGATACTACAGATTAGGCCCCGCCCACATCCAGTGCCTATCCACTGGCATGTGGAGCTGGAAAAATGAGAGGCCGCACTGCCAGAGTGAGTAAAACAAAAACACTTGGCGACTGCAACTGCAATACAACATCAGAAACGAGCCAGCAATCACGCATATTTGAATGAGGATTATTCCAATTATTGAATCAAACTGTATGTGTTTACGCTTAGAATGAAAAGACTATAATCAAAGTATAATTAAAAGCTATGATAACAATAGTAGTAAATAAAATAAAAAACATAATTGAGTACAATTTTACAATTTAAGTTAAGTGATTAAAATATTGTCTATAAAGCATCCTTAAAAAGCCTGGCTCAATAGGTAGGCCTACGTTATAAGTTTATATTTAAAGATTTATATAGTTCCAGCTGTTCTCAGATCCTCAGGCTGACTATTCCAGTGTCGACTATTTACCAAAAGCTGACTCACCAAAGTGTTTGGTCATTTTAGAACAACAAAATAATTTCCAAACCTTAACTCATTCAAAATTCAAGATACCTTATTCAGGGTTCGTACAGTCATTGAAAACCTGGAAAAGTAATGGAAATTCAAAATGCAAATTACAGGCCCTGGAAAAGTTATGGAAAACAATATTTTTACCAAAGTTTTGGAAAAGTCAAATATAATTTACATTTTATCTAATCGCCGAAATAATCTGCGGTCGCGAGCTGTTTTGTGCCATCATGACGCGCATGGTGTTATGTTTTAATATGAAGCGCGAGCTGTGTGCTCGAGTCTTCCTGCCTGTCGGCTGAACTCTGCTGCTCCGCGATGAGGGTCTAAATACAGCAGCTACATTACCTACGGTGCGTTCGTTAACAGTAACTGTGCGGTCCGGAGTCACTGTGGCACAGACTGGACCGCTGGTAAACAGCTGTTAAGAGTGGGCCGTTCAGGTGTTCAGAGCAGAGCTCCCTGTCGGAGCGGCAGAGCGTGATGTGAACTGAAATGTTTTTCTGTCGCAATATTATTTAAGGAATCGTTGAGCTAGCTAACTACATTGTCATTATATCTGCTAACGTTAGCTTTAGCCTTCGTTTTCTAATAGTTGTTTTCATAGGCTATAAACAGAGGTTGTATAAGTATAGATATTGTACTAGAGAAAAAGTAGAAGTACTCAGATATTGTACTGGAGTAAAAGTAGAAGTACACAGATCTTGTACTTTAGTAAAAGTAGAAGTACTCAGATATTGTACTGGAGTAAAAGTAGAAGTGCACTTACCTTGTACTTGAGTAAAAGTAGAAGTATTCAGATATTGTACTTGAGTAAAAGTAGAAGTACTCAGATCTTGTACTTGAGTAAAAGTAGAAGTACCAGAGTGTAAGAATACTCTGTTACAGTAAAAGTCCTGCATTCAAAATGTTCCTCAAGTAAAAGTAGAAAAGTATTATCATCAAAATATAGTAGCGACAGCAAAATAAGTCCTTGTGCAGATTGGTCCATTTCAGAATAATATATATGATATGTTTTATAATGATTGATCATTAAAGTGTTCTCAAAGCTGGTAAAGGTGTAGCTAGTTGTAATGACACTGCTGCTTTAGTTGTTCTGATTGCTAAAATCCTCTGTTATTCCTAATTTTAAAGCCGATATTCCGTGGGGTCGGGGGCTCGGATCCTTGTCACCTTTTTCTTACCTGATGAGTTTGAATCCCTGACTACAGTTGCTTTAGCGTGTAGAACAGGGATCACCAACTACATTTGTCCAAGGGCCAAAATGTATCCAATAGACACTATCGCGGGTCAGCGATTTTTACATAGCCCAGAATTTTGAAGTTGTTGACCGGGGGGGGGTGTGCTAGTGGAGCACGCTCCGGCACTGCGAACCGCATAATAAAGAATAAAGCTTAGCAGACTCTTCACGCTAACGAAGGATCACTTCTAGGCAGGGTTGGGAGGGTTACTTTGCTGCTCTGAAAGTCATCAGAATACAGTTACGTGTCTTAAAAAAGTATTCAGATTACTTTTAGAATACTTTTGGAATACTTTCTTTTTCCATAACAGATGGGTATGTTTCGGTGAACAGGAGACACGTATTTTACTGTTTTAATGGCTTATCGAGAGCACAAACACAACATCTTGGTGTCATTCTGGACAGCTCCCTCTCATCTGCACCCACATAAAAAACATCACCCAGACTGCATTCTTTGTACTGCCTTAAAACCTTTCATTAGAATATGTTATGAATTGTAAGGTGTCCTTGGGTGCTTTGAAAGGCGCCCCTAAATAGAATGAATTATCATTATTATTTATTATTATTATCTGAAACGATGTAATAACTTTTAAAACTGTTTCCAGTCACTTGCCTCATGCATTCAGCAGCAGCAGGCCATTCACTTTGATGTTATCCCGTTATAAATGTCATCATTTCGATAATAAAGAAATGCTACATAAACGTTATCTTTCACATTTTATCTAACCATCTCCGTTTCTAACTTTCAATATATTTTAAAAGAGATCCCTCTCTCTCTCTAATCTGCGTGCGGGGGCGGGGCCTCACAGACACGCTGCATCTCTCTCGCTCACAGACATGCTGCAGCGCTGTGCAGTGTGCACACAGTTCCGCCGGTAATGAAGATTACATTTTGTGAGGAAACTTTTCCAATAAGTATTCCAAAATGTATTCACTTCAGGTTTACGAAAGTAACTGTAATCAGATTACTCGTTTTTCAAATGTAACGCCAGCTGAATACAGTTAGCCTACTTGATTTTTGTATTCTGATTACGTAACGCCGTTACAACCCAACCCTGCTTCTAGGCTACTGTCCCGCAGCTCCAGCCTCTCTGTTGGACTCTGTCGCAGCGGGGCTACTGCTGTGGTGCGGAGCGCACAAAGCAGACTCTTCACAACGAAGGATCACTTCTTCTTCAAGGCAGGGAAGGTTTCGCAGTATGCAGTCTACTGACCCGCAGCTTCTGCCTGTCTGTTGGACTCCGGTGCTGCACCTTACTCACGAGACGTTGTTAAAAAAAACGCACTAACCACTCCGCCAACACCACAGTCACCCCCGTCGTGCGGGCCGGATGAGAATGTCTGGCGGGCCGGATGTGGCCCGCGGGCCGCCAGTTGGTGGTCACTGGTGTAGAAGCTAGTAAGCCTACTATTTGATTTGTTTTAGATAGGCACAACATGTTTCATAATGTTAAAATAAACAACTTTCAGTGGTACCGCTGAGAAAGAGTAATTTTTTTTCGGTCATGGAAAATTAGGTCAATCAATCAATCAATCAATCAATGTTTATTTATATAGCCCAATATCACAAATGTTACATTTGTCTCAGTGGACTTCACAGTTTGTACAGAATATCAGTATGACAATACGACACCCTCTGTCCTTAGACCCTCACATCGTACAAGGAAAAACTTCCAGAGAAACCCCACAGTTTAAAGGGGAAAATGGAAGAAACCTCAGGGAGAGCAACAGAGGAGGGATCCCTCTCCCAGGATGGACAGACGTGCAATAGATGCCGTGTGTAAATTGAAAAGATAATACATTTGCAACATAGGTAGTCCAAATGTTTGGAAATGCATGTGTGTATAATAGGAAGATGAATCCACGAGGATATACATCCAGGACTTATGATCCAGGACCACAGCCACGACTCAAGATCCAGGACAGAGGAGCGCAGGATCATCCATGACTCCGGATCCCGGCGTATATAGACAACAAAAAGAAAGAAATGTGGGGAAGCTGGGTTAATCGGAACATGAGAGTACACAGGTATAGACAGAGAGAAGGAAGAAGTAAGATGTCCCCCGACAAACTAAGCCTATATCAGCAAAACTAGGGGCTGAATCTAATAAGCCCTAAATATAAGCTTTATCAAAAAGGAAGGTCTTAAGCGCACTCTTAAAAACGGATAGTTTTTGTACGCTCTCAGTTTGTACGTGTCAATGATGAATCTTCCACGCAAACCAAAGTTAGCCATGGAGTGCCACAGGGCTCAGTGCCCGGACCTATTTTGTTCACATTATATATGCTGCCGTTAGGCAATATTATAAGGAATCATTCTGTAAACTTTCATTGTTATGCGGATGATACTCAACTATATTTATCAATCAAGCCTGATGAAATTAATCATCGTATTGTCATACTGATATTTTGTACAAACTGTAAAGTCCACTGAGACAAATGTAACATTTGTGATATTGGGCTATATAAATAAACATTGATTGATTGATTGATTGATAGGGTGTCTGCCGCCCGAACACAAACTGGAAGCTAATTCCACAAATGTGGAGCTTGATAAGAAAAGGCTCTGGCTCCCATTGTACTTTTAGAGACTCTAGGAACAACCAACAACCCTGCATTCTTGGAACGCAATGCCCTAGTAGGACAGTAGGGTATAATGAGTTCTTTAAGGTAAGATGGCGCCTGCCCATTAAGGGCTTTGTAAGCGAGAAGAAGAATTTTAAATGATATCCTGTGTTCTATAGGGAGCCAGTGTAAGGCAGCCAGAACAGGAGTAATGTGGTCCCTTTTCCTAACTCTGTTTAGGACACGAGCTGCAGCATTTTGAATCAGCTGAAGCGACTTGACTGACTTCTTGGTACACCCTGATAATAAGGAGTTACAATAATCCAGCCTTGAAGTAACAAATGCATGGACTAGTTTCTCTGCATCGTTTTGAGGCAAGATATGCCTAATTTTTGCAATGTTGCGTAGATGGAAGTAGGCGATCCTTGAAATTGATTTTATGTGGGCGTTAAAGGATAAATCCTGATCAAATATAACACCAAGATTCCTTACAGTCTCACTGGAGGCCAAATTAATGCCATCCATAGTTAGTATATCTTTAGATAATTTGTTTCGTAGATTCTTCGGGCCAAGTACAATAACTTCAGTTTTGGTCGTGTTTAACATCAAAAAGTTTAAGGTCATCCACGTTTTTAAGTCCTTGAGGCAGTCTTGAATTGTATTTAGATGATTAATTTCATCAGGCTTGATTGATAAATATAGTTGAGTATCATCCGCATAACAATGAAAATGTACAGAATGATTCCTTATAATATTGCCTAACGGAAGCATATATAATGTGAACAAAATAGGTCCGAGCACTGAGCCCTGTGGCACTCCATGGCTAACTTTGGTTTGCGTGGAAGATTCATCGTTGACACGTACAAACTGAGAGCGTTCAGATAGATAGGACCTAAACCAGCCTAAAGCAGTTCCCTGTATGCCAACTAAGTGCTCTAGTCTTTGCAATAGGATGTCATGGTCGATAGTATCAAATGCAGCACTGAGATCGAGCAAAACAAGAATAGAGACAAGTCCATTGTCTGAGGCTATTAGAATGTCATTTGTGACTTTAACCAGAGCTGTCTCTGTGCTATGATGTGTTCTAAAGCCAGACTGAAAATCTTCAAATAAATCATTGTTTGTTAAGTAATCACACAACTGTTTTGCGACTGCTTTCTCAAGAATTTTTGAGAGGAACGGAAGATTAGAAATAGGTCTATAGTTGGCCTAAAACCTCTGGATCGAGGTTGTGCTTTTTAAGAAGCGGTTTTATCACTGCTACTTTGAATGATTGTGGAACATAGCCTGATAATAAAGACATATTCATAATATTTAATAAAGAAGTGCTAATTAATGGAAAAACTTCCTTCAACAGCTGAGTTGGAATTGGGTCTAACATACACGTTGATGGTTTAGAAGAGAGAATCATTGAATTTAATTGTTCAAGGTTTATGGTTGAAAAGCATTCTAGTTTACTATCTAGTGTAATATTAGAACTTATGTTTCCGGGAGCTGTTGATAACACTATACTGGTCAAAGGCAAGAGTTCATTCATTTTGTTTCTAAGAGTAACAATTTTATCGTTAAAAAAGCACATAAAATCATTACTACTGAGTGCTATGGGAATAGAAGGCTCAATCGAGCTGTGGCTTTCTGTCAGCCTGGCTACAGTGCTGAAAAGAAATCTTGCATTATTCTTATTCTCATCTATTAATGAAGAGTAGTAAGCTGCTCTCGCTTTACGCAGTGCTTTCTTATATTCATTGAGAGTAATATGCCAAATTAAACGAGATTATTCAAGTTTAGTGGAACGCCATATCCTTTCAAGTTGTCTCGACTTTTGCTTTATTTTGCGGGTTTCGGCATTATGCCATGGAGCTAGTCTATGTTGTTTTATGTTCTTCTTTTTCAAAGGAGCAACAGAGTCTAATTTTATTCGCAGCACATCTGTAGCACTATCAACAACATGATCAATTTGGGGTGGTGTACATTTTGTATAAGTTTCCTCCTCCCTTACATGCAGACATGCTATCGAGTTAATTATTGGTGGAATCTCTTCCTTAAATTTGCTATAGCACTAACAGATAGGTTTCTGCTGCAGGAGCTTTTGACTAATGCTTGTAGTCTAGTAACAGTACTTCAAAAGTTACTAAGAAATGGTCGGATAAAGCAGGATTATGCGGTTCGACTAATGGTTGCTCAATTTCAATACCATTAGTCAGAACAAGGTCGAGAGTGTGATTATAGCAGTGGGGTTGGTTTATTTACACTCTGACGGAAACCAACAGAATCTAATATAGAATTAAATGCAACAGTAAGGCTATTTTTATCATCGTCAACATGAATATTAAAGTCACCTACGATAATTACTTTATCTGTTTTAAGAACCAAAGTTGATAAAAACTCAGAGAATTCTGATAAGAATTCTGAATAAAGACCTGGTGCACGGTACACTGTAACAAAATAAGATTGGCTGCAAAGTTTTCCAGGTCGGATGCGTAAGACTAAAACGAGACTTTCAAAGGAGGTATAATTTAATTTTGGGTTTAGTATTGATAAGTAAACTTGAGTCAAAGATTGCTGCAACTCCACCTCCTCGGCCTGTGCCTCGGGCAATATGAGTATGAGTAGTAAAGATCATGGAGAAGTCATTGAAAAGTCATTGAAAATCATTGGTGAAAAAGTGTATGAACCCTGCTTATTGTCATACATGCTGTATGGCAGTTGCAATATACAATGATACTTTAAGGCTCATCTCTTCACAGTTAAATATTTAAAATATGATACATACTAACTAACATATAAGATTAAAAAAAGTAAACATAGTGCATGATGTGCCGCATGATCAAATACAAAATAAATAGGATATATAAACAGCAGGGTAGAGTATGGCGTATAAATATGCATATGAATAAAAATAGATGGACTTAAAAGTATTGTGTAAAACAATATAGTGACAGCCAGTGTTTGTTACTTTTGTGTTTTTCCTCTGATCCATTTAGTGCAAAAAATAAAAGCAATCTCTTAATCGATTTCTGGAATCTCCTGTGGCCGCCTGGCAACTGATCCAAGCCAAGAAATAGCCGGGCACAAAATCCCTTGTAGAACAATGAATTATATGGGTGAGCTTTAGATCTGCTGGAATTCGGGTTCAGTTACAAATTAACTGAAAAACAGCTTATTTCCAAAGCTTCTGAACTAAGACATCTCTCAGACTGACAGGACTGATGTGCTGGCATCACTGCAGCATGTCACTCCAACACACTCATTATGTGCAGTTTACTAAACACACATTCAACACCCAACACTCATGCTTGTCACGTTAGTTATGTTCTATTTTCATTTGTATACCTTTTATTTATTATCTTACTTCTATATACTACTTAGACTCTGCTCCATTTATTGCTGTGTCCTCCTTCTTTGTAAATATGTATACATGTTTTAATACAATGTTGCAACCATGTGAGGCTGTTGTTATTGCAATTTTTTTGTGCTTAATGACAATAATGTTCTTTGGCCTTCCTAGCTTTTTCCCTGTGTTGCTATGATTTGCTAACCAGCTGTTGGCAGTTCATATTTAATAGACGGATAAGAGAAATATATAAATGTTCAACATCTAAATCATCCACAAATAAGCATTTCCTTCAGACGCAGAGCATGTTTTCTGATTACTTTATGTACTTCTTAATACAAATAATGAATGCATGAGCCATTAAAACAAAAAATTAATTATATTTCAATAAATCAAGCGATAACTAACTGTACAAGGAAAACTGCTTTTTCTTACAATCCATTCTCGCCTTGACATTTTTGTCATAAGTTATTTCAAATTTGAGGATTTCTTGACATTTGAATGAATCAATGTTATTTATTTAATGTTCAGAAATGTTTAGAACCCCAAAGCAGAGAAGGACACTAGTTCAGTTTGAAGGTGTTTAATAAACAAAGCAAGGAAAATGCAGTTAATGAAGGCAGGGAGCTGCCTGGTTTGCAGAAAAAGTCCCAGGCAAAAACACAAAAAGTTGCACAACAAACTGCAATCTGGAAAACACAAGGCTTGGGCTGCAGAGAGGCACTCTGGATCGTCCAACAACATTCAGTTATCTGGCAGAGTAGTGGAGTGAGGACCAGGCTCTTAAAGTGAAGGTTGATGAGGTGACTGGGAACAGGTGTTTCTCATCTGCAGCCAGGAGAATACGAGCCACACCCCCTGCCACACACCAGCCAATCAGAAAGGAAGAACAGAGAAGGGGACAAGAACAAGCACAACAACCAAAACATATGCAGAAACATTACAATATACCTTTATAGAAGTGTGTGACATTTCAGAAATGACTGTTATATTCTTCACCAGCAATTGTGAATTTCCATTGTAGTAAAAAAGTATGTATTCGTTCCAAATCTGTGAGAGTCATTGGTAGCATAGTTTCTTGAAAGCAATGTTCTTTACCAACAACTCAAATCAACCTGGTGCGTATTTGGTGCATGAGTGCTTTAAAATGGTTTGTTTCTGCCTGTGTGTTTCAGTCATATCCTGCGGAGAGCAGCCATCTCTTCCCAATGGGAAGAAGATTGGTACTCAGACAAGCTTTGGGGCTACAGCCATTTACACCTGTGACGCTGGTTTCATGCTGGTGGGGTCAGCCGTCAGAGAGTGCCTGTCCTCTGGGCTGTGGAGTGGAACAGAAACTAGATGTCTAGGTATGTAACGACAGGAATTAGTAATGTATTCAAACATGTAAGTATGTAGATATATATTTTAAAGGTCACCTATTATACAAAATCCACTTTTCCATGTATTTTATACACAAACATGTGTCCCTTCTGTGTAAAGAGATTCTGAAAGTTTCAGGAAAAAAGATTTCTCTCTTTTTGTCCTGATCCATTTATATAAAAACCTGTCTGAAAATGAGCTGATCAGATTTTGGCCACTTTATGATGTCATAACGATTTTTTTGGCTTATGTAACCATTAGCCAATCACCAACCAAGGTAAACCCCCCCCCCCCCCCCCCACCTTATCACCTGAATCTCCTCCTAGAGCACCATTGTGTTCTTTTTAACCAAATATCTCTCAGAGGGGCGTTTCCTCTAAAGTAACAGACAGAGAATCGGCCCTTTTGAAACATGGCTGAAACACTGACCATTGGAAAGGGGGTTTGAGTTATTTGTTTTCAAGTCAAGATAATGAGGACAGGTATCAAAGGCAGGGTCTGCACAGCTGCTCTACTCTAACCTCGTCCACCTCCCAAGAAAAAACTATTACGAGCTTCTGCTGTGCACTCACTAAATTCAGTTAGAATGCTTTTTTTTATATATATATATATATATAAGCCAGAAAAAAACAGCTTATTTCTTCTGTCAGTGTGCCAGCGAAAGTTAACATATGCTATGACAAGTTGCTGTCATTTCTCCATGAAGCCTCAGTAGAAACAGCGCTTCCCAGAATACTTCACAAGCCGAGGGGGGATATGAGATGCAATTTAGAACGGGAAGGTTCATTGAAACTTAACCTAGACTGATGAGGAGGCAAGGTTCTGTCAAAAAATAAATGTATTGAGCCCTAAAAAAGTGCTATAAACAGCATTTTCAGTCAATAACTTTGCCAATTATCCTTTGAAAACCAATCTAGCTTTTACTGTACTTGTTTTTTCTAATTTTAAAATCGGTGTTGTTGTGTTTCTTATTCCAATCATCTTTGTAATCAAAGCTGATGCACAAAATATTTTCTATAATTACCCTCATTTGTTCAATCATGAAAAATACAGTTTTGTACTAATGTTTATTCCTTATACATAAGTTCTTCTGCAACATTTTCAAGAAAGTAAAAATCGTCTTACTTTAGAAATGCCGCAAAATCTCAAAGACAATGTGGGAGGACAAAGGTTATGCAGAGCAACCTTTTCTCTTCCTGTTCCCTCCCACTCTCCTGGCTGCTTTTGACACTGATCTACTGTAAAGAACAAAATCAATACCCAATCCAAAGTTTCTGAGAATACATTTACTCCTGTTTGGTTGGCTGTTACCGGTAAAGCCTGATACTTAATAAACACAGAAACATCTTCATTTAAAAGGTAGATGCTTTCGACAGCAATGACACATCTGTGTAAATGCTGTAAGGGGGCAAATTCCCATCAGAGACTTCAACATAAATAGAGAGGCGAAGTCCCGCCCATCTACTTCCGACCCATGGGACCTTATTTCGGAAAAATTATGTACTGAAGTCAATGGGGAGAGAAAACGTATCTTTCGATCCCGTTTGAATTGTGCCATGAATTACACATATGATGTTTGTCAATCTTAAAAAATAATTTCCATGTCAAAAAAGTCACAGTTTGTTATAAAACTGTTGAAATATAAGACTATGAAAAATACGCAACTAGAAAGACTACAAATCCCAGAATCCCGGTCCCGCATGCTGGCTCTTACGGAACCGACTAACTCCCCTTCTGTGTATACAGCTCTCAACATCCCCAGACTTGATTTTCACCACTTTTAATACTTTTCGCCTCATTCTGAAATAAAGAAGTGAGATATGCCAACGTCACGGCCGTCTTGGTGTGTGGTGCGAGACGGGAGATGTAGTTCATTGAGCGGGTTCACACAAAAAAAAAAGTGTTACTTCACAGTTTTACGACACATTTTAATTGTTTTGACTTGCAAAGTTATCTTTTAAATTGACAAACATCATATGTGTAATTCGTGGCACAATTAAAACGGAATCGAAAGATAATCTGTCTCTCGCCATTGACTTCAATACATACTTTTTCCGAAATAAGGGAGCTCCCCGGAAAGGGAGGGACTTCGCCTCTCTATGACAGGTTGTCCAATTTATGATAGAGCTTAATATTGTTCTTGAAGATGGAGCGCTTGTTGTGCTCCATCTTTGATATTTCATGGCGTGTGTTTGCTCAGATTCAAATGTTTCATTGACAAGATAAACAGGTTTCAAGCTGCAATTGCTTCTTTTACAGGCTAGCAAAATGTTTTCAACAGCTGTTTAACATCTTAATGTCCCATATGGAGGCAACAACTGAGATGATGTTAAACCCACAAGGTTTGTTTAAAACTACAAGGCTTGATTCAATTGTTACGGTTTTTTCTGAGATTCTCTCCCTGTAACCCAGATGCATATCATGGTTATAAGCCTGAACCTAAAACATCATTGTCATGAAAAAGTCTTTAGCCCTAGGTTACATAGGAGATTTGTTAAAAAATCGTAGAGTAAAATTGCACGTTAACCTCAACGTTTTGAAGATTTCATTTAAATAAACGGTCTGTTAATTCACCATCTTTCTATCGCTGAACGAGCCACTGTTAACTGTGATGGTTATTCTCGTGTCCAGGAAAGAGAAGCTTAAAAAGGAGACTAAATGGAGTCTCTGAGATGTTTTTCAAATTGGTACTTTAATTAATAAAAAGCGTGGTAAAGTCACAACAGGATATTGTCCGACAGAAAAGCAGCTGTCTCTGGCTCCCCGCTAGCAGAGAAAAGAGGCCGAACCGCTCAGGTGCTGCTGTTATATAGCTTCTGCAGGCTCCTCCCTGCGGGCCGGCCCTCCACATCTTAATGTCCGTTGTTACGTTTAAACAGAGGATTCAGCCATTGTACATTCAATATATACTTAAACACGCCTCTTCTCCTCATATTGTCTTTCATCCCTTTTCCTTTAACACATTCTAAACGTTGTAGTTAATATTCTAAAAAAATACAGAAAATACTTCACGGCTGGTTTGGTTTCTGGTCATTCCGGATGTTGTCACATCTTACCCACGTCTGTAAACAATAACTTTATTCAAAGAAACTATACCTTCATTTAATATTCAGCAATAATAATACGTCTATAGTTGCAGTGTTAAAATCAGTAGGTTTCGGTGTGCATCACTCCATGTCATTTCGCTACTAAATTAACCTCTATAAGAAATGGTAAACTAGCCACATGCTAACCGGAGATGAAGGATTTTCAGAATAAAAGCTTAACTGGTTGTGCACAATAATTTTCTGGTTTTTCAGTATAAAACAGCATTTAAACTGAAGGTACATTTAAGGTACATTATGCCATCAAAACATTGATTTTAATTTCTAACACCACCCAAAAGGATATTGAGCCTACGGCAAACCGAAATCAAAGCCTTAAGATTTGCAATGTTAAAAATTGGTTGTCTGTTGCAACATTTTCCAGGAAAAGGCAAGACTGTTTGGATTTCTTTGAAGTGAGATCCAAACATACATCTACAATTACCCCTCTTGATCATAGGTGGCACTTAAGAGAATAATACATGGAAATCTCCAAGATTTTCATCCAATACAAGATTTGTATTATGTCTGTTTTGTCTATCCAAGGTAGATATAGGACAGCCAAGACCTGGAATAATAGAGAAACACATTTATAGGAATATAATCTGAAATAGTTAATAATGAGAGAGGCCATTTACAAATAAAAGTGAGTGCTACAACATATTATCTTTGCAGCGACGTTTCTAAGGCACGTTCAGGAACACCATTCTGAGTCGTCTGTATGTCTTTCTGTGTCTTTCAGCCGGTCACTGTGGGATCCCAGAAGGCATTGTGAACGGTCAGGTGATCGGGGAGAACTTTGGTTACCGTGATACGGTCGTGTATCAGTGCATGCCTGGATTTCGACTAATAGGCTCATCGGTTCGAATCTGTCTCCAAGAAAACCAGTGGTCTGGACAACTGCCTGTCTGTATATGTAAGGAATACACTTATCTGTCTCTTTTACAAGCTATGATCTGGTCGGCTTCCTGTCTTTTCAGAAAACTGACATTACAAGTAGTAGAAGAAAGCAATTGTTCAGAAGGTCGACTCAGTGAACAGGAAATCACTAAATCAAGAGTGTATCCTGAACCAGCACATCATTATAAAAACGCCTGAAGACAAATATTTGCTGTAGTTCAGTGGTTACACAAACTGATTTAGGGAATACTAACAAGGATCAAGCCTTTTGGGTATGTGGGAGTAAGTGTGGTGGTGTTGATGTGTGATTGATACAAATAATTTCATTTATTGAAAACTATTTTTATTTCTGCTTGATTTGCTCTTAAAGGTGGGGTAGGTAAGTTTGAGAAACCGGCTCGAAATACACTTTTTGTTATATTCCATGGAATGCTCTTAACATCCCGATAGCAATGAATATCTTAAGTGCTTTGACAAAAAATCTATAAAAAAATGTCAACTGTGGAAGCCGTAGTACTGTAAAAAGCACGACAGGCCCGGCTAAAATAACTGGATGGCCTACCTGCCTGTCAGCCTTCCATCTGTGCACAAACTTATCTCGTGCCCTCATTGGTCATGTGCGCGTTCGTGTGTGTTGGAGGAGGGGCTCTGTAAGGAAGTGGCAGATTTGTTCCGGCTGTGTATTTTCAAATTCTAGCGCACTCGAGCTGGTTTCTCCAAAATTACCTTTAAGTGCAAAATCTAAATAAAAACACAATGAGAGCCTCACAACGCTGTCTTTACAATTGTGATAACATTAAAGCACAGACTTACCCTGATTTTATATTGAAGATATGTCCAGTAATTAAGCATTGCACATCTTTAACAGACTCAAAAGCCAACAATATACAGAGCAAATATATTGTCTTGTTTTATTACACATTCTTCGTTGTCTAAACCTGGCCTCAAACTACCAAGAATTTATTTCAACTGCTTACATTTTGTCGTAGATTCAGCTGTGTGAAATTGGTTTAATAAGTGACATGTGTAACAACATATTCAGTTAAAACAGTAGCTACCTTTAACATTGTTTATCCACGCAGCACCAAGGGACTCATGCCCCTTCACACCAACGCGGTTCCAGGGCCGGTTTGGAGCTAGAGCCTGAAAAGCACAGTTTTTTCCTGTTCACACCGCAGCGGAGCTGCCTCTAAGCTCCGGAAACCGGTGCTTTTCAAGCACCAAAAAAATTGTCTGTCTAGAAGCAAGATCCGCTTACGTCAGAGGCGGGGGCAGGGGCGGGATCAACCTGAGCAATAGCAGTTTATGGCGAGTACGGCAAATGAAAGTTGTAACAAGCAATAGCGCTGACCAAAGTGACTAGAATGCAACCACACCCTTGTAAAAAAAAACACACTTTATAAAGTCAGGCAACACTAACCAGGCTTCGTGTGGTTCTGTTTATTTGTACCTTACTTTGACCATCCGTTCACTGTTATTGATCATTGTGGAGAGAGGCAGACGTTTTGTTTTGTATTATAGCAGCTATCGGATGGAATCAATATATGGGCTGCACAGCTTGTCATATCCGACTATCACAAGTAGAATCATAATAAAAAATACACCGGTAAAATGTGCCTGTAGAGAACGGCTTATGCCAAACACATTTATAAACAATGAACCACAGCACTCTGGAGAAAAGTATAGGGGTTAAGAAGTAGTTATTTAATTTAATCTGGCTTCGTATGATTAAAAGAAACACGATCATCGACCCGACGCCATCGGGGAGAAAATCAGCGACGTAAACGGTGAGGTCATGACGATGACGCAATGACACAGCACCACTCGGGCTCTGGGCGGTGTGAACAAAGCGGGGGCTGAAAATAAAAAACGATTCCGAACCAGAAAAGCTCTAGCACAGAGCTAGAACGGGTACCACGTTGGTGTGAAAGGGGCATTAATCTGGTCGAGCCGATAAACCCCAGTCCAATTTCACTCGAGGGTGGAAATATCAAAATTAAACCTTTTTGTTCAAGAGTGATTCAATATGTATTTTGAGAAATATTTTTGTATTCACCAAATAGTCCTGAGGTTCGGCAGATTCACACCAGCAGTCTTATACAAAGGGCCAGAGGGCCAAACTGCCTCTGTGGTCTGGCTGAGATAAATTGCTAGGCTTGATGATAAAGCAGACCTCTCTGAAATGTCCAGGCTTCTGTGAAAATGTTCTAAAATCGGTCACTTACTGTGGGCGTCCTGAAGTTTTTTAGGCAGCAACTGGGCACGGGTAAGGTGGCGATGATGAGCCAACTCTAGCCAGCCACAGGCACCTTTTCCCAAAGAGACAGCCCGTTTGTTCACTAAATTAGAACCATGTTTAAAAGATGTAGGTGGTGAAGCAGTGTCAACATTCTGGAGTAGCAGAGAGTTTATTTCCTCTAAGAAATTGTTTTGACTATGACACTTAAAGGACGAGAAGTGTCATCATAGGGACTTTATATCAGAAATAATCTGTTTTTGTGTATATATTTGTGTTTATGTTTAGGATATGTGTGTGGATCTGGTGTTTCTGTGCTCTGCTGTTTTTATTGTGGTTATTCATGCAGGAGTTATTGAGGGAAATCATTTTACAGCCAAATTATACTGTAATTATGTAGATGAGAGGCTCTTGTTTAGAGGCACAAACACAGAATGATGATGAGACCGTGATGTGTGTGTGTGTGTGTGTGTGTGTGTGTGTGTGTGTGTGTGGTGTGGTGTGTGTGTGTGTGTGTGTGTGTGTGTGGTGTGTGTTGTGTGTGTGTGTGTGTGTGTGTGTGTGTGTGTGTGTGTGTGTGTGTGTGTGTGTGTGTGTGTGTGTGTGTGTGTGTGTGTGTGTGTGTGTGTGTGTGTTGTGTGTGTGTGTGTGTGTGTGTGTGTGTGTGTGTGTGTGTGTGTGTGTGTGTGTATCTGCAAAGCATGCTAACGGTGTCAAAAACATTTGTATCTTAGGCAGGCAAACAAACTGATTCTCACTGATCAAGTGAAAATAAGGCCATGGCTTCCTCCCCTTCCTTCCTGTCTGCTCTTCTTGTCGCTATCATCTCTTCTAGTTTCCTTTTTTCTGAAAATGTCTTGGTTTTTTCTCCTTTTCCCAATGCACCTTACTACCCTCCTCGTCTGTGTCTTTCCCTTTTTCGTTCTATGGTCAACCTCCTCTCCTTTCTTCTCCTCTCCTCTCCTCTCGTTTAAAGGGGGTAGTTTAACTATCTGTTAACACAAACATTAAAACACATTTGTCAGCACAATGCGGACAAGGGACACACACAAACTTCTAAGTAGCTCCAGTGAGTGAAGTTAACACAATGAATAATTATGATGCACAATGCCAAACAGAGGTCACTTAATGCTAATGCAGAAGATGCAAGATCTAATTTTTTTTTGAAATGATGTCCCTAAATAGAGATATTTGCTGTGTCTGCTAGATCATCAGGCATCTCGTAATTATTTATCCATTACTCGTAAAAATTGTATTGATATTTGTCCCAAATCTGTGCTTCTTTTAGGTTGTTTGTTTTTGCAATACATTACATGGTCTCAGATTTGTATGTCTGCTAGAGATCGCACGTTTGTAGCTTTTATCTCAAGAGGAGATTTTGCTTTGATGAATTTGATGTTCTGAATTTAACATCCGCCAATTTGACATGAAAAGTCAACATATGTTGACATTTAAACTAGTTCAGCTGCAACTAAATGACATTGAATGCTGAAAAACGTTTGCACCCAGAAACATTCCCCCATAATAAAGACTTTATATCTCTATATCGAGGAAAAAAAAGGAATTATTGTGGTGTCAAGCAATGAACAGTAGATGTTACAAAACATATAAATGTTTCTGTAAACAGGGGTTAACACATTTTAAGTTTATTTCCTTTCATGTGATTTAATATCGGTTTTAAAGACATTCATATTAAACACAATGACGCAACCCGACATGCACATTTGTAATGAGCACTCTCAAAATAGACTTATTTAAATATATTCAAAAATCTGCTTGTTCCATGTCTCCACGGTTCACTCTCTTGTCTTCCCTTTAGCGATCAGCTGTGGCCATCCAGGAAGTCCCATATATGGTCGTACGGTGGGAAACGGCTTCAACCTCAACAACGTGGTCAGCTTTGTGTGTAACCGGGGTTATGAGATGGAGGGGCCCGCACATGCTCAGTGTCAGGCCAACCGACAGTGGAGCCACCCGCCCCCAACGTGTAAAGGTGGGGAGAAAAGTTAAGTGTATTCCCCCCTAACCTTATTTATCCCTAACCTTTTATTACCATCCAAACTCTTATGTTTATTTACCCTTTCTGCATTTCCCAAGTTGGCTCTCCCGTGTTTTACCACTGCTCGTTTCATTTCAGCTCATAGACTCTTCATCCTTTATTTAATTTATTGAAGTTTTGAGCTAGATTTATTTCTCTACATCCCTCCTGGCTCCAGCCTCATGAATGGAAATGTCTTGATTGTGCTCACAAGTTCGTACACAAGCTATCAGCGCTCCACCAAGATTACAGAATGAAATGGCAATGAATCGTGTAAAATGTAAAATGCAACCCATTGAAAGCAAGCATTACCCTGCATGGGTGCTGGATCCAGAACACACAAACCTGCCATCATCATCAACTCATTTGCCATATTTACCATCTTAAACACTTAATTAATCTCCTTTTTAAGCCCTTTATTATTTCACAGGCAGAAAAAAGGAAGAGAGGGAAGAGAATTGACTCTCCCTGGTTTAAGCCAAATAACACATGCTTTTCTCTCTCTGTGTACTTGTGTGTGTGTGTGTGTCTCTGTGTCTCTCTGTGTATAGTGGTCAATTGCTCTGATCCAGGTATCCCAGCCAACTCCATCCGGCAGAGTAAAATAGAGCACGGGAACTTCACCTTTGGCACTGTGGTCTTCTACGACTGTAACCCGGGGTATTACCTGTTTGGATCACCTGTTCTGTCCTGTCAGCCTACTGGACAGTGGGACAAACCTCTGCCCGAATGTATAGGTTAGTTTGATCTGTGTCCTTTTGTCTTTTTAATTTCACAATGAAAAAATATAGTGAATTGCCTTTTCCAAGCCTGACTGCCCTTAGTTACTGTTGCTGCACCTGTCACGTATTTAATTATACAGAAGGCACATAATGCAGTTTATAATAATAGCGGCGGCAGAGTAACCTCTCAAAACTCGTAGTTATTTTTAACCTTGGTTTTTAAGACGGGGGTAAGACAGCAGACTTCTCATTGTTTGGCCATGGAAATAACAATCCATACCACCATGGACCGTGGAACGAATGTTAACCTTTAAACCTTTTTTAATTGGACACTTGGACCAGGCACCAGAACAAAAGGACTCAAGGTTCTGCCAAAAATGTGGTGGGTTTAAAGTACAAGTCTTCTGAAAAAACACTGTTGGCTTTTATTAATAGAGGTGTTGATACTGTATATTTAAACAATTACATTTTGATAAATTATTCCGATATCCAAAATCGAAATCAATGTCATGAGTTCAATAAAAGATCAGTATATTGCTCTCTCTTCTATGATCCCCCTATTTCTCTGCTATATCCTCCTGGGAACCGAGGAAAAAAAGTGTTTTCTAATCTTCTTTATTTTTTTTAACCCTACCTATTTAGGGTTAAAAAAACATCTTGCAATTTAGAATTTTTAAATGTTATTGAATTTTTAAATGTTACAGTATGTCCACTGTAGAGGACGTCAAGACCATTTTAGTTTGAAAAGACAGCCAAAATACAGTAGCTGCACATGCCAAAGCTCACTTTATACATATTGCTTGATTAAAGGAGTGCTTAAAATGATCTGCAGTGTGTCTGCCTGTTTCCTCACTACCCACAATCCTTAACATGTGTGTTCTAAATCTGTACTTTGAGTTCTTGACAACAGTTAATGCAGCTCCTCTCACAAAGCTGTGTTTAGTTGAAACTAGCTGTCTATCCTCAGCCTCTCAATCCCTAACTCTCTCTCCCTCTCTTCTGATCTCTAGTTGTGGATTGTGGTCACCCCGGCTCTCCCCCTAACGGTGTGCTGAGTGGAGTTAAGTTTACATTTGGTTCAACGGTCCGATACTCTTGTCTTGGTGGGAGACAGCTGAAAGGAGAATCATCCAGGACTTGTCAGCTCAACGGGATGTGGAGTGCCCCCATGCCCTTCTGCTCTGGTAACCATTTTAACCTCTATTGAATATACCGACTTTGTAGCCCACCCTATCAGTAGGGGGAGATGGATGGATGGGAGATGTAGATGAAAGATGAGACGTCTAAAAACATGTAGACTCAACAGAGTGTGGAGCACTTCATGCAGGCCCAATTTCTTACCCCCTTGCACTCAGTGGAAGGGATAATGGGATGGATGGATGGGCAGATAGAAGCTCGGCCTGGCGCATGAAAAGAGAACATATCAGTCCCTGTCTGTTAAAAGGGTTGTGGAGCATAACCTCCCCCCCCCCCACACACCCACATACTGTAAATCCACAGCCATGGACCCTTGGCCATGAGCATTTATTTACTGGTTGTTCAATTTCAACTATTTGTAAACCTACTTTTCTTTCTTATGATGTCTCTCAGAAATGAATGTGTTTTCTCTCTTGAGGAGAACTGAAGGATGAGAATACAAATGAACATATGGAGCGGTTCTTTAAATATTAACACGTTTAAATACTTCAGTGTTACCTGAGCATTTTCTTTAGCATAAGTTGTAGTGATTTAAGACAACTTTGTTTACCGCAGTGTAGCCCCCCCCCCCCCCCCACCCTGCTGGATTTACTGTATATGCATATATCATCACTTATTGAGCTATATTGTCTCTCCAGACAGCAAGCCTCCTTACCTTCCATCTTGTATAAACAAACCGTCTAACTTATATTGTTCTCAGAGGGATGGCTGGAGGCATGATTATGGCTCTCTAGGCTGAGAGGCTTCCAGCTGCTGCTTATATAACAAACTCACTGGAAACTCATTCCAGACGAGTTGACTAAAAACTCATTGTTATTTACAGCTATTGCCTGGGGCATACGCAGGGTGAGCCAGGGTAATGGTGTACGTAGCAGTGATTCATGGCTTATACCTGGCAGGTTTGTACCCATGGTAGAAAAGCGACGTCAGCAATTCAGCTTGTTGACTGTTGATAAGCTAATGTTGTTTCTAATGTAATGATGTTTCTGACAGCACATTTCAGGGGTAATAATACATTTATTTAAAACTAGGAGGTAGAGTGGTTACTGTGTCTAGCCCTGGAGCCTCAAATTACATTCATGTTTACTTTATTGAGAATACATTATGTAATAGAGCCGATTGTGCATTTTCTAACAGACTTGGATTTGGTATTCTACCTACACTAAAATGCTTTGAGACTTGATGTACTTGAGACTTGACGCCTTATTCAGGCACTGCATTCACAGCTTGAATATCTATTGATTAGGCCTATACATTAAACAGCATTGGTTCCATGTTTTTGGTTCTGTTGTTTAACTGATAAAAGATTGATACCACATTTTGATGCGTATGGTCATACCAGCTTGATCTTTCCAATAAACTAATCTTGATTTAGAGGGAATGCAGCTGGTAGATGAAATGACATTTTATAGCTAATGCTATTAGTGAATTATGTGGTGGTTTGCTATCCTTTTGAAGTGAATTGGTTTTCTAAAATGCTTCCATCTACTGATTATTCACAAACTTGATCCCCCAAACACTTAGGATTCAAAAGTCAAAAACTTCCCAGATTACATTTTTTTACCCTAGTAAAATGTAATCAAAACAGACACACTACTAAAATATGTATTCATTTGGTGTTGTTTGAACAGTCTATTTTAACTGTGGTTTTAACTCAACATAATGTTCATATTTCGTATTATTGTTGTAATTAGTATTAAAAAAAAACAAGAAGACATGCATGCAGCTAGCCGTTTCCCTGCTTTAAACCTTAATGCTAAGATCCCTTGCTGGCTGCTGCATCATATTTAAAGGGCAATGGTAGAATTAGCCAAAATGTCAGCTATTCCTTAAATCTTTAGTTACAGCTAGTTAAACAAACATGTGATTTGGAAACTATATTTTATAAGAAACGACATGATGTTCAAACGGTTTTATTTGCCCCCACCTTCCCTACTCGGCAGCCTCCAGTAAGTCTCTGGATCAGACGAGTAAGAAGGTTATAGCCTTGTAGCTTTTATCGTCGAGCTTAATGACAACTCCTGCAAACCTGGGCAAAGGAGCTTCAGCTCAGTAACCCGTGAATTTACCCGAGTCAGAGTAGAGCCAAATACTTTCTATCAGATAGACGTGTGTGTGTGTGTGTGTGTGTGTGTGTGTGTGTGTGTGTGACCGATTAGTGGTTGTTCCAAAGTCACCTGAGGGAAACAACCGAGATTAGTTTTCACAATGCTCTGTCACACAGAAACCTGCAGATACGTGCACGCCATAGACTTTGTATGACACACACTTAGAAATACACACATGCAGCAGTGACATCAGGTAAATTGGTTGTTCTCCCCGTTGAGACCAGATACACCGGAGGCTGCATGGTGACTTTGGAGCTGTGTATGTGTGAGCTTCCATTGCAGTTGTATAGGAGGTAACATCTCTAAAGATGCCATTTTTGTTGTGTTTGGGCTCCGTTTTAGATCCCAATATTCACATAGAAAACCTCCATCTTGCTGGAGACGATTTTCTCACATTTCTGAGCTTTTAAAGAATCCTGAGACAAAGCGGTAAAGGCTTATTTATTTTCACTTGAAAAAATCCTGAAGCATTGCACAAGATGTTATGTCATTATGAGTTGTGTCTGAAGTATGTGTAAGCTCAATTTGGCAACAAGCCTCTAGATTTATGCAGTAAAGCACCAACCGAGCCAGTGTGAAATTAGGTTATTTGTCAAGAGTATGAGGGTAATCACAAAAACATTGCACATACATATGGGGAATTCTTCGGGTGGTTGTTTATCACACCACCTACTTTGTTGCACACCTTGAATTATGGTCAATAATAGATGAGGATGGTGTGAGGAAATTGAAAATCACTGTAAAAATGATAAAATATTCATTCTGCGTTCTCAGAGCTATCCAAAACTATCTAATTAGTCAGGCTTTGACGTTAATTATATGCACATATAAACCGATGCAGATGTTAGACTATTAACAAAATTGGAAATGGTGACTAGGAATGTTTGGCTTGTACATGGAGGTGACAATGTGTGTGTGAAAGTGTGTGGGTGTTCCCAGGAGCACGCTCTGTCTGTCAGGCAGAATTTGCTGACCAGGCGACTCGGCAAGGGCAGAGTGAGAATCACTCACACATACAGTGCGTCCCAACCAGCAGCAGCATCCACACCCACACACACACACATTCACACACATTCCCTCTTAAGGCAAACATATGCCTCTTGTCACCAACATATGTGTGTCGTCCACAATAAATTGTACCCATGCTATACTCAAGTCTCCCGAGAATGCGATTCATATTAAAACAAAGCAAATATTCACCTCATTTTGTTGAGTTCACTTTACAATTTTGTTGATGAAAAACAATTATTGTTATTTTGCGTCTTTTTAATCTTTTGCGCTCTCTATTGGGATTTAAAATGTGATAATTCAAAAGTTATTTGAAGGTTTGAAATACATTCTTGGTTATGTAAAGTGTTGTAGTTTTGAAGTCGGAGACCTAACTTTCTTCTCGTTGCTCTCCCTGTAGGCGACACAACGGGTTCCTGCGGCGATCCCGGCATTCCCTCCCAGGGTTCCAGGGAACAAACGGATTTCAAGATCCGTTCCAAGGTTTATTTCAGCTGCACAGAGGGCTACGATCTGATTGGTTCTTCAGAACGGATGTGCTTCCCTAATGGGACGTGGTCTGGCACACAGCCCTTCTGTAAACGTAGGAAGATAATTTTACTTAATCTCAACACATAACAACAGTCTGACACTGATCCAGTCTAAAGATCCACCCATGTACTGCACAGTCAGTTTATATGAGCATATTCATAGAGCTGGAACTCACTGAGATGCTCTTTTCTCTCATTTCCCCCCAGCTGTCCAGTGTGGTAACCCTGGCACTCCCAGTAATGGCCGGGTCTTTCGCTTGGATGGAACAACGTTTTCGCACTCGGTCATCTACTCCTGCGTGGAGGGCTACCTGCTCAGCGGCGCCACCACCAGGCTGTGTCAGGCCAACGGGACATGGTCAGGAGCGCAGCCCAACTGCACCAGTGAGTAACCTGATGGATGATTACAGTGGTGGAAAGCTTTCCCAAGTTTTCTTGAGTATATTCACTTCCGGCAACTTTATATTTTTACTTCACTACAATTTTAGGAAAATATGCAATTTATTACTCCACTACATTTACATGTATCTGGTTAAGATCATTACCAGATGAAAAATATCCATACTATTTGTGTTACGTCCCCAATAAGGTCTAGGGGACCTGGAGACAATAACACACAACAACCAATAATTATGAGGGAGTAAGCGTAAAGGTTGACAACTGGTTTATTCCTTGAACAACCCAACTGAACAGAAGTTTAACAGAAATACTCTTTGTGGGAGGAGGAGGAGTCAAAGGAGATTGTGCCAAACAAAAGAAATAAGCATAACAAAACCAGGCCTATCTCTACATCTATCCTTTGAAACCAAAACTCAAACAGAAACCCTCACTAACTAAACTACTCAGAACTGGACAAAACAGAATACAGGGGTGGCATCAATCCGCTAACCTAGTGTGTCTTAACATTAGTTACCTACGTGATGAGAAATGTACAGGGTACCCCAGACTTACCTAACTCCCCCACCTCTCAACACACATACATTTATCAAAGGTTAGAACAAACAAAGTAGAATGACTTTCTTAACAAGGCAGTCAATTGCAGGCTCCTCAATCAGCAACAGGCCCAGGGTGAGAGAGAGAGGGAGAAGACTTCCTGGGTGCCTCCTTTATGGTCGGCCTTGGCTGCTGATAGGCCAGCTGAGGGTGAGAGGATCCAATCAGCCATCAGACTCAGGTGCACAGGCAGATACAGATCAGCTGCTGATTAGCTGTGCAGAAGACAGGGAGAAGAGAGAAACACAGGAGGGAAGGAAAACCACACAAGTACAGCCTGCCTGGCACGTAACGATAGTTACGGCTGTAACTACGGTTCTATGAGTCCCGGATGACCGCCAGAGGCGGTGCTTTAAGCACTGGATATGTCCATCGCGCGGATGCGCAGCTCGAGTACCAATAACAACAAAGTCACCTGTGACCCACGTGACACCGGCTATATCAGCCGGTGTCGTCAGAGGATCTGTTCCCAGAATCTTCTCGCGAGCACACAATAATTCTGAGTGACAGGGAACTCTGGCGGTCATCCGGGACTCATAGAACCGTAGTTACAGCCGTAACTATCGTTCTATTTCGTCCCTACTGACCGCCAGAGGCGGTGCTTTAAGCACTGGATGACTTATACCAACAATGTCATGAAGAATCCAAGCCCTTGCTCACCACTGGAAACAGCGGAGCTCGGCAAAAGGACCACGCCCAAAGAATGGGGAGTGGCGACATTGACCTGATGACAACTGGAGAATGTGCCAGAAGACGCCCACGACGCCGCGGCGCAGATGGTCTCCAGGGGCACCACCCTCAGGGCAGCCCAAGATGTTGAGATGCTCCTTGTAGAGTGGCATCTCAGCCTGATGGAAGGGGGCGGCCACTGGCCCCGTAAGCCTGTGAGATGGTATCGACAACCCAGTGGGGCAGCCACTGGTTAGAGGGCATAACCTCCTTTAGTGCCGCCAGGGCAAAATCAAGAGTTGCTCCTACTGCCGTATACAGGCAGTAGCCTTGATATACGCCCTTTGGGCACCCCCAGGGCACAGCAACTTCGACGTGCCGTACTCCTGAATGTCAAAGCGTGCCAGCTGGGCTGGCTGATTGAAGTGGGTTTGTGGAAGGACCCCGGGCCGGAATGCCACATTTGCCCAAAGGGCAACGCCTGAGAGTCCCACCTCGGGCATGTATTGTTTATGGAGAGGACATGCAACTCCCCGACTCGCTTCCCTGAGGCTATGGCAAGCAGAAATGCTGCCTTCGTGGGCAGCCACCTAAGCCCCACCTGGGCCAGGGGCTCGAAGGGAGGAGATGATAGGGCATCCGGCAGCAGGGGCAGGTCCCAAGCCGGAGCCCTCGGGGTGCTAGGGGGACGCTGCCGTAAAGCCCCTCTCATAAAGAGGGACACCGACCTGTGGCACCCCGCCGTGGCGCCGTCGACCCGAACATGTCGGGCAGAAATCGCAGCCACATAAATTCAGAGTGGAGTGAGAACGTCCACTATCTAGAAGGGACTGTTGTCTAAGCAACAACGTACATGCTGTCCCCAAGGAACACGCACATTCTTGCCCCCCAGTTGGGGTAGAAAGTGCGTGAGTGCAAGCTGCACAGCCCGAAGCTCTAACACGTTGACCTGGCGCGCACTCTCCTGGGCAGACCGCTGACCCTGAACGGTCCTGCCCTGCCGCACTGCACCCCACCCTGAGAGACATGCACCTATGGTGATGGTCTCCTGGCGGGATGGGATGGCGCCCATGGGCACGCCCACTAGGAGATAGGCCCTGCCCCTCCAGCGTGACAGAGAGTGGAGGCAATGCTGCGACACCCTGACTTCCCTGTGCCTGTGCCACTTGGCGTCCAAGTGAAGGCTGTTCAGCCACATCTGCATGGGGCGCAACGACAGCGGGCCTAAGGGCCCAGCGGCCGAGGCAGCTGCCAGTCTGCCCAAGGGCCGGAGGAACTGAATATAAGGCACCATCTTGCCCGGCCCACGTGGAAGTAGGCAAACCTCAAGTCCACGGTTGAGAACCACTCCACCTGTGCATGTGCAGTGGTCAGCATATAGAATGGCAGCACCTTCGGGAATCTGTTGATTCCTCTGAGGTCCAAGATCGGGCGAAATCTGCCGACTTTCTTGCTCATGAGAAAGTACGCCGAGTAGAACCCCCTGGGCTAAGCAGAGGGTCTTACTGGCTTGATTGCGTCCTTGGACAGAAGGACGGACAACTCTTGGGCCAGAGCTAGGGCCCCTGCTGGATCGCTGACGACTGTCAATTAGACCCAGCCGAAGGCTAGGGGCCGGAGCTGCGGTCCGTACCCCTGGGTTAAGGTGAAAACCACCCAAGGGACGGAAGTACAGACCGCCCAGTAACTGAGCTGCTGCTGGGAAAGCAGCCGACAACCGCCCCCGGGATTTCAGGGCCCAGCCCCCCGGCCCCTGGAGCCTCTTGGGGGGCGCCGGTAAGGCTCTGGGGCATGAGGCCGCCTGGAAGGCGGGCGACCTGGGGCACGAAAGTCATTGGGTTGCGCCGCTAAGACCTCTGCAGACCACCCCTGTAATCCGGCGGCTGAGTGCGGCGGCTGAGTGCGGCTGCTAGAGCGGCCCCTGGGCCTGCTGGGAGTGGGCACAGGTCCCAATTATTGGGATAAACAGGTTTGAAATCATTCCAATGTATACTATAGGTTAGTAACCACAAATATCCTTTAAAACTGGACTTTCAACCCAAACCCAGCTGTTGACTTGTGGATGCAAGCAGCTAATCGCAGACTCAACCAGAGAGAAAGTAGTAGGCCTACATCATCAGCTACCATGTCTGACAGAGAGGAAGACAGTGAGGAGAACAGTCAGGAGGGTAGTGATGACAGCTTGTAGGATTACTGGTCGTGCTAATGTTGTCTTGTGTTCACCTCTGCATGTGTGTTCTGTGTTCACCTCTGTGTGTTCTGTGCCGTGTGTCTGACAAATAAAGACCGGTTTATTTATTTCATTTTAAGGATGAGCACCAAGCAACATCTCCAGGTGCTCCTTTGAGAACCAGGGCAAAAAAGTTATGTGCACCCCTGTTTATAGAGTTACATGAATAACCTTGATTGTTGTTTACTTTAGCTAATTTGCTTTTTGAACTCTGTAAATAACCATCAAATATAACGTTCAGCTCCCATAAGAAATGTGACCTGGCCATGGTTGAACAAGTGTTAATCAGTGCTGCATGTTACACAGACTACAAAATCTGAATGTAAAGTTGCGTATAACAATAACGATTAACATGAACTTTAGTTGGTAACAAAATACCTTGTTAAACACAATTCTACATTGTGTCTAAAGGTAAACTTCACCTAGCTCTGGAACAACAGTATTTAAATGTTGAAATGTGTCTCTGACAATTGAAATACACAGCAGTAAGGAAGGATAAGAGAGATAGAAATGCTGAGAAACCACATCTCTTTACGATTGGTTCCTGGCAAGAAACTATGTTTTTTAAGAATCCCCTGACTTTAAGGATATAGCCTTTTATAGTACATTACAATAAATCTATTTACAGCCATGACATTATCTGGGGTGGGTAAAAGCATTTAAAGTGCCTATTAGACCGTGAAGGACGGAGCGTTATAAGTGTAGTTTGGGGAATCCTAATGCTCCTTAAAACAGTCCCAGGACAACTGCAGCAATTGTACATATCTGTGTTGTTTCATTCACGAGAAGGAAAGCCTATAACTGAATCTCAAAGATCCTACAGTGTGATGTAACTGTAGAAACAGAAAATTACACAAATAAGTAAACTAATTAAGTATAGTTAATAAAGATAAATATGCAGTTCTAGTGAAGTCATCCCTTGGATCACCGGCACTTTTTTAAGACCAGATTAAATATGTTTACAATTAAAGACTTAATCAAAAGCTAGGACATTCTGATATATTTATTAGAGGGTCCTTTCTAGGCCTACACAGATTTTTAAAACAGTGATAAAATGATTGCCAAGTTCAAAAACATGAACAAATGACTCCTTTCCCCTTTTGTCAGTCGACAGTATCCTTTTTCTGTTCACTTAATTACATCTCCTCGGCTTTCTTTTCCCTCCCTCTTTATCACTCCTTCTATTTCAATCACGCATGTAGGAGTTTTATGCAAAGTGAATACTAAATTGTCTTGCCATAGCATAAACTGTTAAGCATTCTATGTCTTCATCCAATTTCTTCCTTTCCTATCCCACTTGTCCGTCTCCCTAGTGATAAACTGCGGGGATCCTGGTGTGCCTGCTAGTGGTCTTCGCTATGGAGAGGACTTTACGATTGGTCAGAATATTTCCTTCCAGTGCCAACCAGGATACATGATGGAGGAGGACGGGTCCCCTTTGAGGACTTGCACCAACAATGGGACCTGGAGTGGGATTATGCCTATGTGTACAGGTAAATTGTTAATGAAACCACTTGAAGCTTGGGTAGATCATTTATTTTAAAGGTCACCTATTATGCAAATCCATGTGCTTTATACATGCAAATGTGTCCCCTCTGTGTAAAGAGATTCTGAAAGTTTCAGGAAAAAAGTTTCGCTCACTTTTTGTCCTGATCCATTTATATAAAAACCTGTCAAATGAGCTGATCAGATTTTGGCCACTTTATGATGTCATAACAATTGTTTGGCTTGTGTAACCATTAGCCAATAACCAACCAAGGTACCCCCCCCCCCCCCCCACCTTGTCACCTGAATCTCCTCCTAGAGCACCATTATGGGTTTTTTAACCAAATATATATAGCGTGGGGAGTGGCTCCTTATTTTCATCTAAAGTAACAGACAGAGAATGAGCTCTTTTGAAACAGGGCTGAAACAGAGGGGTTTATGGGATGCTACAATCTGTTTGGTATTTCGAGGCCAAACACTTCAGAGACATGTTTTGTATATATCTGAGACCGATAATATATAGATGAAAAACAGTATAACAGGGGACCTTTAACTAGAGTTTTCAATTAATCATATTCTCATAAGCTTGCTTAGAGTGCTCCATCTGCCTATCAAGCTCTCATTGAGGTAGTTTGATAGAGTTAACAGTGGCACTCCTATACCCAACGCCCTCTAGTGCAGTGTTTCCCAACCTGGGGGGCGAGCCCCCCTAGGGGGGGCGCCAAAGATCGCAGGGGGGGTGCCAGGCCTCAGATTATTTGAGGCCAAATATCATATTTAGACTCTTTTTTTCTTTTTTTTTTTTACATATAATTGTAACGCAATACATGATTGTCACTAAAAGCCTTGTCTCTACATTACAATAAAATATAAAAAATAATTGATTAATTAATTTGAATACAAATTCAAGTTAGTAGCTATTATAGGCATACAAAGACAGAAATGTATAATTCTTTCTTTAATAGAAATGTTTCTTCTGCCCGTAAAGTGTCCAAACCAGGTTTTTCTGGATAAGCGCATTTTTAAAACATAGTCATTGTCCATGCCGGTTTCAGATTATTTGTCAAAGTTGCTCCGATCAGATCGGTCTCCTCCATTTTGTAGATTATTTACGATTTTTGAATCCACATAAACACATCTGCAAAATCCGGCTTACTTTGAGCATGTGTTTTAAACAGTTTAATCCCTTTGTGAATTGGTTCCACTTGAGTCCAATAACCATCAAAGTCACTCCAATGGTGCTCCTTAATTACGCTTTCATCGTCCTTTAACAAAATACTTCACATTCATCCAGTTTGAGACAGTAGTTGTAGCATTTTTGAGACTTTTAAACTTGAATTACCGCTGTTGCTCCCCCCGCGCAACTTCCAACAGGAGTCATTTGGGGGGGCTCTTGGAAGAAAAGGTTGGGAACCCCTGCTCTAGTGGACTTCTCCTCCAACATTAGTCATGCAGTGTGCATTCATGTGTTTTGAGTAACTGGCCTTGTAGGTATGGGGAGGAGCTGAGATTTATTTTTTCAAAATGTAGCTTTTAATTGCTTGTTCTCCAAAGATGCCTACCCCAGCTTTAACTCAGTTTAAGATATTTTTGGCAGTCTTAAATTGTTCATACATTTGTTCTATAGAGCAGCGGTTTTCAAAGTGTGATGCGCGCCTCCCCTGGGGGGCACCAGAGAGCTTTAGGGGAGGCCCAGAGTGAGAAAAAAAATTACGAGAAAAAGACGAGTAAAGTGACACTTGCACACTTTTGGCTGTCTGTGGAGACCGAGTTCCCCCACCTTGCCAAAAAGGCTGTAAAAGCCTCCACCTACCTGTGTGAGTGCGGGTTTTCCGCATTGACTTTGATCAAAAGAAAGTGCCGGTCAAGGCTGCAGCCAGAGGATGATCTATAGGTTACTTGCGTAACCCCAGTTCTCAGAGTAACATGAAGTGAGATGTCTCACTATGGGATGCGCCTCATCGCGGAGCAAACAGAAGCATCAATCTCATTACGCCAATCCTGATTGGCTGGAGATCTTGACGTCAGCGTCAGGGAAATCACCCCCTATAAGTAGCTTGCGCCACAACGCATGCGCCATTCAAAATAAGCACCTCTTCTCGCTTCACCATAGCAAGGAGGGCCGTCTGGTGAGACATCTCACTTCATGTTACTCTGAGAACTGGGGTTACGCAAGTAACCTATAGTTCTCATTCATAACACTCCGTTCGATGTCTCACTATGGGAAATTGTAGCTCCCGTATTGCCAGACGAGCTTATCTCGAAAATCACCAAACCAACCAGAACTTAACAGGTAGAGCTCTGACTCAACCAGGTGCCCAGCACTGCTTGAGTCACACTGGGAGCAGAACGTCCAGCCTGTTAGGAGGCAGACAAAAGTGAGCGGCGAGGACCAGCTCGCCGCTGCACCAATGTCTTTGATGGGAGACATCCTGGACAGAGTCCAGAATGCAGCCAGACTCTGAGTCGAAAGAGCTCGCGGACCCGAGGGTGCCTGCGAACTCTGACTCGTATGAGCCCCAAAGCAATTGCTTCCACAGACCAGTGGGAGAGCCGTTGCTTAGTAACAGGCTTGCCCTTATAAGGGTTAGCCCAGGACACAAGGGGTTGGTCATTATGACAAAGCACCCTTGATCTGTCCCTGTACGTGCGTGAAGCACGGGCTGGACACGGCAAATCCGGCCGCTGTTCCCCGGAGGAATACAGTGGCGGGGAGGATGCCTTAATGTCAAATGTGGTACCCGAACCGACCGCCTTAAGATAAAGGCAGGGTCAGGCTTCAACCACACTCTGTTTGCCCTGGGGCAAACTGAGTGCATGAAAACTGTACAGATAGTGCATGAGTGCCACTGGCTCGCTTGGCAGCTGCCAGGGTCAGCGTCATGTCACACTGTATTTAGATTGTACCACTCACGGGCCAGGCCCATAGAGCCAAGCGCTCTGGGTGTGGGTGAAAGATCGCCCCCCCCGCTTGGGACAGTATGTCCCTGCGTAGTGGGAGCTGCCATGGCTGCCCGCACAGCAGCTGATATATCTCCGCTAGCCAGTACATAGCTGGCCAGTGCGGAGCTATCAGGATAAGTGTGTGGCGTTGCTCTCTCACTCTGGCCAGAGTTGGGGGTATCAGAGCCAGGGGTGGGAACGCGTACAGAAGGCCCGGGGGCCAATTGTGCGCGAGTGCATCCACGCCTAACGGTGCATTTAGATCACGCATCGAAAAGAACAGCTGACACTGAGCGTTGTCTTTCGATGCGAACAGATCCACCGCGGCTCTGCCGTAACGCACCCACAGCTGGCTCACAATCCTTGGATGTAGAGTCCAGTCTGCATAAAGTGGTATACCTCTGGACAGTAGATCTACCCCGAGGTTCCTCACTCCCGGTACGTGCGTCGCTCTCAGAGAGAGGAGACGTCTACCGCTCCATAGGATAAGTTTGCGCGCCAGTGTGTGTAACTGGAGAGAACGCAAACCCCCTTGGCGGTTAATATACGATATTGTGGTCGTATTGTCTGTCCTCACGAGGACGTGATGTCCCCTGAGGAAAGGCAGAAAGCGTTTTAGGGTGAGAAACACCACTAAAAGCTCCAGGTAATTTATGTGCGCCCGCTGGAGGTCTCTGCTCCAGAGACCCCTCACCGGGCGACCTTCATAAATACCTCCCCAACCTGTCAGACATGCGTCTGTGGTGACCACTTTCCGTGAAAGGACAGCACCCATAGGCACACCTCGTACTAGAAAAGTCTGGTGCAGCCAGTGGCGCAGTGCCATTACGCATTTCACAGTAACCATCACTCTCCGCGCGCCATGGCGCGCAGGGTTTAGTTTTAGGGCGGCCACCCAGCGCTGAAACTCCCTCATGTGTAAGCGTCCCAGTCGTACGACCAGGATGGCTGACGCCCCAGCAATCGCAGGCATGATCTGAAGAGAACATGTTTGCGCAGCTGGAAAAGAGCGAGACAAGCTCTGAAAGCTTTCACTCTATCCGCTGACAAGCGAGCTGAAAAGGGCACCGAGTTCAGGTGTAAACCCAGGAAGAGTATAGTCTGCGCGGGGCACAACATGCTCTTCTCTGTGTTTATTATGAAACCCAGGTTGAGCAGGTGCTTTACGAGGACATTTGTCTGCGTAACAGCCTCCTGCTCCGACTGTGCGAGAAGCAGCCAGTCGTCCAGGTAGGTCGCCAGGCGAATACCCTGTTGTCTTAACGGGGCTATCGCGGCTTCCGTACATCGTACAAACACCCTTGGACTGAGAGACAGACCGAAGGGGAGTACTCTGTATTCATAACAGATCCCCTGAAATGCGAATCTCAGATATTTCCTGTGTGGGTAATATACTGGGATGTGAAAATACGCATCTTTCAGGTCGACTGATGTGAACCAGTCGTCTTGTCGCACGAGCCGCAGCAGAGATGTGTGAGTGAGCATTCTGAACTTATATCTTTTTAGATATTTGTTCAGAGCCCTCAAATCAAGTATTGGCCGAATTCCGTTCCCTCCCCGTTTGGCAACGAGGAAGTACTTGGAATAGAAGCCGCCCTGACTCTGCTCGGCGGGTACAATAGATATAGCCCTCTTTTCTAGGAGAGAGAGAATCTCTTTCTCCAGAATATGGGCTGACTCTCCTCGGGCCTGCGAATGCAGAATGCCCGAGAAGCGAGGGGGGGGTGACAGCGAATTGGAGTCTGTAGCCCCGTGTTACTGTCTTGAAAACCCAAGCAGATGATGTGAGCATCTTCCACTGCATGCTCCTTAGAGCCAATGGAGATGTCACATCTCTTCCCCTCTGAGTCTCTATTTGTTGTGTTATGGGGCCCTCTAGTGTCTGAACACAGTGGTGCCCCCTTTCGACAATCCCCACCGACACTGCGCATGCGCATGACGGTGGTGCCTTCACAACCCCAGCCGGCACTGCGCATGCGCATGGCGGTGGTGCTTTTAAAACCCCAGCCGGCACTGCGCATGCGCGTGACGGTGGTGCCTTCACAGACCCGCCTGTAATCCGCCTTTTGAGAGATGCCGAAGCTGCTCTCAGAAGGGGAACAGTTGGCGGGCTGTTTATTGGTTTTATTGTTTTTCTTATCATTTTTTTTTTTGAGCTGCGCCCTCGGCCTGAAGCCTGGATGCGTCAGCGGCAAATGTTTAATGACAGAGGAACAAACAGATTTGTGACATGTGTTTTTGCGGACTTGAGGATGGTGTTGAGGCATCTCTCGAGGCGGCGGGAACACATTTAGAGCTGGGGAACCATGGACTTCCAGCTCTGTCACGGAGGGGAGAAGGAGGGGCTGTCACGCCGCTCGCTTCTTCTTCCTCGCCTGCTGGCCGAAATTCTGGGTTGGTTGCGCCTGAGCTGCAGCCGGAACCGGAGATTTTCTGGGCCAGCTCGCCCTCGTCTCCAGCCTGGGCTGGGGACTCGGGGCGGGCTGCGACCTCTGCGTTTTCGGGGTTTTAAACCGAGCAGGGTTCAAGGCAGCTTGGGCGAAGGACTGCTGCTGCGAAGGCAGCGGCTGGACCCTTCGAGGGAGGCAGAGGTGGAGTGCCTCGTCCTCCCTCTTTTTCGACTCACACCTCCTTTGCATGGAAGCAAGAGCGGAGCCGAAAATTCCCTCGGGAACGATGGGCATATCCAGCACATCCTCCTTTTCCCGGTCTGGGAGGTTGGTGAGGTTGAGCCATCTCGCTCTTTCCTGCACCACCATGATCCCCATTGCCTTACCCGTGGCCTGGACGGCGCAGCGTTGGACACGGAGACAGATGTCTGTGACCGCCGCCATCTCGTCCAGAGTGGCTGCACCCGGGTTACCCGACAGGTCCTCGCAGAGCTCCGCTTGGTAAGCGGTTAACAGCGAGGCAACATTCAGGGCCCTGGCGGACAACGCTGCGGCTTTGTAGGACCGTTCAGTCATTGTCGACTGAAATCGGTCCGACTTTGCCGGCAGCGTGGGGTTCCTGCTTGGTGACGGGCCCATCCTCGGTAGGAGGTGGGCTGCCAGGTCTGCTCGTCCTGGAGGTCTGTGCCCGAGATCTTCAACCCGCAGCCGCAGAGTCGAGCCACCGAGTCCCTGTTTCCTCTGGTGTGAGGGAGAGGGGCGTCCATCTTGTTCGCCTCGTGGCGTGGAGAGGACCCGCTCTCAACAGGTAGGTTGGGAGGAAAAGAGGTAACCACCCTGTCCTTAATCCGGAGAAAAGGACGGTGTGGGTCTTTTATTCCCAGAGAATACTGACTGGTGTGGCAGTATGCTCCTTTTAATCCTTTCCTCCTCCTTGGGGAAGAGAAAAGAAAATACTTCCTCGCTACCGTGGTGTCGGTAGTGAGGGAGCAAGCTAACGCTAGCTTGAAAAAGTCAGACCTAGCTTACTTTCCGGGGAAAGAGAGCGGCGAGGTCGATTTCAACAATAACTAGCGTTAGTAATTACCGTCTTCCTGCGAAGCAGAAGGAGTAGCCGGCAAGCGCCCGTCGACCGAAATGGATATTTGGGTTCAGTCTGTGGACCGTGAAGCTTGTCCGGCTACCATAGAGATGTGCTCTGAAGCGAGAAGAGGTGTTTGAATGGCGCATGCGTTGTGGCGCAAGCTACTTTTAGGGGGTGATTTCCCTGACGCTGACGTCAAGATCTCCAGCCAATCAGGATTGGCGTAATGAGATTGATGCTTCTGTTTGCTCCGCGATGAGGCGCATCCCATAGTGAGACATCGAACGGAGTGTTATGAATGAGAACTGCGTTTGTTCCTGTGTGCATCAAAGACGCAGACTCATTGTTCCCACTAAAGTAGGGGTGAGTGTAATAAGGAGGTAAAGTTGACGTTCAGTGCGTTGCCGGGAGCATATAAGGATGTATCCACGATGTTAAAAATGTTTAAAAAATATGTGTTGAGAACACGGCGTGCGAAAATATACGAGTCGTGCTGCAGCTAGATTTGCCTGTCCTCTGTAAGAAGGTGTTGGTGACTGACATGCAAGGAAGAACGGCTGTCCACAGGCTGTTCCAACTTTAACAACTTTATTAACTTCCAGGGTAGTGAATTGAACATGCAATTGTAATTGGGTGTGTGGTATATTTTCATGCACGCACACGCATGTTCCACAACACACAAACTGAACAACACTCAATTATCCGATCGCTACCAGTGTCCTTGCGATATTGTTGTTATAACAACAAGTGTATGTTACTGATGCAATATGGTTGAGACCATTCAGGCTTATTTTAGAGGGGTGCAAGGAATTGTCCAAGTAGTGGGGGAGTTTTATACAATATGTTTAAAACATAAAGATAAAAAGGTTTAAAAAAGTTATTGTTTAATGTTTTAAGGAGGTGACGCTACTCAGCCAATCAAATTGGTGCAGTCAGTGAGTCAGCTCGATAGATTCAAACACACACACAGAGACGAGACAAGAAGAGAGAAACAGCCGGAGTAATTTCAAATGGCGGAAGGTAGACAGCGAAAACAGAGCTTTTAATAACATGTTCTCTTACTGGACCTCTTTGAAATGCAATTGAATACCCACTGCATTATAGCAACAACAACAATAATAATAATAGCAATAATAATTGGGAGGGGGGGCGCGGCTATTCTTATGTTCTCTGAGGGGAGGCTCAGCTTCCCACATTTTGAAAACCCCTGCTATAGAGCCTGCTATACAACCACCTCTAGAATTGCTTTTTGCAGAGGATGTTTCTAGTATATAAAATGTCTCATGTTTACAGCTAGCACATGGTATGTAATAACATGGTTTCTCCAAATCCAACTAAACACTTGTATTTAAAGACAAACACGGCAGATTCTGCTCTCCTCCCAGGAGGGGCCTCCTAAGAAAATCAAGATATCTAAACAAAGAGCCACGTGTAACCTCTTGTAATTGCCTTGATTACTTTAAACTGTGTCTGTTATTGAATTTGGCATGAGAATTAAATCAGTACATTGTAATGGCTCTGAAATTTTAAACTAAATTCCAAATCAGTTGTTGAAATCAGTGATCCAATCAATGAGTCTCTCTCTGAAAAGCTATCCCTCAATTTCCACGACAGTCACTTTTCACCTGCTGCTGCTAAAAACTGGCACCTTTTTTTTGTTATTTTCTTTCCTAACACCTCCCTTTCTCTCCCCCTATCCCTCCCTCTCACACAGCTGTGACCTGCCCGGCCCCCCCTACCATCAGTAACGGGGTACTGCAGGGCAGTGACTTTGAGTGGGGGAGCAGTGTGAGCTACAGCTGCTCTCCAGGATACGAGCTCTCGTTCCCAGCCGTCCTGACCTGCGTGGCCAATGGCACCTGGAGCGGCATGCTACCACAGTGCTTACGTAAGAACACACACACACACACACCTACAAATATGCCAGCACTCACACTGCCTGTCAGTATTCTTTCCCAATCATTAGTTACAGTTAGAAACAAAATGTAAATTTGTCCTTGAGCTACAATGTGCTTATTTGCAAGGTGAGCACCACATAGTAAAATGTGTGTGTGTGTGTGTGTGTGTGTGTGTGTGTGTGTGTGTGTGTGTGTGTGTGTGTGTGTGTGTGTGTGTGTGTGTGTGTGTGTGTGTGTGTGTGTGTGTGTGTGTGTGTGTGTGTGTGTGTGTGTGTGTGTGTGTGTGTGTGTGTGTGTGTGTGTGTGTGTGTGTGTGTGTGTGTGTGTGTGTGTGTGTGTGTGTGTGTGTGTGTGTGTGTGTGTGTGTGTGTGTGTGTGTGTGTGTGTGTGTGTGTGTGTGTGTGTGTGTGTGTGTGTGTGTGTGTGTGTGTGTGTGTGTGTGTGTGTGTGTGTGTGTGTGTAGCCAAGTTTTGTGGGGACCCAGGTACCGCAGTCGGAGGCTTCAAAGAGGGACGAAGTTTCATCTATCAATCAGAAGTCTTGTTCAGTTGTTCCCCACCTCTCCTTCTGGTGGGAACAGCAACCAGACAATGTGAAAGTGACGGTTCCTGGAGCGGCACGCAGCCTCGCTGTATCGGTAATTTTACGGAATATTTACTATATTCACTTGATGAGCAAACAAAACCGAGAATATACAATTCAGGGAGTCCTTCCTTTAAACTAGAGAATCTCATGCTCATAAGGTATTAGTTTGTATCATACTTATATCAACTTTCTTTCCCTACTTGGCCAAAATAAATCAGTTTGAGTTTCCCCTCGTTTTTCACATTTTTCATTTTCAAACTCAACTGCAAGTACTGATGTTTAAAATTACTTAGGATCTTGTAACATGTGGCTACACTACCATAACTTTGTAAACATATATAATTGGCAACATGTTTAATTGAAATGTCACTGATCAGAAAGGGGAATAATGAAAAAGAGCATTACTCTGACCAGACATGAAATGCCATTTTTTGGAATCTTTTCAATATTTGGGGTTCGAGCTACAGAAAATACTGACATTTGAAACCTAGACCCATAAGTCTTACTCAACCAAATCAAAATATGAAAGTCAAATCTTCAGCACTTTTTTTCTGAATACATTTATTAGTTAAGAAAATTCCCCTTAGGATGCAGTGCAGCCAAGTCTCCAACTTGTTTAAAATACAGTACCAAGGCTCTTAACCTACACGAAAAAAGTATTAAAGAAATTACTGATTACTTTTGAATAGTTCCTGACTATATCATCAATCATTCACCCTCACATAATCTGGAGCGCAGCCTGGCATCCTCAGGCCGGGGTGTCTGACCCACTTCAAAGTCTGGGTTAATATTAAAATGCAGAGGTAGTACATCTTAAAATAATATTTCTTAGAAGGAAGTAAAAAGTATAATATCCAAGCACAATATAACATACCGGTTTGTCGTGCCATCGCTGTATATATTTTCTTTTGATTTCTGCAGTTTCGCTTGTTTTTAATGTGTTTACTTTCTTGACGGAATAGATGTGTGGGTTTGTAACCTGTGAAATGATTTTGTTTATGTTGGTGTCAGTTGATCAGGACTGGTGTGTGGCTCAGCGGAGGGGCTGGACTGGTGACTGCTTAATGATCATGGCAATTCATGGTCGACGCCCACATTTCAATTTACTCCTGGGTTTGCTGTGCGGAGCAGCTGCTGTTCTGTCAAAGTTAAAGTTACACAGACTTGTCCGAATAATAAGTGGAGGAGTCAGGGGAGGACAAGCCTTAAAGAGTTCCACTGATGTTAGTAAAGCTATCATTTCAAATGTGGCACCTTTACTTTTTTGCATTTTACAACTTTTAAACACAGTTCAAGTGAATATTACAAGTTTACGTGTCATTAGCTTTAGCTCCTACTACCAACCACAACTCCATTACACCAACATGTTTATCCAACATCCTCAATGGCAAGGCTTCAACTTTCATTTTACACCAAGAGTCATCAGATATATTTTAGATGTCATACAAAATACTTATTTAAAATTTAGGTTTTGTAGCTGATAATCACAAAGCCAATGTGTTTTAAAATGAATTCTAGAAACTTCTTGTGATGCCTACTTACTTACTCCCTTTGACGTTAGTGTACACAAAGTACTTAGACTATGAACCGAATTCCAGCATATTAAAGAAAATGAATACAGTATTATGTTAAAAAATATTCAGTGAGTAATTTAGTATGGATCTTATATAGGAATCCTTTTTCAGAAATGAAAGAGACAGTCTTTGCTCGTAAGCGAGGAGGGTCTGTACCATGCAATATTTAGTGAAAAGTTGTCCAAACAAGGGCATCCACAGGTGACATAAAACAAGCTGCTGCTATCCAGGAATGATAAATAATGGATATTCAGAACACATTACAAATAGTCCCACTGGGTCACTTCATCGCCACGTGATGTTCAGAGCACCACTTCACATGTCTGACTCCGAGCAGGTGCTTAAACATCAAGTACGGTGATGAATTGTAATAAATGAGAGCTTTTGTAATGCGAACAGACACTCGACTCTTTGTTCCTTCATAGCGCTAGATGGGGCATGCTAACAGAACTCTACAACTAGTATAAAGGTGAATGCTCCTTGTGAAATCGACTATCTAAAAATAGAAGGCTTCCTCTGAAGTGTTACTCCACTGATGTAAAGACTTAATCTATAGCGACTGCAGCAGAAGAAGTTACAGCATGCTCAGGGAAATCTTCCAGTTGTATACCACGACTTCTTCTCAAGACTGTGAAACAAACACGAGCATACACACAAACATCCCAGTGTTTTCTGCTGTGATGGAAGTGAATGTAATGTGTGCTGTTGGGCTTTGTGTGTGTGTGCTGGGGTGATTTATTAGTGAGTGATTGCAGCTGTATGTTAGTGTGTGATGTGTATTACGATGTAAGAGAAACAGAATGAGTTTTGAGCCCAAGCAACCTGCTCTTTAAATAAGGAAGAAGAAGGGAAGGCAGCGGAGTGGAGGGGGGGAGAGAGAGATACAGTGACATGTAAAGATAAAAGATTGAGGAAGAGAGCAGTTAGAGAAAGAAGGGGAGAGAGGGCAGTTAGAGAGGTACAGGAAGAGAGAGCGGGGTAAAGGCGGGGGTAAGAGAGAGAGGAGTGGGGAGTGAATCTGTCATTTCGGAAGCTGTGTTGAATCGAGCTCTGAGTCAGGATGTGCTTTACATGCTGATGTTCATGCCCCACACACACTCCCTTTCTCTCTCACACACACACACACACACACACAGACCCTCTCAGCTGGCCCCGCTTCGTTTTCTGATAAAGCACTACTGCCCCCTGCTGTCCTGCCGGGGTACATACCCTACAGTTACCATGACAACAGAGAGGAGAGGGAAGTTGAGGGAGGGCATATAAAGCTTCTGCTAATTTGTCTTTCTTTTAGATTTTGTGTGTGTAATTACTTCCACGCCTGTTCCGTTCCTTTCAGAACCGACCAAAACCAGCTGTGATAACCCGGGGACGCCACGCTACGGATCCTTAAACCGGACCTTCGGTTTCAAGGTAACTTACACCTTCTGACAGATAACTAACTCCAGCTACCTTCCCATACAAGTAGTTAACTCTTAAACTAATATAGAAGCTGACATTGTGCCTCCTAGGATAAGGAAATGGAGCGTAGCATCTATTGTATCGCAAAGAAAGAAGAGGAGGAGGAGAGAGGCAGACAGGAGATGAAACGGACATCTTTGGAAACTGTTGCTCAGACAAAACAAGACATTTAAATATGTTAACTTGGATATGCAAATATGTCAAACTTGATTAATGTGGAAGGTAGATTGTAGATGAATCAATTATGAAACTAATTGTTGGAATGGCCTTTTACAACCAGGCAAATTAAGGGATAGCTACCGCGCTGCTACATAGAGGTGGCAAAATATCTCATGACACGAGGGGGTAAAAGGTGGACACAAATGTGAGATGTTTTGATTACATGACTAACATTTTGAACTTGGAAGTCTATCAGGATGCCACATGATTATTCCTCCTGTCCCTTCCTGCGTTTAAGTCACTGTAAAAGATGGGCGAGGGATGATTCACAGTACAGTTCTGAAGAGAAAAAAGGCTTTCTAAAGTTCAGCCAAGCTTTCCCCTTCACTGAGGCTCATCAAGGAGAGAAACAAGAAACAAAAAAGAAATGCCACCAAAATAACCAGAGCATCCTTGCTTCAGCTGAACTCTGAAATATAGGAATGGACTGAATGAGCACTTTATTTATCCCCATATGTATAACAGTACAATTATAATATAAAAATCATTACAGAAAACTACATTTCAACCTAATTACTAATGTGAATATAGTCATAAGATGGGTAATTTACAAATGTATCTATCCGGTGTAATGACTGGATTAAATGAAATCTTTGTAGTATTCCATTATTTAAATTGTATCACTTTAGTCCTGTTTGTGTTGTCATCCCACTCCATCCCCTCTCTCTTTCCAGGTGGGGAACGTGGTGTCGTTCCAGTGCCAGCCGGGTCATTTGATTCAGGGCTCTTCCTCTAGAACCTGCCAGCCTGATCTGATGTGGACCGGTTTTCAACCTGAGTGCATACGTAGGAAACATTCATCCTATCATCCTGTCAACCTATCGCCCATCCATCCCCTGTCCGTCAGACTCTTAACTCCAGTGCACAAATCTCCTCTCCCCCCTACAGCCCACGCCTGCAAACAGCCGGAGAGCCCGCTCCATGTGGACGTGGTGGGGATGGACCTGTCTGGTTTTGGCTACACCTTGGTGTACAGCTGTCAGCATGGCTACTTCCTGGCAGGAGGTTCTGAGCACAGAGTCTGCAAGAACGACGGCACCTGGACGGGAAAGATGCCTATATGTCGAGGTAAGGAATAGAAACCAATGTATGACTTGAATGTGTATGTTTTTGTCTTTCTAGTGGGTTGTTCTGGGAAAACTAAGTATGAGTGAACAGGTAGTGAACACTACTTCTATTCTATTTTATTGTATTACTTGCACTATTTTATTTGTTTTATTGTGTTGCACTGTTGGAGGAGCCTGGGACCTAAGATTTTCATCGACATAACTACACTCTCGCTATGTACGAATGACAATAAAAGCCTTGAATCTTGAGGTAGGAGCATTTAGTGCGTCTTGCTCAAGGACACTTTATCAGCATGCAAACTGGGGCAAACCGGCCATCTGGAGAAGGGTGAGATTAGCTCAAAGATAAAACAATATCCCATGGTGTTTCACTATTAGATTAGCCTTAATTACATGTATTAGATAGAGCGATGGAAGACTGATTTTATTGTTAGGGTATTCTAATTCAAATTACCAATATTCGTTGTCATGTATCTACACTTAAATTATTCGTCGAAGTCCTAAAAAAAGCTAAAATACTCTAAAACCAAGCATTATATCTTGTATGTTGCCACTTTTCATGTGAAATGGGATCTGTTGGGGAAATATTTTCCAAGGCCCATAACTTTGACCCAGTTTATCAGTTCAAACTGTCCTGACTGAGCACACGCACCTCGTAACCTTGGCTGCTGTGCTCTCAGTGTTCTGTCTCCCTGTTCCTGCCTGTTGGCGTCAGCTGATAGAGGTGTTATGATTTTATCTTGTTATGCAGCATGTTGATGATGCTCTCTGAACTAGCTAAATACATGGGTCTGGGGTAGAGTTCTTAAGAATTGACGTGGCAACTCTACCGTGAAGTCAGAACCTCTGGCTCTTGGACTTGTGATGTGAGTTCTCCGGCCGAAGCTCCAAATAAACCATCAGTGTTTGACATCAAAGCTCCTGCTCTTCCCGTGTCTCTTTCCTGAGTCGGTGACTCCCACTGCATTGCTACACAGAAGTTTCCCTTACAGGATCAGTCTGACCGACATTTACAGGCATGTGTTAACAATAGCAGGCATTCTGCTATTGTTTTATTCTAGTCCTACAATGCCTTATTGTAAGTGCCCAATGATGTTTTATGACCTCATACACTTGCATAGGGTTTTCACCATAAGGGAGAACTCAGACGACATCAATACTTGCCAAAACCATTTATCCATATTGTGTTTTTAGTAGCTGTTCTGAAGCTTTAAATCGTATCCCATAATCTCCACCAGCAGATGGAGTTTGCTGAGCTGCAATTTCAGATGTTGATATTTCTACTCTTCTGAGCACTTCCCCATTAGCCTGAAAGTGGCTCTCTGACTCTGAAAACGGCTGTAGAGAAAACAATCTCACCACAAGGCCCATTTAGTTTGCCTCCATTAACACTATTGGAAAAAAGGGACATTCCCTAAGATGTAAAAGTTATGTTAATATGTGGGTTTTTTAGGCATTAGTAGAGCTTCTGTCTTTTTGTATCAAGACATGCTAACAGAGGAAGTTGTGCAAAGGAACAATTCAAACTTCAGCTTTGAAATAACTCACCAGGTCTGCCACCTTGTTGCCCCGTGGTAGCCTTTAAAAGTAGAGCTTTCTCTGATCCAATTTGAGATTCTAGGACAAATACTCTCTCCTGCTTGCCTTTACTTGTTGGCAACAATGGCTGCATGTTGAAATGATGGTAGGTGCAGCCCTGAATAGTCAAAAGTGTCTTAAGGCGATTCTTAAAAGGATCCAATATGCACAACAGTTATTGGTCATGAACTCTATTTGCAGTGCCTATAAAGAACCATTAAAGAGGCTTATATTGGATGACCCTAACCCTGACACTTGTCACTTATTACGAACATGTGTGAGTAATAGTAAGCAACGCTGCATTCTAATGTGATGTTCTGAACGACCAGCAAGTTATACAAGAGTCAGACTGATCACTTTTATATCCACATGCTTTGTCCCACCATTCTGCTCGTGTTTTATTTGGACATTGTCTTCAACCCTCTGTCTCTCCTGTGTGTGCAGCTGGGGAGAAGAAGAAGCCTGTAAAACCAGCAACAGGAACTCCAAGCCCCAAACTAAACGGTCAGTTCTATCCCTTTATTTTATTTTCCAGAATAGTCCCGTCATTCTTTGTCTATTCTTGACTTTTCTTATCCGTTTCTATTTTGGTCGGCTTTAGTTTGGTCTTGTCTTCTATACTTTAATAGATTCTGCTCTGTTCCTGTCCAACTTTACTCTGCCCTGTTCTACACTCTTGAGTTTTCATCGATGTTATTGTACTTCAGGGCTTTCTTTCCATCATGGTTCTAAATAATTCATGTTTCCTCAACGCCCATAGAAAGAAGGATGAACTATGGTGATGATCTGCTTTTCTCTGTATCGCTGTTTTGTTCAGTGCTCTATATTTCAGATCTGCTCTGTTGTTATCTGTACTGTTCTGTTGTAATTGAATAACTCTTTGATTTGTATTGTAACCTACAGCTGCTATATGCACAAGGGCTGTAATACCCAAACAAGGAAGCAACCTTTACATCTGAGGAATGATTCAGCTTAAGCCAGGCATTCATTATTGTTTCTTCTTGCATGTACTATATATGGATATAGGGTTATAGGCGACCTGAACTTTATATATTTACTAATCAAAAAGCACTTAAGCAAATAATAGAAAAAGGGGAAATGTGGTCCTATGTATTTTTCTGCAACATGTTTACTTGATTGAACTAAATTGGATAACATCAAAGACCTCAGCCCTCTGAGACTTAACTATGTTGTAAAAAAAATTACAAGCAGTTGCTTCTTATTTTGTTTAATGAATATACAGCTTTAAGCATCTAATCATCATTTAATCAATTATTTTCTTAAGTTTTGAGAATTTAAATTGTTATAAACAAAGTCAAACAATCAAATATAAGCTTTAAAAAAGACATGACCTATGTTTGTCTTTTTCTTTTCTCTTTCGTGTTCATACTGTGTTGTTTGAATCTACCCTGTTCTGTTATTTTCTAATCTGTCAGGTTGATCAGATAGTACAGGTCCTTGATTATCATTGGCTTGGGTGCGTTCAAAGCCATTGTAAAATACTCTGTAAACACATGCTGTACCTGTACATACTGTAAGTGTTACCGTGCTGAAGAAATTGTTTCAAATATCAGATTATGTTGTGAATCATAGGTTTCTGGGTGGACTTGTAGTGGTAAAAAGAGATGGAGAGGATAAGGGAGGAGGTAAATGACAAAAGGAGACACACTGAAATTACTGAGGGAGAAATGAAAGGGCTGCAAAAGTAAATAAAAAAGCTAGAACTGTTAAACGTGATCTGTTAACGGTTTTGAAATCTGGAGAGAAACACCTGGCTATTGATTTCAATGAGCGCTAAAAAAGGAACGTTGAACCCTATGGTTCAGCAGTTAGGGGTTAACAAGCGAGAAACGCTGCACAAATATCCTCACTTCACATTAGGGAACACTGATCTAAAATGTGCACAACTAATAGCAATAGCAACAGCTGAATCACCCCAGTCACGAGTGCTTTCCACTGTTCTGATAGATGTCGCTGAAGAACAACATGGCATGGCTGAAGAATCATTGAAGTTCTCCAAAAATATTAACATATCTCTTGCTGTGTATTTCTATCTACATATATTTAGTAACCATCTAGTAACAACACGCCCTGTGGTTTAATCTGTCCCGTTTGATACTCTTCTCTCCTATAGTTCCAGATGACGTCTTTGCTCCTAACTACATATGGAAAGGCTCCTATAATTACCGTGGGCGGAAGCAGCCGATGACTCTGAGCATCACCAGCTTCAACTCCACCACAGGGAGAGTCAACGTCTCCCTTAGCAACGGAAACATGGAACTGCTCCTATCAGGCATGTCTGCAAATGGATAATTAATTATACTAATTAACTCCACACTGTTCATTCAGTACAGCACACGGGAGATGACATGACAGGACACGTCATAGTCATAATGTATGTCGTGATAATGCTACAGTATATCATTATTTATCCTTTGGTGACACACTAAATAATACACACGTAGCTTTTGGTTTAAATGCAGCTTCAACCATTTAAACATCATATAAGACTATTCATATCATGTATTCTGTGTCTGGCTTTCTCTTCTTTCCCAGAGCTTCCAAGCTTCTTTTTAATTTTGTTGCTGTATTCCAACCGAAACTGACACATGCACTTTTTCACACACAGACCTTCCAGGGTCCTACAACAGTGTCTGCGGGGGGGTTAAGACCCTATTAAAACACAAATCCTCTTGAAGCAAGAATTGCTTCTTGGAGTGAGCAGAGAGCACAAACACCACATCACAAAGCCGTGCAGCTATTCCACTTTTAACATTCACCTTCTGGCCTGAAGGAGCAGCTTTACTGTTGATCAATAACAGCTAAAGCTGCACTCACACAGGCACAAAAGGCCAGGGCCCCCGTTGCATAAAATGTGAATGTTTTTCTTCTTAAAGGAATACTTCATCATTAAAATGAGCAGTTGTGTCTCAATAACTCCGCCTGTGTTACCTTCAATTCTATAAGAACACTTTTTTCCCCCCTATTGTGATGAAGAATCCAAAAATGGAGGACATTTTTGTTCGAGTGAAGTAAATAGGGGCCAGATTTAACAATAGCAAAACGATATCGAAACATCTGTTTACAAACTCTCACTCTACGTGTGCAGGATAAAAGTTTTGTTTATCCAGTTGTGTGTTCACTACTTCCCAAGCTCAGGCGGACTATCCATCCAGACTCCTGAACCAGCATGAGACTGTAATGGTGGAAGTGTATTACATGTTTTGGGGCAAAAATGAATGTGTTTGTAAGCAGTGAACATACAACTGGATAAGACTTACATTATACTGCACAACTAGTGTGACAGTTCATAAATGGATGTTTTAATATAGTTAGCATATGGTAAACATGGCCTCCATTTATTTTAATTAAGCACTGTCTTTGTCAGAACATGCTGTCAACATTATGCTGTGTCCCAGATTTCATAATTATTATAAATTAGAAAATTATAATTTTCCGCTTCATTTAGATAGCTTTTACATAAAATATGTATCTTAGATACAGTAGTACTTTATTGATCCCAATTTGGGAAATGTTTGTGTTGCAGCAGCATAAAAAGACATGGCATTGTACACTAAAAATTAAAATAGAAGAAATAAACAAGAAAGTAGAAAATATACATGTTGAATTTACAAATTAACAATAACAAGATATAAAGCAAGGTATTATATATACATAAGTATGTGACAGATGGAAAATTAAATATTAATCTGAATATATAAATGTAAAATGTACAGTGTGATTTTATTCCAATGTATGTGAATAAGCGAAAGAATACACATAATCAGAGCATTAACTATGTAATCCATTGTATTCTTGTTAAACTGTGCTGTATTGAAACCAGTTGTTCTTTGTGTCCCTGCAGGAGTGTACAAGGCTGTGGAGGCCCGGCTGCTGCTGCTGATGTACCAGGTGAACCACGCCAACCAGGGGAACCAGCTCAAAGACTCAGCCGTCTCTCCAGCTAAAATCATCGACGACTCCTGGACCATGGATGGATTTGTAAGTCTCAGAGGAAACAAAGCAATCCACTTAATTAGATTCAGTTGAGCTAGATTAATTTAGAGGGGTTAAAACAAAATGTCAAATGAGAAATGCTTCTTATTGTAGTTAATCAAAAACACAAGACAAGCCGTTTGAGTGTAACAACGCCCTTTTGTAAAGGCATTTAACTGAAGTGCTTTGAATTTTATTACCCATGTTCAGCCCACTCAGTGACATTTCAGTGCTTCATACTTTTCAATTCAAGCACAGTTAATGGTATTTGTCAAACTATATATCAAATAAATATATGAATAAACGTTCAGAAATATGTGAACGTTTAACATGTAACTTAAATGTCCTTCTCATATTACTAGAAAGCAGTGGTTCTGAACCAGTTGTACTTGAGGAAGTTTAGGGGGTCCCCAGAAAGTGAGGAATGACTTACTTTAACCATTTTGTGTAAGTGAGCCTTATGTGTGGCACAAGAGTGACTTTGCTGATCATAGGTTTTAATTCCTTCAGGGTCATTTTCTCATCTCTTGTTCAAAAGTACAGATGTCTGGTCTTATTCATGTCAACACTCACATGTTTTAGATGGAAGTCCCTAGAAAATAATCTTAACAAAAAAGTAAATTTCAAGTGTCCTTGACACAAAAAAGTTTGAGGACTATTTGTGTTGTAATGGTTTTTTCTGTCGCTCCTCTCTTCCCCTCAGGTTTCAGCAGAGCCGGATGGTTCCAGTTACGTATTCCAGGGTTTCATTCAGGGAAAAGACTACGGACAGTTTGGACTGCAAAGACTGGGTAATTCTCTGAGCTTCACAGAATCAATGTGTTTCTTATAAATCAACGTGGTCTATAAATGGTAATTGTAGAAACTCTGATGAACTCCTTGCAAGAACCTCACTAATGGAGAAAGTGATCAGGGAGTTTCTCTGCTGGCGACACAGACCTTATACAGTAGCTCACGCCAAGTCAACCTCAATTAACTTTTAACTCCATTAACCTGTGTCCAAAGATCACTACCTTCTTCATCAAATACAGTTGAGAGCAGTCACTTACTGTTTTCTGAGCTCATCTGCACTGATCCCAGAACAGACTAGCCAAAAACTAAAGATTTAGGGATGGTAACACACTTACCAATATCTGACCACTCCTACAACCCATGGGCATCCTGCAAATGTTAGAAATTGTAATCATGCAACTAATAATCACTAAATCAATTAATATCGTACGTTTTTTTGAGAATTACAATTGTTATAAACAAAGTCAAGCTATCAAATATAAGCTTTAAAAAAGACATGACCTATGTTTGTCTTTTTATTCACTTTTATTTTAATTCTGTTTTGTTTTAATCTACACTGTTCTATTATTTTCAAATCCGTTTGGTTATTGATCAGATAGTACAGGTCCTTGATTATCATTGGCTTGGGAGCGTTCAAAGCCATTGTAAAATACTCTGTAAACACATGCTGTACCGCATTACATAAGTGTTACCGTGCTGAACAAATTGTTTCAAATATCAGATTATGTTGTGAATCATAGGTTTCTGGGTGGACTTGTAGTGGTAAAAAGAGATGGAGAGGATAAGGGAGGAGGTGAATAACAAAAGGAGACACACTGTAATTACTGAGGGAGAAATGAAAGGGCTGCAAAAAAATAAAAAAGCTCACTATGTGATCTGTTAACGGTTTTCAAATCTGGTGTGCAGAGAAAAACCTGGCTATTGATTTTAATGAGCTAAAACAGGAAAGAATTTCTAAGAATACTTTATTTCAAATGTGGAACACCACTTAAAATCACATTTTGATTATTTTAAAGCAATTGCTCTAACTGTGTGGTTTCCCTGTATGTCTCAGGTCTGAATATGTCGGAGAGTCAGAACTCGCCCCCCCCTCAGCTCGGTACCAACAGCAGTTCTGTGGCTATCGCTATTCTGGTGCCTTTCTTCGCTCTCATATTTACCGGCTTTGGCTTCTATCTCTACAAACAAAGGTATCTGCTTGTGTATTTCTGTTGAAGTTCAGCATTATAAACTAAGACGTTTCTGTCACTGCATAGTTATTTCACCCCTTGTGTTTCCTTATTGTCATTCAGAAATGTGGAAAGGCATTGGTAACATTTTAAGAAGCTGTCTGATTCATGAAAACAGTGGCTGCCTCAGTGATTCGGTTGTTGGGAGTCATTGTCTACTGCAATCTGTGCAGCAAAACAATTCTGTTTAGGAGCTGTTAAATTGGATTTTTCAGAGATATGATTTAAGCACAATGACTGGCACAATAAGCACAATGACTGGCGTTCACATTGTTAACAGATGCAAATAACTTCTGTTCTGCTGTTAATATCTGAAGGAAAAGCCTGCTGAAGGAATTAGATGGGCTGATTGGAATCTCTCTAGGCTTCCTAAAAAGCTCTCTCTAATCCTTCTTAAAGCTTGTTTACTAATGCTTCTACTCCCAACACTGCATTCACTATTGTCCACTGTTGTGTGAATATTAATAGGCAATTATAACAAATTTTAACTCTTTAATGGTGGTATTTATAATTTTTGTCTATGTTTTTCCACAGAACCACACCAAAAACACAGTACACAGGGTGCTCAGTCCACGAAAACAACAACGGCCAGGCTGCCTTCGAGAACCCGATGTACAACACCAACGCCAAGGCTGTGGAGGGGAAGGCTGTTAGATTCGATCCCAATCTAAATACTGTCTGCACCATGGTCTGAGGATTGATTACCCTCACTTGAACTCCATGACTTATATACCTAATGGGACCACATGAGTGCGAGGCTATGGGAGGGAAAAGCCCTAAACTTCGACTCAGACCTCGACACAGCACGGTCTATACATTGATTACAAAAGACCTTCAGAAACCCCAAGCAGAGGGGAAACTGGCCACATGAAACTAAAACTAAGCGATGGCTCTTTTTATTTACAGCTTTCGGTATCCACAGATGAAATCTAAACAAATACAAAATGTCTGCTGCCTTCGATGGATGCATATAACATTACATGACATGTTACTTGATAGACGCTTTTATCCAAAGTGACTTACACGCCTCCGTACACAACACAACCAGAGTAAACTCACAGCTAAAGAAGAAGATGAAACCCAACCGGAAAACTAAACCGACTATTATCCGAGACTCAGCTGGTCATAGAAAGTTTATAATTTGATTCTCAACCGGGCACAGCCATTACATTTCAACCTCCTATTTAACCCGCTCCCTGTCCAGTAGTAATGATTACGCCATGACCTGATGTCGGTTATCATGACACCGTAACCCGACGCTGACTTGTATTCAGCGCAGAGCTTCGAAAAGAAAGACCCTCTGTGAGAGGGAGGGTACACCATCAGCACTCTGGCTATGGTTTTACATCACACAGAAAAACGGCACTTCAAAAAAGGGTTGATTTAATTTGTACCAGTTGAACTGAACAATTACTTACTGTGAGGAACAAAGAAGAAAAACATCCACAGATGGCAGAGTGTGACACAAAGTCCCAGATGACACTGTGAAGCAAAGAAAACTGTTTCCCAACATCTGGGTTCATAACTGACAGTAAGACACTGTCACCAGCAGACCATCAGTTAAACACACTGAGATGTTACCAACCACACTAGCAACCAAACAGGACAACCTCCTGTCTCCATGACAACAATGAACTCTATGAAAGCAGACTCTCAAACGGCTAATGCTAGTAGACAGTAGCTAAAGTTGCTTTGAAAACTCCTAGGCAAAGGATAAGGGCAGCCCTGGAGACAGAGCTATAATCCTAACTGAACTGGGATCAGAGGGAAAAGCAGAATTTAAAGCAGAGCAAGCACTAAAAGAAGAGAAGAGACTGACTCGTCTAATGGATAAACTGCACCTTCACATCCAAGAGAGGATGCCGAGGAGACGGAGACAACCTCTTCCTGAACTTGAAATCAAGAGAAAAAGATGAGATCTAAAAATCTTAACACAGCCAATCAGAGCCTGTCTAACCTGAAATCAACTACTGAGAGAGGTCAGCCTCGCCTCTGCGTGATGAATCAGATCAGACAGAATATGGCCTTGAGGAGAGACGTTCCTGATCCTGTGAATTTAAATGGATACAGAGGACTCTGACGAAACAAAGAAATAGACTTTGAGAAACAGAGAAAGCTCTGGCACTAAAGCACATTTCACAGGAACACTACCTGTCTGCCCACTGAGAGATGGACTAACGCAGGGACAGATAGAAGGGTGAGAGAGGAACTGATGACAGACAGGAAAGATGACAGGTACACACACTAACACAACTCTGTGGAGACAGAAAGACAGATGGTATTAAGACCAACAGTTAGACACACAAGGAGATAGACAGGTTCAAGATGAGGAGCGTCTAAAGACTGTTGCGGACCATTCCTCCACACACAGATTTAAGGGTTGGACACAGATTAACAGGTTTATAGTTGGACAGAGACAGGCTGATGGACAGGAGACACAGACTGACCTAATTTGACAGACAGGCTTATAGAAAGACAAACAGGGTCGTACCCCTCCGATGTGGACACAGCTCCACTGTAATTCTGCACTCTGCGAGTGCTTATCTTCTTTCTTTGTTATTGCTGCAGAATCTTCTGATCTGTAAATCTATTGCATATATATTCGGGAGCATTCATCACCTATATTTTTGTGCTATATATTTACCACAAGGGGGGGGGCTGAAGGGGAAAAGACGGATTATAGCGGATACTTTTTAGTAAAAAAAAATTAAAAAAGGAAATAAATATCAGATTAAAAGATATTACAACGATGTGTTGTCCACAGAAGTCACACAAAGTCTTTTGGTTCCTTTGTAACATGGAATTGTTTTGTTTTTATTTGCTATGTAACGTGAAGTTCCTCTCACTATCACTGTCTTTCCCACTGAGGCCATCATGAGTGTCAGTGGTATTGTTGTCGTCATTGTTGAGATGCAAGGTTTGCCAGCAACAATCATTTTCTTTCAAGTTAATGTTTTTTCAACTCAGACGGCAGATTTCTAAACCATTAAGAGATGGGGAGTCTTTTGTGGCTTGTTTTGCCCCTTTATTAAAGCTACTGTATTACAAATACATATATGTCCTTAAAATAATGCCACCATTGTGACACAGACCACACTTCTCCTGGAATAACATCACAGTTTTGATAACCTAACTGGTTACATTTGCACATTACAACTCATTTCAGTGATGTCAACACAGCAAATCCCTTTTGTTTGTTTGGCCAAACTCATAGCCTGCTCTGACTCTGGTTTATTTTCTCCCAAGGCAACAGTAAGAGAACCATCACAGTGAATATTATGTAACTATTAATAGTGATAATTGTTGGTGAACTGCCCAACATGTAGATTACTGATGATGGTCTACATACTGTAAGATGTTCCAACTCACGTAGGAAATGTGTGTGTCAGTTAATGTTTGTATTCTTTCGTCATACATTTTAGGATGTTTTCCAATGGATATGTTTGTGAACTCTAAAGTTATGATCTGATTTATCAGTTCATACAACCTCATCATCTTAAATTATCACGATCTCCAGGTTTTATATCACTGAGTCTTGGTTCTAAAGTGTCTCCCTGTGTTAAAGATGTGTTTTGTCTCACAAACCAATACTCAAATGTCAAAATCACCTGAATCCTGTTTGAGTTTTTTCTGCTTATATTTAATTTGCCCTTGTACTGAAAACCAATCAATTATAAATTGGCACACATTATTTTAAGGTTTATTTTGTATGTCTTTGGCACTTTCTAAGTAGTGCACAGTATATTGAATAATTGCTTGTTTACATTGCATTTAAAAAAGGCCTTGGAAGTTATTTCAGAGAATCTGAAGTTTTAGTACAAATTAAACATTTTGTCAGAAGCTCTTATCATTTCACGTCGACAGTTGAGTAAATCCAAACACGACCATTGAGATTCAACATTTCTCCTTGCTTCTACTTATTATATTTCATGTAATGTAACCTTAAAGTTCAGCTCAGTGTTGCTTGACTGGTAGCTATTTTTCAGATCTCATTTACCATCTACTCCATCACTGTGTTTTGCTGCAGGAGGCTGCAGTTGCACATGTTGTTGGCAACCCGAGGGTTTCATGTTGTGTAAGTAAAATAATCCTGAGAGTTTAATTTTGTGTAAAAACCATCCAGAATCATAATGTAAGAGTTGGGCCTGAAAATGCACCATATGATATCGCTACTTGGCAAGTGGTCCCCACATGACAGGAATACATGTATCAATCGATTTGCATGTGTCTTTCAACTTTGTTGCACATTTCAGATAAACAATACTTGTTTTGTTTTAAAGAGCCTGGTTTAAAGTTAGCGAGTGTGTGTCCCACACATGATGAACACCAGTTGTTTTTAATGAGTCTGGGTGTCAGGGTGGGTGAAAACATTTCCTTTGCTTTATAGAACCCCTGCTGTCGTGACCACAGGCGCACACTGCAAGCAGCTAGCTGACTGAAAACTCCTTTTAAACTCATTACTGATTTAAAAGCAACGGTGGCTGCGGCCTCCATGTTTGTCACTGCTGCAACTGTCCCGCACTGCATCGCTATGGTGACATTGTTTCTTATTACAGTTTGGATTGATTGTTGCTGCTGCTGCTGTTGTTGTTGCTGCTGTTGTTGATGTTTTTTCGGTATGGATCTGAAACAGTGCCTACCAAAAACGATGGGACCCTCCCTGTCATCTAGACACACACACTCTCTTTCAAACACACACACACATTCATACAAACACACACCTGCTCCAGCGCCCCCCTTTCATCAGAAGTCTTTTTTTTCTAAGCTTCAGTCTATTTTGCCACAAGCTTTTCCTACTAACTGACCGCAATAAGACCCATGTGATTTGAAAGACTTAAAGTTGTTCCTGCCTGGGGACATTGGAAATATTCACCATTTGAAAAAAAAAAAGATGAAATATAGAATAAAAAAGTGTTTTGTACAGAAATATATTTTTATGATGAAATTATTTGTAAAATGTATGAATCTATTATGTACATTTTCAATGCAATGTAAGATTAAAAAAGGCTAATTGCTTTTGTAAAAAATGTGTCTTCCTTTGCTGTCTTTTTTTTAACTGGTTCAACCTCTTTAACTGATGTATAACAGGCAAAAAACCCTCAAACAAAACCCGAATATATTGTCATTTATGAGGAATGTTTAACAAGCTCACATACATGCCAAGCTAAATGTTGTAAATAAGTCTCATCATGTGAAATGTAAAGTTTTGACTTGAAAACTAGTTTTCAAACTCAGGGATTGTATTGAAGAGAAAATCCTGCAGGCATATTTAATTATATACATTACACATACTTAAAGCTATCTCACCTTGAAAGGACATCCCTAAAATGCTGCTATTTATTCACAGTGAAGTTCTTATAACCTGGAAATTCACTATTATTTTTGCAGTTACTTTGTGCATAAAAAGCCGGTAATATGAAAATAAAGAGTTATTACAAGAGATATGTATGTTTTGATACTTTGGAAGTGCAAGACTACATTGTTTTCAATCATTCATATTTACAGTTTAGTAAATCAACTGCTAATACTGTTGGAATCAAACCTAGCAGGTCGACCTTTAAGACTACCCCACATGCCCTGAACATTAAGCAGGCACAGGGAAATGAGACTGGTAAGCTTATTCTGAAAAATAACTCAAGAAAAAAAAAAAACACTTCAAATATTTTGTCAGTGTAGACTAAGAAATCATTATCTGCATTTACATGTCATTGGTTGCCATTTAAACTGATTGTATTGCAATGCTAAATACACAATTTCATTAGTGAATACTTCAGAGTGTACAGTACCTGAAATGTACATATTGTTCCACATTGTCCTAATAGAGTTGAAATGTGTTGGGCGCTTGAGCTTAAATATCGGGATACATGTATTTATTAATCCTTGCAATTAATGGAAGTACTCATCACATACAGAGCATATGGTACAACTAGTTCCCCGAACAGTGTCCTTCACATGCTTACATACAAGAGAGGCTGTTACACAGTCACAAGATGGAATACCGGTTCAAAGCAGTATACAAAGTTTAGTTTAGATTAGCTAAGACCCACGTCAGAAAAGATCATGCTTGTCATAAGTCTATCTCCATAGAGGCTGAATCATTAATATATGAGGCGGTATACATGACAGGATGTATGATTACCCAGAAGAGCATCAGGACACACTGTTTTAGCTATCATATGCCTAAAACAATGTGTCCTGCTCTTCTGGGTAATCATACATCCTGTCATGTACACAGCTACAGTTGGGCCTTTGTTATCATGTGCTACTGAGCCCACCTAATATCTCCAAAATTATCCATCGGGTTGAACGGGCTATCCATACATAACCCCAGTACCTTATTGTCTGTGTAGGTAAGCCTTGGGCTATTCAGTTTTTCCTCAAAAATACCCTCTTTATTCAACGAGCCACTTCGAAACCCGTCAGCTTTTCTCCTTTGCTTTTTGAAAAACACAATTATAATTTATTGTGCGATCCAGCGCATACATACAGTATTTGCTGTTGATAAATAGCACCTTAATCCTTGAACACATAATTGTGCACATTCCAAGCCAACATGTTTCTTTACAAAGTAGATTAAGACTTCTGATCAACAAAGGACTGAGGTGGCTGAGGTAACAGTCAGATAAACTGTGAATTAATTACGTTGTTACATTATACCACAGGAGAATGGATTAAACTCAACAAAAGCTTCACGTTTTGCTAAAAGGAACAACTTTTAAACACACGGCCCTGTGTGACCTTTACTAACCTCTGAAGTTTGCAAGGGGGAACAGCATCAACAATAACTACACTTTTTTCCTGCTACTGTATCTTTGTCGGCTGGTAAACTCTTTAAAAGGCTTTAAAGTGTAGTTATATTTATTTTCGAATATTCACATATCTAAACTTTGCAGATATGTTGGTCTATTAAACCTAAGATAAACGAGGATATAAAGTTTAAAAACTTCCATCATAAAACTGGATTGGAAACAGATTATAACAAAAATACAGTAGAATTTGAAAGTTGTATTACCTTTTTTGTGTTAATTCGTTATAGACTAGCCTATTTACATTTACATTAAAATGCTGTGAAATTTGATATAACTTGCTGTATTTGCATTTAGCCTACTGTAGCATAGGCTATATGATGTAAAATTGTAAAGGTGACAATACATGTAATGTTATTTATATCATGTTCATAGTTTTGCACTACATTTTGATATTCTACCGAATTCAGTATCGCAAAAAAAAATCATATATCCGGTTGTCAAATCACTTTCCATGTTGCCATGCAGTTACGTCACAACAATAGCGACTACAGGTGGGTTCTCGTTGTCTCGTGACAGCCAATGGCCACCATCACATTTACCTAATTTTGACAACCCTCGTTGAAACTTTACCATTAAAGTTATCAACTACTTCCAGCTCGACGGACCTCTTTCAGAAGTGGAACTTTCTTAAAAATGGTGAGTCACTTCTTACTGTTTTATCTGCTGCTGCTGTTTGCTACAGTTGTGGACATGTGTTGCTAAAAAAGCTTTAACTTTCACTGTTGCTTTGTTCGGCTAAATTATGCTAGCTGTCAACATGCTGCTACAAACTAAATGTTGTTATTCGGTAGTAGGCTATACATGTTACTTTCTTTGTGTTGGACCTAAGGCTTGTGTCATTGTGCTGTAGTGTTTGGGTATATTTAAATGTATTTTTTTCACGGTAATACTAACAGTTAAATAGCTTGAGAGTGAGATGGTCTCAGCAGCAGGACAAGGGAAACATACAGTAGCATGCTAAGCTAGTTGTTGGTTGGTTTGTAATTAAAGTAGAATTGGGTGAGGAAGATTTGTCACATTGTATCATGTATACTGGTTATTAGGGGACAGCACACATGTTTAAAAAAGGATGTGAGGTGAAGTTGACCTTTTGAAAAGCCTGACTTCAGTTAGTAGTCCAAAGTAGTTGATTCCAGCTTTGAAGTTAACCCAATGTGGTATTTTTGAAAATGTGGTATTTTTCATTTTGAAGACTGAAAAGGCACTTTGTTATGATTCACAAAGTTTTGTTTTTTCATCAGTTTCATTTGTATAATCATTTTAAACAACAGCCATCATGGCATTATGGCTACCTGTTCCAGTTTAAAATGTTATATTTTATACACACACACACACACACACACACACACACACACACACACACACACACACACACATGTAGAGTGGCTCTGCGTGTTTTCTGTGAATATAGGCCTCACTTGCAGTCATGTTGGTGTGTACAGAGCTGCAGGGAGTGTGTTGTCGCTCACTGTCATGATGTGCTGCTGGCATGTGACTTTTTTTGGAAACCTGCCTTAAATGATCTGCCAAAGAATTCCCTTGCTTCTGTCTTCTGCCTCGCGCAGTATGACAGAGAGGGATGCTTGTAAAATAATGTTTTATATTTGCTCCTAATGATTTGTCTAATTGTATGATGCTGGGTCTGGGTGGAGGGATCTACATCTTGTGGATTTTGATTATTGGTCGTTAATGATATTTACTACAGCAGTATAAGTTATGTCATTCGTTGCTGAAATGTGTGGTGTCTCTGCTTTTGCCTGGTATTGTATTTGCCAGACATCGCCACTAGATGGTGCCAGGTGAAATGGTTATTTATTTATTTGAGCAATTCAGCCTGCATGATGCATGCGTTTTCACAATGATAGCATACATTAAATTAGTGCATTTAACAATAAATATAATGACATTTAGTTAAAAAACATTGATTACTCAAGCCAAAACTAAATGTATATGATGAACCAAAAAAGACATGGCCTGGAATTTGACAGTTTTTTATGATTCAGTCTTCAGAAAATACTTGTTGGAGTAGTTTTGCCAGAGTCTGGAAGAAGATCAACACTTTCATCTCTACTAGACCAATATGCTCGCTTGTTTTCTATTATCTTCTATAGATGTGAGTAAACAAGTTTTAAAACTAGAGGTCAAACATATTTGAAGAAAGTATAGGCAAGGCAAGTTTATTTAGCACCTTTTAACACAAGGCATCTCAAAGTGCTTTACAAAAAAGAAGGACATTAAGAGCATTAATAAAGTGTGGCGCAAACATGATCAAATGGCATTTAAAAAGCAAAGAGAATAAAATAAACATAAAAGATGAATAACACGGGTATAAAATACATGAATAAAAGTTACAGTGCAGTCTAAGATATGAATAGTTCAATTTAGTGTTGCACGGTGTACCGATACTTGAAAGGTACCGCGATACCCTGCCGTTAAAAACGGTACGATTCCTCCGTTTCATTAGTATCGGTACTAATAAACCAGCAGCAGTATAGTAGTATAGCAGTCAATCAAGTTGTGTAAAGTTGTGAAACCGTATACTTATAAGGACAATGAGATCCAGGAGGAATGTGTTTGTTTTTAGTCGTGCCACATGATCAACTCTCATCCGAAAAAATGCATTTGATTGTACGTGCGATGTGTGACCAGTAGATGGCGCCAGATAGCCTCTAAAGTACTTTACCCGTGTTGGAAACATGCAGCTGCTAAATGTAAATGTTGGTGTTCCTAACCATAAATGTGTCTTTGAGATGTAAATAAAATCACAAGTCAAATCAATATCAAAAGATATTTGTTAGAATGTCCTAAACCAAAAATATGTAACTTTACAAACAAAGTAGGCCTGGATGGTAAAATAATTAAACAGTTTTTTGTAATTATTCTTATGAAATGTTGATACAAAAAGTCATACCCTTTATAAATATTTTTTAAAAAAAGGGGCTATGGCTGGTAAACTATGTTTTACCATAGTGTTTAGTATGAGTAATTTGAGAGGGATGATATAGACAGTAAGACATTCCTGCAGTAGTGAAATACTCAGTGTTCGTCCTGAATAGAAATGCAGTAAAGCAATTGAAGCGCCTCTGTATAATGCTGTGGTGTAATGTGTGTGTGTATGGACCGTATGTCGTCAGTAGATGGAGCTTGATGACCTTTGATACAGATTCCTTTACCTGAGTAGAAAGCATAACAACACGGATGGTGTTGCTG